CCTATTTGCCCGTCAGGGAGCTGGTAGAGAAGCTTGACTTACTAATTGAATGTTAGTAAAACACTTCCTTCCCATGTATTTTCAGAAGCTAAGTGAACATTATGTAGTTTGTTCTTTCTTTACCCCCCAAATTAGGAAACTATGGCATATGATTAGGAAATTACTGGATTTAGACATATTTGTCCGCAGTAGAGGGCACTTCAGAGTTGGCGTTGAAGAGAACACGCATTAGTGTGCTCCGAAAAAATCAGCTGCTTTTTTTCTAAAGCGTAAGTGTCTCTTTTGTTCATTGTTGTAATTCCAGAATCTTACTTAAAAATGGTACGTATCCTCAAAATGAGTGGTAGATCCAGACAGAGTGGAATTTTAAGTGCAGTAAGTTATCTCTTATCTCACAGAGTGGACAAACAGAATTCTACCACAGGATTACAAAATTTTTCTACTAGGAGAGATCAAATGCCGTTAACTAAACTAGATTCATAGTGACCGTAAATGATCTTTGCACAAAATCAAGGCAAAATTCTCTTTGTGTTGATGACATTGAAATCCTCGCCACTTTCTGATGTAACCAAATTCCACTGGAATGAGCCTTAAATTAGAACATTGCTGGTCTTCCATGCTCCCAGTGCAGGGGGCCTGGGTTCAATCCCTGGTCAGCGAACAAGATCCTGCATGCCGCAGCCAAGAACTAGCACAGCCAAGGAAATAAATACTTTTTTTAAAAAAATTACTAGTCTTGTGCAGAAGAGCAAGGATTAATCTTTTTGAGATGTTACCAGAATTCTTCCAGTCAGAAGCAATCCAGCATCAGCTCCTTGGGAAAACAAGGAAGTGGAAGGAAACAGCACATCACAGGCTCATTTGAAGAGTGTTGAAAAAGATGGCAGATTTCGAATTATTATAAGACAAGTAATCACTTACCTGTACCCAAATAACTATTAGAAAGTGCAGTGAAAAACCATAAAAGAACATATATCTTGATGATTTAAAAAAAAAGTGCAATGAAAGGCACTCTCCCATTCATCATAGTAACAAAACCCAAGACATGTAAGAGGAACCCCTATTAGAAATGTGGAAAACATTTGTGAGTAGATGAAAATGTTATTTAAAGGCATTTAAAGAAGAATTTAATAACTGGATATATTTGCTTCACTCAAGAATGGGGATACTTAATATTGTAAAGCAGTAAATTCCCCTCAAATTTATTTATGAATTTTTTGAAAACTTGCTCAAAGTAATTCTAAAGTTAAATGGGAAGAAAGGAAGTATGTGAGACCAGCCAGGAAAATGCTATTAAAAAACAAAGGATAACAATGAGATTTTGGAGGCATGCATTTCCTATTTACACATTTGCAAGTTTTCATTTTTTGTAAGTACTTTTGTCCTTACTTTTAAATTAGAGAAACAAGAAATGAAGCACTAACCAGAGCTGTAATAAATTATGATCCAGCCACAAAAAGACTGAAGAGTTTGTGTGTATATCTCCATTGAGAGGAAGGGTGTAAAGATTATACTGAAGAGGAAATGTATATTTTTGTATAGTTGGTAGTATTTTTGTGTTATCAGGAGATACTGTAAACAACTATATGCCAATAAATCGGTAACTTAAGTGAAATAGACAAATTTCTAGAAAGACACAAACTACCAAGGCTGATTTGAGAAGTGGAAAATGTTAATAGACTTGTGAAGAGATTATGGATTAGTGACTGAAACACTTTCTACAAAGAAAAGCCCTGGCCCGTGACTGAAACACTTTCTACAAAGAAAAGCCCTGGCCCGGCTGGCTTACAGTACAAATTAAAGGGATCCATTATGCCCCATAACCAGGGGGCATTCACCTCAGAATGCAGGGGTGGTTTCACGCTGGAAGTCAATTCATGTACAACAGCATCATCAATAGGCTCAGGACAAACAGCAACTGGTCATCCCAATAGGTACAGAAAAAGACAAAGACCTAGAGAACAGATTTGTGGACACAGTGGAAAGGAGAGGGTGGGCCGAATGGAGAGAGTAGCTTGGAAACACAGACGTTACCACGTGTAAAACAGATGGCCAGAGGGAATTTTCTGTGTGATTCAGGGAGCTCAGCCTAGAGGGGTGGGAGGGAGGTTCAAGAGAGGGGACATATGTGCACCTGTGGCTGAATCATGGTGATGTGTGGCAGAAACCAGTACAGTACTGTAAAGCGATTATCCTTCAATTAAAAAAGTAAAAAAAAAAAAATGTTAAGAAGCCAGTCATGAAATACCACATTTTCTATGATTCCGTTTATGTGAACTATCCATTCTAGGCACATCCAGAGACGTAAAGTAGATTAGTGGTGGCTGTGACTGGTGGGGTTTGCGGTTAATAATGAGTGACTGCCAATAGGTGCAGAATTTCTTTTATGAAATGATGAAAATGCTCTAAATTGATGTGCTGATGGTTATACAACTCAGTGAGTATATTAAAAACCAATAAATCATACCCTTCGCTTGGATGAATTGTATAGTATAGGAATTATATCTTGGTAAAGTTGCTATATAAAATATACTAAAAGTTTGCAGAATGGTATATTATGAATTTCCTGTAGTTGAAACAGTTGCTGCATCTACGACCTGTACAGTGCCTTAGTGGTGATCCTGCGTGCTCAGTCACTTCAGTCATGTCCGACTCTTTGCGACCCTGTGGACTGTAGCCCGACAGCCTCCTCTGTATATTTTTGTCAAATAGGGTCACAGTAAAACACTGTATTCTTAAAAATTGGGAAGCTATGTATGCATAATACATTGGTGTATTTTCCCTTCGTGTCATAGCTTAATCATGTAGCGGGTCTGGTGGCAAGATTTCTCACCAGCTGTACACGTGTGACTGTTGTTGTTTCTTCACTCAGCCGTGTCCAACTCTCTGTGACCCCGTGAACCGCAGCACGCCAGGCTTCCCTGTCCATTACCAGCTTCTGGAGCTTGCTAAAACTCATGTCCATTGAGTCAGTGATGCCATTCAACCATCTCACCCTCTGTCGTCCCCGTCTCCTCCTGCCTTCAATTTTCCCCAACATCTGGGTCTTTTCTAATGAGTTGGCTCTACCCATCAGGTGGCCAAAGTATTGGAGTTTCAGCTTCAGCATCAGTCCCTCCAATGAATATTCAGGACTGATTTCCTTTAGGATGGACTGGTTTGATCTCCTTGCTGCCTGAGGGACTCTCAAGAGTCTTTTTCTAGCACCACAGCTCAAAAGCATCAATTCTTCAGCGTTCAGCCTTCTTTTTTTTTTTTCTTTTTTTTTAAATTTATTTTTATTTTTTATTTTTTATTTTTTTTGCGTTCAGCCTTCTTTATGGTACAACTCTCACATCCGTACATGACTACTGGAAAAACCATAACTTTGACTAGACAGACCTTTGTCGGCAAAGTGATGTCTCTGCTTACGCTGTCTGGGTTTGTCATAGCTTTTCTTCCAAGGAGTAAGCGTCTTTTAATTTTGTGGCTGTAGTCACCATCTGCAGTGATTTTGGAGCCCAAGAAAATAAAGTCTGTCACTGTTTCTGTTGTTTCCCGATCTATTTGCCATGAAGTGATGGGCCCGGATGCCATGATCTTTTTTTTTGAATGTTGAGTTTTATTTTTTTTTTCCATTTATTTTTAATTTTTATTTTTTTCCATTTATTTTTATAATGTTGAGTTTTAAGCCAACTTTTTCACTTTGCTCTTTGACCTTCATCAAGAGGCTCTTTAGTCCTTCTTCACTTTCTGCCATAAGGGTGGTGTCATCTGCATATCTGAGGTTATTGATATTTCTCCCGGCAATCTTGATTCTGGCTTGTGCTTCATCCAGCCCGCATTTCGCATGATGTACTCTGCGTGTAAGTTAAATAAGCAGGGTGACAGTATACAGCCTTGATGTTCTCCTTCCCAATTTGGAACCAGTCTGTTGTTCCCTGTTGGGTTCTAACTGTTGCTTCTTGATCTGCATACAGGTTTCTCAGGAGGCAGGTAAGGTGGTATAATATATTGTGTATTTTCCCTTCATATAATAGCTTTAATCATGTAACGATTCTAGTGACAAAATTTCTTACCCACCTCATTAATAAAATTGTAACAATGGCATTCATTGCATTCTTTCTATATGCCAACATTGTGCTAAATTCCTAGCATGCATTTTATCATCTGTTTTTCACGACATTTGATGATGGCCCCATATTTTCTGTCACTCTCCCATTTTGTTCTCCAATGTACCAGAGCTTGCGTTTATAAAATTGTGTTATTTAGCCGAATATCAAAGATGCATGGCTCTTCTTATGAGCAGGTGCTCTGAAGGTACAGACTGTAGGTCTTCATTTCAACTGGTGTTAATGTGATCCTGGGAGTTTTAAGAACACATTGATAAATCCACCCATATGTGTTTAAGAAAGATTTTTAAGTTTAAACCATTTTGCATTTGTTACAGTTTATTTCTAACTGGAGGAGAAAACACTTTTTAGTTAATTGTCAGTTTTTTGTTTAATGTAACACTTAATTTGAAATACAATCAATGGCAAAGATAATTTTGAGTTTTTTTTCCCCCACTGCAAATATAGGCTAGCACTTCAGCCAGTTTGGGCCGCTATAGCAAAATACCATTGGCTGGCGGCTTACACAGCAAACATTTATTTCCCATAGCCTAAGATGAAGGAGGGGGAAGATTTGGTTCTGGGCGAAGGCCCTCTTGCTGGCTTGCAGACAGCCACCTCGTGCATCCTCACGTGGAGAGCCGAATGAAGGCATGTGCTATGGGTCCTTCTTTTTTTGGGGGGGCCCCTTTTTTATAGGGGCTCGGACCCCCATCATGGCAGCCCCACCCCCATGACCTCAGCTAACCCCGAGCACTTCCTGAGGACCCCACCTGTAGATACCATCACATCAGGGCCTGGACCTTCAACATATGCGTTTTGGGTGGGATACAGTTCTGTCCATAGTGACTAAGTATGGTGAAAATCTTGTCCATAAATGCTAACCCTTGCCTTTTTGTTTGTTTTTAGTATTATGTGCCAAGAACCTTGCAAAGAAAGACTTCTTCAGTAAGTAAAACCCATTTTTGCTCTCTTACCTATTAATATTCTCCACATATTTCTGAAATTTAAAACTTTTTAAAAAAACACTGGGTGTATTCTCCTAAAAGAAAAGAATAGAAACCCACAGTTTGACAAACTTCATTTCCCGGTTGACTACAGCACAGAGGCTCCTTAGCTCCAAGGCAGAGAATTTTTAACTCAAGGAAGAAAAACTCTCATCCCCTGTTCTGGCCACACCCTGTTTTCCCTGCCTTTCCATCCATTAGTGTATTGCTTTCTGCTGAAGTGTTCTCTGCTCAAATACAGATGAGACATTTTTCTGTAAAGTGTCTGAGTTTCAGTAAAACTGATAGTCAAATTTGATAAATTAAATCATACTTGAAAAGTCTTGTAATGAAAGGAATTGTAAAAATAATAAATGGAGAGTCATTTTCTTATGAAAGGAATCGCTTCTTAAGAAGCTCACCTACTATAAAGTAGGTGCCCAAAGGAGGAACATTTTCACACTGTTTCTCATCCTCACCAGAATGCTGCTTGGTTCCTAAGCCGCATTATTCACACTCTCAGGTGAAGAAACTGAGGTTCACGGGCTTTATTCAAGGAGCTAAGAAGGTTCAGAGGGATGGATCCCATCTAGGTCTGTCTCTCAGACCCAGCCACCTCTCTGATCTTATAAACCTGTCTGATTCACACTCCACCATTTAAGAACCTACCTAATGAAAATTTGGTGAATACTGCTTCCAGAGATAAAATAAAGACCAGCAAACGCAATGTCTAGGTATTATTTTTTTAGAAAGTACAAATACATTTATTTGTAGACACTTTTTCCTCCATTCAACTAGAAGTGATCTTCAGAAGTGGAAATCTGAATTTAAGCCTGTTTTTAGAGTTTCATTTCTAGTGTCTAAAAAATCTGAGGAGGATGTCATTCTGGGTTGCTTTTCTTAGAAAGCTTAGTGGAAATAACTTATTTTGCTGATTGAAACTAACCTTAAATTTGAGAATGAAATATACCAGGATAGTTAGGTGATCTTGAGGCGCCCTTTACCTGCAGGACCAGGTTCTGTGTCGCATTGATAGACCTGTCATCTCATCCAGTGTGGCGGTCCCCTCTCCACCAGGACTATAGTTAGGTGCCCTTGAGGCGCCCTTTACCTGCGGGACCAGGTTCTGTGTTGCAATGATACATCTGTCGTCTCATCCAGTGTGGCTGTCCCCTCTCCTCCAGGACTCCCTGACCCTTTTGCAAAGATTGTTGTGGACGGATCTGGGCAGTGCCACTCAACGGACACTGTGAAGAACACGCTGGACCCGAAGTGGAACCAGCACTATGATCTGTGAGTTGAATATCCTCCAAGGCACTTGGGAATGACAGGAGAGTAGGTGTCTACCTTGTAAGAGAAGCATTTTTTGTTTTAAAAAAGGGTTACCAATTCCATGGATGGCCAAAGACATATTGCCTACTTTTAGAATGCATATACTTGGAAGTTCTTGCATTTGACGTTTTCATACATTTTTTATGGTTTGCTTCTGTAACTATGATCTTCAAACATTCGATCTCCTGGCCCTCTCTAACAGGAAAAAGGGGCCATAGTTCAGGTCCTCTATATGCTACTGTTTTTTCAGCAAAACCATGAGCATAGTTGTAAAATGGACTATTTGAAATGCATTATTATACATATTTATTATGTTGTTTTTGTTGTTTAGTTGCAAAGTCATGTCTGACTCTCTTGTGACCCCATGGACTGTAGTCTGCCAGCCTCCTCTGTCCATGGGATTTCCCAGGCAACAATACTGGTGTGGGTTTCCATTTCCTTCTCCACCTATTTATTATACAAATATTTTATACACACACACATATATATGTTTTTTTAAAATTTAGCTTAGATGGTAAAGAATCTGTCTGCAGTGCAGGAGACCCAGGTCTGATCCTTGGGTCAGGAACATTCTCTGGAGAAGGGAATAGCTACCCACTCCAGTCTTCTTGCTTGAAGAATTCCACGGGCAGAGGAGCCTGGCTGACTATAGTCCATGGGTTGCAAAAAGTTGGACACTACTGAGCGACTAACACACACACATTTTCTGCAAGAGCAAATAAAGTTTGGTATGAATGAATGTATATAAGCCTGCACGCCATCCAACAACTCCTTATATCCATTCATTACGTGGATTGCACTTTGAAAAATCACTATTTTATATTCACCTCTGTTTTCATGTCCTTGCTAAGAAATTTTTGTCAGGCAATGCTGAATGATTACTGGTTTGTTTTACTACCACAGCTGGTACTGGGTTTGAGGGCGTTTTTAGTAGCTGGATCCTGAGGCCCTATTTCAGTTACACTGTGGCACCGGAGGTGGTCTGGAAAGCAGGTGTCAGTCCAAGTCCTGGAAGCTCCCTTGTGGCTGATCTGCGCTGAGAGGAAGGGGGTTTCCTGTCAGAGTTCTGCGCTTTCGTGTGCTTTGGGCGGATGGGGGGTTTGTGAGGAGTCCCTTGTTGCAGACTGGTTATTCTCTATGAAGCCTAATTGGTGTGAGCTTATGAATCCTGCCATTATCTTTGGAACGATTAAGATCTAGTAAATCCCTGTTATAAGATTATCATCAGCATGTAGTTATCTCCATGTTCTTCTCACATAACCAGCTGTAGCCCTTTTGCCTCCCAAAGGGAGGGTGAGGTTGGTAGACATGCACTGAGTGCTTGTACTTGTGGATATAGAGCCAACATTATTTTCAGAGAATTCTTCTGGACTAACAAGTCAGTCAGATAGAATCTCAGTGGGCTGTTGTAATATAGAAATGCAATTAAAGATGAATTTGCACTTTGGTTTCAGATATGTTGGAAAAACGGATTCTATAACCATCAGCGTGTGGAACCACAAGAAGATTCACAAGAAGCAGGGAGCCGGCTTCCTGGGGTGCGTGCGGCTGCTCTCCAACGCCATCAGCAGATTGAAAGATACTGGCTGTAAGAACCCAATGCTTTGCTGCCTTTTAATGCACTGAGGAGGGCTTATGAGCCATCATTTTGTTTATTATTATTTTTGAATACTGAATACAGAATTCCTGCCCTCCTCCCTAGTTAACATTCCCCAGGTTAAGTTTTGAATTGTTTGTTTGCAGACCAGCGTTTGGATCTGTGCAAACTAAACCCCTCAGATACTGATGCAGTTCGTGGCCAAATAGTGGGTAAGAACTTTCTCATCTCTAAAGAGATAACTTTTACAGAACTTAACATCCAGCTCTTCATCACTGAGAAAATACACAAAGCCACTGCCCCAGGCTGACGTACACGAAGGACAAGCCACATTCGGGGGCCATCTCTCCAGCACTAGAAAGTTTCATCTGTGTGGTTTCTGTTATTTTATCCAGTTCTCTTCATGCTGTCGTTCAAGGTGGAGTTAAAGTGACTAGGGTACAAAAAGATGTACGGTTGTAATTTTTGATGTAACTTTAGTCCTCACCTTTGTCCTGTTATCCAAGCGCAGATGGTAAACATGATGGCCACATATGCACGAGCTGAACATAGTACCACAGGAAGACCGTTGTATACGTAGAAGGCAATGGGATTTCTGAAGACCTCTGTGTCATATGATTTTACAGAGGATTGACTTACTTAGAATGAAGAAACGGAACATGCTAATGTTACAAAATGTTGACTAGACATATTCCGCTGGAAGTTAATTTGCCGGTTAAGCAGTTCATCCTGTTATCCATCCCATTCTTATTAGCATTTCAGAGTAACTCAGATATTGACTCTGCATTGCAGGGAATCCAGAAAAAAACTCCATAGTATTTCAGTAGCACACCAGAATGACTTATGACCGCACATCTTTTAGGTCTTGTCTTATGTAGAACTTGTTGTTCAGTTGCTGAGTCATATCTGACTCTTTGCGACCTCAAGGACTGCAGCACGCCAGGCTCCCTTGTCCTTCACTATCTCTCAGAGTTTGCTCAAACTCCTGTCCGTTCAGTCAGTGATGCCATCCAACCATCTTATCCTCTGTTGCCCGCTTCTCCTCTTGTCCTCAATCTTTCCCGGCATCAGGGTCTTTTCCGATGAGTCGGCTATGTAGATCTGACCCAGGATAAATGAACAGTGAGTATCCATCCTGCAGACTCTCCTGATGACAGAGTTCTCACTCACTGCCTGTTTGTGCTGTCTTCTTTTCTTTGTGGAGAGACATGGGAAACACCAGTACCTGGAAGCAACTTCATCAGTGTCTTTGTTGGTTGTATTAGGGACGGACAGTAGAGACATAGATGTGTCTAGACTGTGCAAATAGACAGTGCTCTCTGTGTCCTTATCCAGCATAAGTCAGAATCTTTTTAAAAAATAAGATAACTTGGAAGAAGTGAATATTGTGTTATTTCATGGAGAGCGTGGAAAACACAGCATCTCCTTCTGTTCCACGTTCACAAGGAAGGGCCCGAGCGGTGTGCGGTGGTGTGGAGCCACTGAGTGAAATGTCTCACACTCGAAAGCACACGTACGTGTACGTGAGTGCGGGGACAGACGCCTCACTTTTTAAAATAATATCGTGTATAAATTATACATTTGTAGTGGCTCACTATATTGCGGTTGGATAAAATGTCTCTGGATTTCAGTGCAAGGTGTCTTTTCCTTTTTAGTCAGCTTACAGACGCGAGACAGGATCGGCGCCGGCGGGTCTGTGGCGGACTGCGGAGGCCTGCTAGAGAGTGAAGGGTGCGTACCCCCGGGACGCCGGCGCTCGCGCCGCGGGAGAGCCACCCGCACGCCTTTTCAGCGCGCTGAATACCTGAGGTGCCGGGGGGGGGGGGGGGGCTCTGGGGCAAAACTGTGATCCAGTGTCCTTGTCTGTAAGGAAGCTGTCGGGACTAGTGGGGTCGTGCCCCAAAGACCTCAGGGTCCAGTTTACAGAGGTTCCCTCTGGCCAGAGAGCACTGGTCAGGAATGATAGCTGCAACAGCCAGACCCGTCCGTGGAGTTGACGATGATACAGAGAGAAGTGCCATAAAAAACCAGACCCCAAAACCGTCAGAGCTCTCGTTGGTCACTGTCATGATTTTTCGATCCCCAATGAATCAACTCTTAATGCCATTAATAGTTGGCACTATCAGGAAAGAGAGAGAACTTGGCATGAACACAGATCTTGGAGGGCCCAGGGACGGCAGTGGGCTGCCCAGCCCCCTATAACGAACCCATCCAGAAGTGGGGCTCCCTGTAGAGTGTAGCAGACACAAGCAGTGTCCTCAGCAAATACGCCTCACGGAGAAGAACGGGGTAAAAGGAAGGACGAGAGCCTGTACATTTAATAGAGGGATTTAAGAGCCCCACCTACTGGATGCAGTGTGTGGATCTGTTTGGATCCCGATTGATGAGATAGTGGACTGGAGAAATGTGAATACTGGCTGGCACTATTATGACCCATTTTGGGGATCATGCTAATGGTAAAAGGCTTATCTTTCAGAGAGATGTGCCAAAATATCTAAGGATGAGATGGTAAAATGTGGGGATTGTTTTCCGAATCAGCCAGCGGAGGGGGGAAGAGCGGGACCCGGGATGGTGTCGGGGGCGCGTGAAGAGCCCAGGGCCTTCCTGGGACTAGTCCCTTACTTTGTGCGTCTCTGAAATTTTTCAGCGTAAAATGTTTTTCAAAAGTACTTGCTTAAAAGAGAAAATAGCCTATTAAGGTAAATTGTCTTCAAAGTTGTTCGGGGGATGAGGATTTATGTTAAAAGTCACTTTAAAGTCATTGCAATATTTGATGTAACAAGGTGTTCTATTATAAAATGACAAGGCGAATGGAATGTTTGAATTTGATTCCGAGTCAAGAAAATTGAAATCTCCTTTTCTGAACTTCTTATGGCCTCAGTGGCACTTAACACATGGCGCCCTTAGGCCATTGATTCTTTGTGAACAAGTTGGGCTTTCCGGTGAACTAGGACAGGACGAATTTTATGAAACTAAGCCCTGGGGACATTCTGTATTGTCTAAGAGAAGCAGATTAAACGGGTGTGAGAGCGTGGCGTGAACTGGGGGTGTGTCCCTGTCTTCGGCGGGTGTTGTCACGTGGGCTGTGCTGTCCCGCTTCCAGAACCGTGTATGAAGACTCCGGGCCTGGAAGGCCCCTCAGCTGCTTCATGGAGGAGCCAGCCCCGTACACGGATGGCCCCGGGGCCGCTGCCGGCGGGGGCAACTGCAGGTTTGTGGAATCCCCGAGTCAAGACCAAAGACTTCAGGCCCAGCGACTGCGAAACCCTGAGGTGCGAGGGTCGCTGCAGACGCCACAGAACCGACCTCACGGCCACCAGTCCCCGGAGCTGCCCGAAGGCTACGGTGAGGGCGCGCCCGCCCTTCCAAGTGCGGTCGGTGTCCCTTTCCGCCTTCAGACCTTTTCTGGTAACGCGTACCTGCCAGAACCGCTGATGTTTGCAGAGCTCTGCCCCATGGCGGTTGTGTCAGTGTAAAGAAAAGTAACCTGAGATGGTTGATGAATCCTGCTCCTCCTCAATGTATCTGCCCTTGCTCCAAGCTTCTAGGATAGCAATTGAGTGAAGAATTTAGGCAAACGAATGTCAGAGAGAGCCAGGAGGAGTAGGGCGGGGTCTGGATGAGGCTCTTTGTAGCGCCCTGGGATCTGGACATGGGAAGGACAGCCTTGGGTAGAGTGGTAAGGCGTATCACTGTCACGAAAGATAAAACAGAGTCTTTTGACAACCACAGAGGAAGCCCCTAAATGAAGGAGGATCCGTGTAGATCCATGTTGGAGGATCCACAGGGATGGGGCGGATCAGACCGGAAGTATGAGCTGACGCCGGGGACAGGGGTGGAGGCAGGCTGAGTCCCGAGGTGTGGCCGCCGCTCCGGGTGGGAACGGGAGAAGTAAGATCTGTCCACACGCCGACCCCGGGAAGCCAGGCCCAAGGTCCCCCCTGCCGTTCACACCCTTCTCTCGGTCCTTTGGAAGACCGGGGGAAGGAAGCGGGGCCTCCGAGCTCGCAGGGTCGACCCCTTGGAGTGAATGTCACTGACCTTGCCCCCACCGTGTCGTGCAGAGCAGAGAACCACGGTGCAGGGCCAGGTGTACTTCCTGCACACGCAGACGGGCGTCAGCACGTGGCACGACCCCAGGATACCCAGGTAGGCTTCCCGGGCGGCTCACCGGCAAGGCCGCGCCAGCACTGCCCGCACCCCCGACTGTGGCTGCTCCAGCCCTTAGGGCGTGGAGATGTACGCTTACAGCCTGCGCTCTTGGAGGTCCTGACCCAGACTCGCAGGGGACAGTCCCAGCTCTGCTCCCCCCACCCCCAGCCAGTCAGCAGCTGCTGTAACACAATTGGGCCCTTCAGACTAAAGTTTAGAGAGTGATACTGGGTCTTGAAATCAGGTTCCATAACTGGAAAAGACCCTCACCCTTAGATGGAATCAAATGCACTTACTCGAAAAACCTTCAAGATGTGATTGCTCTCATTTTAAACTAAAAATATTGCTGAGTAAAATGATCTGATATCTGACCTGATGCGTTAAATAATTGGAGTGGGGGAGTGAATGGGGAGCCCTGGAAGCAGGTTGGTGATGAGCTGGTAATTGTTGAAGCTGGTTATTATTCACTATGGTCTCTCTATTTTTTTTATATGCTTAAAATTCTCCATTAAAAAAAGTTAAACAGGAAATCTAAAGACTCTATCACCCTTTTTCTCTTCTACTTTACCATCCCTATTGCCTCAGTCCCTTGGGGACCATTCCTGGGGGAGATGAAGCTTTTCTATACGAATTCCTTCTACAAGGCCATACATCTGAGCCCAGGTCAGAGAGATCCCTGCCCCTCCCCTGCCTGTAATGGAGTTAAGTTTCTTTTTTCTCTTTGCTTTGCTTTCTTTTTTTTCTTAGAAATTTTTTTTTTTTTTTGGTTTGAGAATAGCATTACTACCTAATAACATTTTTAGTAATGCTCATTTCCTTTTTATTCATAATTTGTTTCGTCTGAGAACAAGCTTCTTGCTTTTGATTTTCCAAATCTATGTTGAACTTAGAATTCAGTGTCTATAATTAGAATGGAAGTATTACCTGCAAGTGAATGAGCTATCTCCTTGGTACTCTCAGGAAGGAAGGTCAGGCTTTTGTGCTCATTAGAAAAGCATCTTGGTCAGTAATGCTTGCTCCCAGGTGACTGTGGATTGGGTTGAAATAATTAATCAAGAGGTTAGACTTAGAGCTACTTGCTGATTAAGAAAAGTGACTCAAAAAATGAGATGGCCTCATCCTGGTGTAGCTCTCTAGAACGGGAAGATTTCCAATGCATGTTCCTATACCCCTGTCTGCTGGAGAAAACGTGTTTTCTCGGAGCTTTCCCACGGAGAGACCCTTCTGACCTTGAGCATCTTATTAACTTGTGAACCCAGAGAGGCCTTCCGGCAGCATTCGGATCCCCCGTACTATTGGGCTGGCCAAAAGTTCGATTGAGGTTCCCCGTTGCATCTTATGGATGTAATGTTTCGGTCCTCTTTGGTGGAAGGAATGCTATTCCCGGGCAGACCACGCTCCCTGTCATGACCATGGGCTCTGAGAGTTGCGATTTTATCCGTGGGATTTTGCTGCCACTTGCAGCACAGAGGCCGGGCCTCGGTGGGTGTTTGGTGTAAGTAGTGCCTTGACTGGCCCTCGTAGCCCCTGGATAAGGGGGCGCCCCTGCTTCTGTCCCTGAAGTTTGGGTCTCAGGCCTCCACGTGCAGATGGACACCCGCTCTCTGTCTTCCTTCCTGGTAGAGACCTTAACAGCGTGAACTGTGATGAGCTTGGACCACTGCCGCCTGGCTGGGAAGTCCGCAGCACAGTTTCTGGGAGGATCTATTTTGTGGATCATAATAACCGAACAACCCAGTTTACAGACCCACGGTTACACCACATCATGACGTAAGACTTACAGCCCTTCGCTGACCTCTTTACCGTTACAGTACCCTGTTCAATACTGATGTTTCCCTTCATCTATTGACTGCTTTGTTGGTTAGCAGAGAATAAGCGTGAGCAAAATAGGGTAATTACTGAGTGGACAGTCGTGTGTTTTAAACTCTCATGCCAGCCGGGTGCAGTCCTGCAGGCCTGTATCATAGCCAGCCTATAACTGAGTTGCAGCCTAATCAACCCCCCGAGCTGGCGCAGCTTCATTCTCGGAGCTTCCGCACGCATCTCTGATAAGACGGGTGGCCTCAGAGTGGGAAGCAGCGGAGCAAGGTTTTCCTTGGGGCCTGCTCACCACTGCGGGAAAGGGCTGGTCCAGAGAGCCGTTTGGCTTCCCAGACCGTCATTCCTGAGGGACTTGGGTCTGGGGATGACCTTGGATCCCACACTCCACGTCCCAGGTTCCCCATGTCCTCAAACATGAGAGCCCTCGGGTGCTTGTCACTGACAGCTGACGTAAGTCAGCAAAACTGGAGCAGAACAGATAGCTGGCCCTGGTCCTCCTCGGTCCCTGGACTTCCGCTTCCAGTGAGTAGACGGGAGATCTCCTGGATGAGAGAAGGCGCCGTCCCCGTCACACGCCCCTGGTTTGCTCTTGTGCGTGTCACCTCCTCCTGTGTCGTCTGCTTTGAGGGCTCCGGTCACCTCCGTTTAATTCTCAGCCCTGAGGCCCCGCTGAGAGCGCTTCGGTCAGCCTCATATGTGCACTAGATGCCGATGAATGCTAGAAGTTTCTGTTGTTGTTTAATGCAACGATAATGTATGAGATACGGAGATGGGAGTCTCCTTTGTTATATCCCGGACATCTGTTGGGTTGGCCAGAAAGTTCATTTGGGGTTTCTGGTAACATCTTATGAAAAGGATGGTCTGAGGGTGGCCACCCCCAGTTGTCACCTATGTGTGTACAGAATTGTGTCACCGGGGAAGCACTCTTGACTGGAAGTGGGGGTCCTGACCTTTCTTCTCAGTCCCTTGGTGTGCGTGTGGGGGGACACTGCTGGCCGCTGCCCTTGGGGTGACTGCAGCGCTTCTGTTCTCAAGTCACCAGTGCCAACTGAAGGAGCCCAGCCAGCCGCCACCGCCCCCCAGCGAGGGCTCCGTGGAGGACGAGGAGCTCCCCGCCCAGAGGTATGAGAGAGATCTGGTCCAGAAGCTGAAGGTCCTCAGACACGAGCTCTCCCTGCAGCAGCCCCAGGCTGGCCACTGCCGCATCGAGGTGTCCCGGGAGGAGATATTTGAGGTATGGGGCTCGGGGCAGCTGGCCGTCGGGCTGACTCTCTCCCCCGTCAGCAGACAGTGAGTTCTGCTTCCTGTCTGGTGTGTTGGGGACGAAGTGCAGGGCTTTATCAGAGCTGAAGCCCCAGGCAGGAGAGGGAACAGTATTTCCTCCTGTGGTCAAGGTTTAAAAATCAGTGACTTCTGAGTGAAGATCTAGCGATCTGTACAGAACCAGTACTAAGTGGTACTGTAAATCCCGCACCTGCACTGTATGGATGGGATTTCCTGCCGTCGGCCCGGCATCCTCAGAACCGAGCATACCCACACGGGGCCTGGCCCGCCACCTCCCCATAGGCACTGCCTCCCTGGAGAAGCCAGCGGCCTCCCTCTCCCTTCTGGCTCTGGGTGGCATGCTGACCTCTGTCCAGCTGCCCTGCGGCATCGGGCTCCCTAAATAGGGCACCTCTGGCAGGCAGGGCCCTTTTCTCGGGCTCACCATCGTCAGTAGAGTCTCAGCCGTGTGTGGGCCCCTGTGGACTCTCCCGGCCCACAGCAGCCGGGGCCGCTCAGCGCCTTCTCCAGAGTGCCCGGGGCCGCATGAGTGGAGCAGCTCAAGTGCCCGGTTTTGCCCGCTGAGCGTCTTAAACGGCTGTCAGGACAGGGGAGCTGAATTGTGGATACGCTGCTGCCAGATCTTTTCCACTCAACATCCTCTCGCCTCTTGGGATGGTCGCTTTTGAATCCCATTAAATTTAAAGCTAGAAAAGGTTCTTAAGTGCCTTTTCACTGAAAACACCTACAGACACTGCGCTGGTTCCCCTCCAGAGGCTGACTGAGGCCCTGTTAGGCTGACCACTGTTTTCTGTGTCTGATAAGCTGCTTCATGTTCCACTTAAAGCCTCCTTGGCTCTTTGACTCAGTGGGAAAATGTGATTTTTGACTTCAGATGTAAAACCAGGCTCAGAATTCTTTTACTATTTCTCTCTCATGAGGTCTTCATTTGGCTAGAGCATATAAACTTACAGGACACATTGGAATTCATTTGTGTGGAGAAAATCAGCCCTAGAGAGGACGTTTAATCCTTAAGTCGTGATTGTGCTAAGGAAACATGTGTGTATCCTTGGGTGCAGTGTCAGCTGCCGTGAGCTTTGTCGTTTCTGAGGGAGCGATGGTGGGAGAAAGGTGAAGGAGGAACAGTGAGCCGGAGCTCAAATAAACATCCTGAACAGGAACGAGACAGGACTCGGAGCGGAATTCTTAAAAATAAGCTCGGATCTTATTTATAGTCGGGCTCCATTCTAAATAACCTTTCATCATGTTATAACTTTAAAAATAAGACAAGTTCTTCTCTCTGAAGCTGTGTAATTTTGATGTGCAGGAGTCTTATCGCCAGATAATGAAGATGCGACCGAAAGACTTGAAAAAGCGACTCATGGTGAAATTCCGAGGAGAAGAAGGCTTGGACTACGGCGGGGTGGCGAGGTGAGAGGCTCGTGTGTCCCCACTTGTGTGTGGCCGCCGGCACGCCTGTGAGCAAATGTTTGCCGAGCGGTGCTGGCGCTGCTCTGGGGCGGTCAGGACTTGGGTCTTGCCGTCAGAGAGCGTTCTTAGAATTCCTAGAAGCGCGTGCCCACTAGCATCTCGCCCTGACCCACTGAGACCCAGCTCTTGACCCAGGCATCGCTTTACTTCTTACAAAGTTTGGATTAAACTTTTAACATGACTCCCTTCTCTATCTGGCCCGGGACAGTACACTCGGTGAACTTCCAGTTTAGGAACTTCTGAACCAGAAGTTAATGTGGGGCAGCCTGGCTTTTGTCATAAGAGGACTTTCAGGGGTGGGAGGAAGGCATGTACATTGCCTTTGTGTCAGATGGTTTTGTAAAGTGAGGTTTGGGTCAAAATAATTCATGCAAATGATTTTAAAGGTAATATTTTTTCGTGATTATGTTATGTTTCCTGTCTTCCCTCTTTTCACCTTTGAGACAACAGTTCTTTGGCTCTTTTAACTATTCCTTTCAATAGAATGAATCATCTAGATCGTTAACTTGATCAAGTTCATTTATTACGTACTGATCCTGTGATGTATGTTTGTAGGCACATAGACTAGGTCATGGTTGTGGTGAGGATCAAATTTAATTCTTCCCGGTTTCATAATGTCAGTATTTTTAGTTCTTCTGCCATTGTCTTTGTAACTGTACATGATGTGTTTTCACCATTATTTTTTGTTGTCCACTAGAGAGACTGTCTCTTGGCCTTTCTTTTTCATAAGGAAAGGATATTAATGCTCCTGACTTTCCCTTCCTTCCACTTCTTACCTCTTAGGTTCTATCATCTGTAGTATGACTTTTATAAGTGTCAAGGTCAAAGATTTACATTTTGTTCTGTAACCAAAATTAAGTCAGTGTCTTGTGCTTATGTATTATTTGTAAGAGTTGAAAGTCAATACATTGTTTTATATTATTATGACAGTATAAATATTGTTCACTGAAGGATTAAGTGGTATTCTGTATTCTATCATTTATTTTATCCTTTTGAACAGATTTTAATTTTTCTAAGAATTTCTTCTTCTTTTTCAAACCAGGTCTTGTCTTTGTTGCTGCATTAAATATCACCTTTTGCCAATTCCCCCCTCTCCCCTTCTCTCTTGTGGAGACCCTGTCCACCCTGATAACCTTCTGCACAGTTGTGTTCATGGGACATCACTGCTTTCTTGGGTCGGAGCCATTGTTGTGTGGGTCCCATGGCTACTTCTTCCTTGGCTTACTCACTTATGTTACTGGAGTATATCCTCAAGTAGCTTTCTTAGAAAGGGTGTGTGGGGGGTTAATTTTTCCAAGATCTTAGGTCTGAAAATATCTTATAATCTTCACTTTGATAGCTTTGTTTCTTATAGACTTCTAGAAAGAAAATCATTTTCAATCACAACTTTGACTTTGCTCTACTGTCTCCCTGCACCCAGGGTCACTGTCAGTGACAGTCTGGTTTGAGTCACTTCTGTGCTATGTGTCCCCATCCAGAAACATCCATCATCCATAGATGCTGTACCTTTTCCCTGCTTTCCTCCCCCACTCCTGTCCTCAAGGCCTCCTTGCCCAGATCCACCATCCTGCTCACTCCCCCCACCCACTCCTCACTTGCTCCTCTTTCGGCTTGCTGTACTCACTCACCGGCAGAACCCCAGTTCTGAAGCTCCCATCCCGTGTGAAGGAGTCCCCTCTCTGACAGGGTTACAAGTCAGGAAATCACCAGTGACTGCAAACCTCAACTCTGGTAGGTGCTGCAAGGGGCCTCGTTAATGTTTGGTCGTGTGTGACAGTGGTCCCATCTTGGGGGCCAGGGGACAGGAGAGCCTCCCACCCTCACAGTTTAGAATACACAAGCAGATTCTCAGCCCTGCAGCAGTCAGCACCAGCAAAATTAGGTTCTGAGAAGTGATACAGGGGTCTTACTACGTCTCTGGGTGAAGTTGGGATCTTTTCCAGCCGCCAAAAGTAAGTAAGTAAATGGGGCCGGGAACAGAATCGCTCCTCCAGCCTCTTCCAATCACGTCCGCCTCTCTCCCCTTCTGCCCCTCCGCCTGGGATACAGGATGAGCCTGGACCTTCCTGACCACGCGCTCACACTGTGACTGCCTCTCCCCGGGAAGTGGTTTTTCTTTCCAGATTGTCCCAGGTTTCTTCCTTGATCTTCCCCATATTGATTCTAGGAAGCAACTTTCTTCTGGCAAATGTAACTTATGTTTGCCCTGAAAACACGAATCCCGTTCCCCACAAGACAAGGGCTTTAGGCTTTCCGTCCCTCTCTTCAGGGAGACTCCTCTGTTTCCTCATTCATATTTGTCCTAAATTCATATCAAACTACTTCCATTCTCTCTTCTCTGCCTTTTTCTTTCTAATCTCAGGATGTCTCAAGAGTCAGTATCTTGAATGGTTTCACTTTACATTGTTTCATGCGTAGCTGGGGTTACGGTCCCTAGGCGAGCATGTGAACAGCTGGGTGAAGTTTGATTTGGAAGGAGTTCGCTTTCTCTGGTGTTTTCCATGGTTATCAAGTCTTCCAGGTGGAGAGGAGTCTTGGTGTAGCTGCTTTGATGAACATGGTGCTGCAGGGACTGAGAATCCCTGCTTTTCTGCCGTTAGTCTGATCTCCCGTTGTTTCAGCTCTCGAATCTTCTTCGTGTCTGAACGGTCCATTCCTGTCGTGGAGGGCTGAGATGTCAGTTACACATGTGTTACACATGCGTGTATGTCTGCTCCTCTCCCCTGCCTCTGGCTCTGAAACTTTTCCTTTCTGTCTCTCTCCTGACTCTGGGGATAGCTCTTCCTTGACCACTTCTAGAACTTTTCTCTTGCTCTATACCTCCACTCAGTCGGAATGTTTGCTTGTATTTTAATCACTTCCTGTCTAGACAGTTGCAGGTCCTTGGCGTTTATGAAAATAATTCTTTGTAAATCCAAACTCTGAAACTTGGGGCTGAACAAAGCACCAGAGTTGGGAAATCCTGCCTTCATAATAAAGAGGCTTCCTAAGACTGGGCATCTCATCTCTTGACAGTTCATTCCTGTTGGAGTTCAATATGTCACTTCGTGTCAGTGTGATCATTTTGCGGGTATTTTTACAAGCTTCTCTGACACATTATCTGCATTTGTGCTTATCCTTCCATATTTTCTCAACTCTATGTTTTCTATTTGAAAGAGTAAGAAATTTTAGAACTTGATAAGATTCGTCCATTTAAAGAAGTTTTGAGTAGAAAGACAAGGTTACACAAGTGTTTGTATAAGACTGCATACCTGGGTTTACCAAACCTGATCACGACAGTTGAGTCACATTTTCTGTTTAGAGTGCTTTTTTTGTTTGGTTTTAATTTGGGGCTTTTTAAAATTAAAATATTTATTTGGCTATGTGGGTCTTGGTTTCTGCACATGGGATCTTTGACCTTTCATCGTGGCGTGTGAATTCTTAGTTTCGTCATGTGGGATATAGCTACCTGACCAGGGACTGAACCTGGGCCCCTGCATCAGGAGTGTGAATTCTTAGCCACTGGACCACCAGGGGTGTCCCACTGTCACATGAGATTTTATCTCTACAAAGTAGCAGAGAAAACCTTCGTTGGGGCGCAGGCAGGCTGACAGACACTGTGCCTCTAAGCTGGTGATGATTCCCAGCAACCATAGATAGTTCTCAGCTTCGGAGTTGCTAAAGTTTTAGCCAGAAAATCTGTTTCTGGTACCACTAGAAGCAATTGTTTCCTTCTTGAAGCTTATTTGCCCAGTCTGTACAAATCACCTTCTCTCAGAGCCAGGCAGCCTTACCGGTTTGGCTTCCTAGGGCAGAGTCTATCAGTCCTGTGGTTAAGATCTAAAACTAGGGGGTTTTCACATGTCTTCTTATTGCTGTTCTTTCTAGGGAGTGGCTTTATTTACTGTGCCATGAAATGTTGAATCCATACTATGGACTCTTCCAGTACTCCACGGACAACATTTACATGTTGCAAATCAACCCAGATTCTTCAATCAACCCTGTAAGTATTAATGAATAAGGAGTTCAGAAATTTAGTTGGAGAATTTAAGTGGCTTCCCAGTTTCAGCCTCAGTTCTTGGCTTATTCATTGTTGAGTTCAGTTCAGCCGCTCAGTCGTGTCTGACTCTTTGTGACCCCGTGAATCACAGCGCACCATTCACTGTAGGCCTTCTCAGTCTGTGGCAATTAAAACATGGACAGGTCGAGTCACGGTTGGATTAGGACGAATGGTTTCCACCGCTTACCTTCCGTGGCTGGGATCGCCGAGTATGCTGTTTCAAGGACAAGAGTGAAATTGAGCTGCTCGTGGACTCAGAGCACTTTACTGCCATTTGAGGGGACTCTGGCTCGATGGCTGTATTTGTGACGGTGTCATTCTGAGAAGTGGGGTACGAGGTCCATCCTCCTCCCAGCCAGAACTGGAATATTCCCTCACGTAACTGGCCTTTTTGGCCAGCGTGCTGACACTCTTAGTTGCTTATCATAGCAGTGAGGAAACTGGAGCAGAATGTGGCCGGGCTGGCCCGCGGCGAGCGGAGCGCGGGGCCGCGTCCCGCGGTCCCCAGCGTGCACACGGCTCTGAGGGGCAGTGAGTGCGACTCTGGCCAGTGTGGACGCTCTCTAATGTAATTCCAAGCCAAGAGGAGAAACGGGGGTTCCCTGGTTACAAACCACAACAGCGCTGGTTGGGGGCTGTGTCCCCCCTCAGTCCCTTCTCTGGATTTTGCTCTCTTCTGCTTTCCTGTGGCATGGGGGAGGGATGGCAGAGGAAGAAGGGGCTGCCTCTCGCCTTCGCTTGCCTGTGGCGCGCTGGGAGGAGAGGCCGACGGCCTCCTGGTGTGCCAGCTGACTCCTGCCAGCGCCAGGCGCTGCGCTGAGAAGGGGCAGCTTGCGGTTGACTCTCTGCCATCATCATGTTGAAATTCTCCATTTTTTGAAAAGGGGGTCCTGCATTTTCATTTTGCACCGGGCCCCGCAAATTCGATAGCAGTTTTGAGGTGTTTGAACCAAGGGCACACGAAGTGTCGTCCAGATGACCTCTCCAGAGTCGTGCTGCTCTCATGTGACCTTTGACTGGTGGGTCCTGAGCGCAGCCTGTGAGTCGCCGACTCGGGCTCCTGCCTGTGGGACAGGTGTCCTGAGCAGCCTGGAGAAACGCCGCCCGGCAGCTGGCTGACGCTCTGTGTTCTCTGCTGCCCCCTGCAGGACCACTTGTCTTACTTCCATTTTGTGGGTCGGATCATGGGCCTGGCTGTGTTCCACGGACACTACATCAATGGGGGTTTCACGGTTCCTTTCTACAAGCAGCTACTGGGGAAACCCATCCAGCTTTCTGATTTGGAATCGGTGGACCCTGAACTCCACAAGAGCTTAGTGTGGATTCTGTAAGTACTGACCCGGGGAGCTGAAAATTCACCTGTCACCTGTCTTAGGGTGCACCAGGTCCGTGTGTGTGTGTGTGCACGAGCACCATGTGTGTGAAACTGGAGAATAGAAACAAACCACCCGAAACATAAAAGTCGATCTGACAAAGATATTTAATTGACTTACTATCTCATATACTGTCTGAGCAGCCTCTCTTCATGGACTAGTTTCTTTTGTTTCCTTGAATTATTAGGTTACGATTGTGGCTGTGGACCCCCAGGCCTGGTGGTTTGTTTTTTAACACTCTGAGGTGTCTCCTGATCTCTAGAGGGACCAAGTGAAGGGAACTGAAAGTCGGTCAGTCGTATCCGACTCTTTGCGACCCCATGGACTGTACAGTCCTTGGAGTTCTCCAGGCCAGAATACTGCAGTGGGTAGCCTTTTCCTTCTCTAGGGGATCTTCCCAACCCAGGGATCGGACCTGGGTCTCCTGCATGGCAGGCGGATTCCTCACCAGCTGAGGCACCAGGGAAGCCCCTAGAGGGACCAGAAGGCCTGATATCCGGTCGCCTTTGTTACAGGATTGTCCTAAAACTCTTAAAAGCAACAGGCACAGAAAAGGCACAAAAAGCTACACAATCACTGTGGGGGTCCTCGTGAATGGGCTGATTTCACAGGAATGGGAGGTCCAGCCCTCAACTGTGTCCTGCATTCTGTCCGCCTCCTTCCATGTGTCCCAGCTGTGTTTCCAGAAACATGGCGGACAAAGGAGCCAGTTCTAACTTTGAAGGGCTCCCGAAGCCCTTGGAAAGGCTGCCTGGAGGCAGGGCAGTGACATCTTCTGCCCCTTGACTCCGCTTCCCCATCATGCTTCCCTCCCGTCTGCTCAGAGACCCAGGTGCCGTGTCTCCTGAAGCCCCAGCAGCGTCGCTCCCATCACCCTCCTCTTGAGGGGGGAGCCGGGCCTCTGCCCGCAGGACTGCTGCCTCGTGGCGGCTGAGGCCACCCTGACCTCTGCCTCTGTGCTCCCTCCCCAGAGAGAACGACATCACCCCCGTGCTCGACCACACGTTCTGTGTAGAGCACAACGCTTTTGGGCGGATTCTTCAGCACGAACTGAAACCCAACGGCAGGAATGTCCCCGTCACAGAGGAGAATAAGAAGGAATATGTCCGGTAGGTAGGGTTCTGGGGCACCCGGGGCGGGGTCACCCTGGGACGGTGGGCAGCGGTCACGTTGAGATGGTCGAGGCTCCGCTGCTGCGTGAGCCTCCCGTCCCTGCCTGCACTTGGACCAGAGTCACAGCAGAGACTTCCAGAAAGTGGTGGCGTCAGCAGTGGGAGCTCTGAGTGGAGGGCTGACCTGTTAAAGGGGGATTCGTGACCCCAGAGCCCAAGGGGGGACTGGCAAGGGACCCCTCGGTTCTGGGTGACGGTGGTGACCCCAGGAGGCGGAGGAGGAGCCTGGAAGCTTCCTGCGCTCCGTCTCAGGGCATCTTCCCTCCGGTCTGTCCAACCCCCTCTGCAGGCAAATAGCCGACCAGCGACTCCATGGGGTATTCAGACACAGGTGGGGCTGTCATTCTCAGGGTCCTATATTTTATTTTCAAACTTTTTTTTTCAATTATGGCATCCCTAACAGGTCAGGTCAGATCCGACCGATTCAAGCAGAGAATCAGGGCATCTAAGGGAGGGGCTGACTTCCTTTCCTTCGAGTCTTAGGCTGGTCACCAACCACCAGGGGGCGTTCCTCCCCGTCAGCGGGGCCGGGTGGGCAGGGCCTAGCTGATGTCAGACCAACTCACCAAGGAAAGATTTTCATGAACGGAGTGCAACTGCTTCCAATGTGTGACTTTTCCTCTCAGGTTGTATGTAAACTGGAGGTTCATGAGGGGAATCGAGGCCCAATTCCTGGCTCTTCAGAAGGGGTTTAACGAGCTCATCCCTCAACACTTACTGAAGCCTTTTGACCAGAAGGAGCTGGAGGTGGGCCGTGCGGGGCTGCGGTGCCAGGGGCTGTTGTGTGTGGGGTGGTCTCTGCCTCTTGGCCTGGCTGCAGAAGCAAAGACAGGGTGGGGGGACAGGGGCGTCGGGGAGCCCTGAGCAGGGATGATGAGGCCCGGTGTCCATGTGGTGGCTGGGAGTCCGGTTCATCCATCAGTCAGGGTGTTCCGTGGTTCCCCCTGACTTAGAGACCTCCAGCATAGAGCTCCCCCAGTGCCTCCTCCCGAGGGGTCACCTTACACCGAGGATGTGACCATAGCCAGCTGCTCCCATCCTAACCAGCTGCTCGACTTTGATTCCGGCTGTTATCAGGCCCAAGATGGAGTGTTACTGTCCTTTCTCATCCATCTTCCACTCACATCTTGTCCACCCCTGGCACCACGTAGCTCGGGCCTTTCAAAGTGCCCCCAACCTTCTGCCCTGGTGTGGTGCCAGAGTGCGCGTGCCCCCCCCGGGGCGGGGGAGTCACACTTTACACCCCACGTGTCCCCAAGAGGTCCTGGGAGGCGGCCCCGTGCAGCCTTCCTGGCTCCTCAGTGCATGCCCATGCACACGCACGCGTTCAGTTGTGGGGAAACGTCACGTCCGCAGCCGCCCTGCGCCCTGGAAGCGCAGACACAGACGGGGGCCTCGGGCTGGCTGTGTGTGTTGGGGGGGGGTGTCCCCTTGTCTGAACATCACCCGGGTGACTGGGGCATGGTTGGTTGGTCTCTCCACGGCCTGGGAGCCTGGGTGGCCTGTCGCGTTGCGTGTCCAGGAAGTGACCCGCCTTCACGCCCTGCAGCTGATCATCGGTGGCCTGGACAAGATCGACCTGGACGACTGGAAGTCAAACACGCGGCTGAAGCACTGTGGGGCCGACAGCAACGTGGTCCGGTGGTTCTGGCAGGCAGTGGAGACCTTCGATGAGGAGCGGCGGGCCCGGCTGCTGCAGTTTGTGACGGGCTCCACGCGGGTCCCCCTCCAGGGCTTCAAGGCGCTGCAAGGTGACTGCAGTGGCGGCCGGGCAGGGGCCGGGGGTGTCTCCTGGCATCGGGTCTTTCACTTGGCCCAAGACCTCTTCTGTCCCCACTGCCGCCCCCAGGGTGAAAGAAACACCTGTGAGCAGTAGGAGCCTGTGTCAGCTGCACGCGTCCTCCACACCGCCTGCTCAGGGTGTCTCAGCCCATGGGCCTGCAGCGGTGGATGCTGGCCAGCCAGCCTGGTGCCCCCGTGGGGCTGGACCAGGAACAATCCCCCCAGAAAGGCCAGGGGAGCCGGGGTAGGGGGTGGGCTCCCCTCGCCCAACAGAATGGATGGCTTGGGGGGAGGAAAGCAGCTTTAAAAACGCACTTGGGTTAATTCTGAGTCTCCAGAGTGCACTGTGTGGGCCAGGCTCTCAGTCCCCTCGTCCGCGGGGGCCCGCCTGGTCGGCTGCCTGGTTCACTGAGGAGCTGCCCACCCGGCTGTCCCTTCCGGCTCACCTGGGGGCCGGCTGAGCTCAGGAGGGGCCGCAGGGCTTGTGGTCGGGGCCTCTGTCCGGGGAGGGCCTCTCCCCGGCTCTGATGGTAAATCTGGGGATTCGTCACTTGATAACCCTAAGAGCTCGCAGAAGTGAGGTTGAGAATATTAGTACCTTAAAACTTAGTAAATGGACTTCACGTGTTCCTAGTGAGAGCAGGCAGGTTTCATGGGAACGTTCCCTGTAGCCTCGTCCTTAGCCTGAGGCCCTCCGGTCCTGGGGCTTTGGTCCTGGCGTTTGTGTCCTTCTTCCCACCGGCCTCTGCACATGGGGTTTCCGGATTCCAAAACCTGCTTTTCTTGTGATGCTGCCATCCGCTGCCAACAGGGGGTCTGCCTGCTAGACATTCCTGGGTTTTTTTTAAAACAAATTCCTGGTGACTGAAGGATTCTGCTTTCAGAAACCTGCCCAGGGGCAGGCTCATGGTCGGCTGTGCGAGGAGCTCGGGCTTTGCTCTTCCTGCACCCGTGACTTTTCTGGAACGTCTGATGTTAGTTGCTCCGTGGCCATCGTGTGCAAATCCCGAGACCGGCAGAGCTCCCCGGGCCGCGTGACCCTGCCCCCGCTGGCAGGACTGGCGGCCCGGGCCGGGCCCCGCCTCTGACGCGCGTTAACTAGACTCTTACCTTGTAAGGCTCTACAGGCGCCGCAGGGCCGCGGCTCTTCACCATCCACCTGATCGACGCCAACACGGACAACCTGCCCAAGGCCCACACCTGGTAAGGACCACGCCCGCGCCAGGGTCAGCACGCAGCGACCTCGGAGCTGCTCCCCTGGCTCCTGCTGCACGTGTGTGTGTGTGTGTGTGTGTGCGCACATGTATGCACGTGTGTCCCACGTGGCCGTGTGCGTGCCACGCAGGCGCTGTCAGGAGGGAGCACTGCAGGTTTAGGTTTGGAGTCACTGGTCTCTGTGGTTTCAGCACTGTGACAGACGTGCTGAGAAAGGTTTCCTCCCTCAGTCTTCACTTAAACAATACCCGCAGTGGGCTTATTTCCTTTGTGGTTTAAAATCCAGTCACTCACTCACCCTGGTGGACCATGCATGGAGTGTCCCTCCAGCTGACCAGAACCCGTTCCAGACGCTGCCGGGACGCATGGTGACGTTGGGGGAGGTTCCTGGCTGGGGGTCCCACGCTGGCCACGACATCCGAGGGGGTGGGTCTCCACATCTGTGAGCCAGAGGACAGGCCCCCGGCACATGTGAGGATCCAGGGTCTGCCCAGCAGGCTTGGTCCTCTGATGGATGTGAAGAATGTCCTTGGGGTCATACCCGGTAGCCTGACTCCTCCTCAGAAACTGTCCTTACTGGCTTAGCCCCTAGCAATTCAAGAGGCCTCTGTGTGTCATCTCAGTCAGAATTCTGTAGTTTTTGATTCAGTGTGAGGTAGTAGCTTCTTAGGGCTTTTGGACACAGCTTTGGGAATTAACATCCCTGAGGGAATGCTGGCCCATTCATCTAATCCCGTCAGGGATCTGACGTCTTGTTGGTTTTGAGAGGCAATCTGTTTCTGTCGGAAATACTCTGGACTGCCCCACCGTGGTCTTAGATCAAGTCTCAGAGGATTTGACGCATGGGCAGTGAACTGATAGTGGTGTTTTGACCACGATGCTCTGCAAATGTGTTCCTGGTCTGAGAAATAACTTCTCCCCAAAACAAGAAACCAAACAAGGTGACAGCTTTGTCCTAATCTGGCCAGTAGGTACTCACCTGGTTTCATTTTGGTCTGAAAGATCTTAAGATTTTGCTGTGTGTTGATGGATTGAAATCTTTACCCAAGAAGCCCCAAGTGTACAAACAAGTGCTCACCCGCCCTCGCCCCTCTCCCGGGAGCAGGCCCTGGGCCAGGCAGGCTCGGCGGCGTGTCTCACCTGTGTCCTTTTCCAGCTTTAACCGGATCGACATCCCTCCCTACGAGTCGTACGAGAAGCTCTACGAGAAGCTGCTGACGGCGGTGGAGGAGACCTGTGGGTTTGCCGTGGAGTGAGGTGCACCCCGAGGAGCAGACGGAGCTCACGGCCACCAGACCCCGAGCGGCAGCTCTGGATGCCTCCGCGACGCCGGCTGCGGCCCTGGAACCCTAGAAACCTGAGGGAGAGGCTGGTCTCCCTGCTGTTGGCTGGGGGGGCGAGGGGGCGGGCAGACTGCAGCTGGTGGCTCCTCCCACATTCTCCTCCCGCTCCTGGCAGGACCACCCCCATCCACCCCATCCAATAAACGCAGCCGGGTCAGCACCGCTTCGGTCGCACGGGATCGTCTGCTCCAGCCGCGGCAGCTCAGCGCCCGTGGGCTCCACAGGAGTCTCGACCCCCAGGCAGGGAGCCACGCGGGGCACACCCCACAGCAGGGCCCGCTGCTGTCTCAAAGCCCACCTAAGGCCCCTTTTCGAGTTCAGCAGTTCTGATTCCACACCCCACCATCCCAGCGGCCTGCTCTGGGTAGCAGCTTAAGTTCTAACTGAACAAGAACCGTAAAATAGATCCTTACTGGAGTTCTGCCACTGCAGGAAGCTGGCGTCAAGACTGTGCTTCTGTTTTGGAAGGGGACGCGAGTTGGGGCGGCTTGCGTTGGGGGCCTGGCTGTTTTTTTTCAGGGTTTCCTGGCTGAAAACTTTGTTCTGCAGAGAAACATGATCTTTCCTTTTCAGAGTCCCTTTAGCCACATTGTCTATCCAGTTCAAAATATTTTTCCAGCAAAACCACCACACAACAGAGCTTATAAAACAGACCAAAACCAGCCCTGCCCCGCCCCACAGCTGCACCTGGAAGGTGTCACCTGGATCCTAATGAACCATTTTGTGGAAAGTGCTTGAGAACTAAACTAACAGGCCAGAGTTCTGTCTTCGTAGCTGCTGGCTTGGTGCGAGCCAGCTTGAAAAGGAGAGAGAATGTCTAACCCCTATGACCTACGTTCACCCCAAGTTACTGTTTTACAAAAAGCAGGTTGTGGATGGAGACCGGAAGGCAGACGGGCCCCCGGACCCGTTGGCCCACGTCCCCGTCTGATGGCAACACTCACCAAACACCGCGGCTTGACTCACCCGCCCAGGCGATGAGCAAGGCCAGAGAATGACCTGACCCTAAATTTCTAACACCGTTCCCCAATTTGCACAAAAGTTCAAATATTTTAAAATGGTTCGATTTCATAGCTAGACTTTAGTGGAAAAACAGCAGTGGCAACAAAGTCTCCCATGTGGACTTGTGTTGTTTTTGTTTGGGGGCTGAGTGCAGGGTAACTCGCTGGCAGGACGCCGAACTTCTGTTGTGGACGTTCCCAAGGTCCGTGCTGGGATCCATCTAGCTGTGGGTCTGGAAGGCGCCTTCTGGCCGCCTGACTTGTTCTTTTTCGTTCCCAATGCCTGTGGACAGCACTGACCCTCTGCATCTTGCTGTGGTTCTTCTCTTGACCCAGAAGCAGTCAGTGGCCTGGGGTGGGGGGTGGGGGTGCATAGAGAGAAAGCCGTGCTGTCGGGTGACTCGCTGGGGTTCTAAAATAGGAAGGATGCCAGTGGCTGTAAAAGGAAAAGCGCCCCCTCAGAATGTCCGGGCTGTGGGCTGAGCTGTGCCCGAGTTACCCTGACGCTTTCCGGGTGTGCTGGGAGCTGGCTCCTCGGGGGCGTCCTCTGGGGCGTGAGGGTACAGACAGACACACCCCGCCCTGTGACCTGGACCTAAACCTAGAGGAGGGGACCGAGGGGGGAAGACATACCTGGTTTTCCTGGGGTGTCGGCCAGAGCCTGCCGTAATTAGGGAGGAAACGAGGGTCTCGTGGCTGAGAAGACCTGGAAGCAGGAATGAGGCGTTTGCCTCCTTTGCAGTGACCTTCCTGCTGATGGGGGGGGCGGGGTGGGCTGCTTCCCATGTCACATGTCACTTCAGCAGGAGCAGAGGGGCCCCACCGGGCTCCTCCGCGGGCTGCTGGCGACCGTGAGCTTCACCTCCCCAGGGCCTGGCTCTGCTTCCTGCTGGCATGTGGACCCCTCGGCCCCCACAGCTGGTGTCAGAGAGCCTGGCAGAACCTTCCAGAGCTCCAGGTCACTCGAGCTAAGCAGGCCTGTCGGTGGCACTGCCCCCCGAACCTTAGTGTCCACGGGGAGTGGGCCTTTCGACCCCCCACCCCCACCAAAGAATCGTGTCTAGCCCTGGGTGGTCCCGGGTGAGCACCCCCCACCCCTGCCCTTCCCGGGAGCCGCAGACGCCCCCGCCCCCCGCCTCTGCCCAGAAGCTTCAGGGCCCGACCCCCAGGCTTGCCTCACCAGCGGTCATCAGCCGACCCTCAGGGATGTAGCAAACCACCGCCCCTCGGTGCTTTAGGGAGACCGGAGGGGCTGCGGGGCGGCTGCCAGCCATCTGCCGGCTCCTCCCGGGAGAAGCGCCTGGGAACGAGGCCCGGGGATCGGTCAGCGCAGGGTCCGAGCCCAGGGCGGGCGGTCCTCCAGGCTGAGCTTTCCGAGAAGACGCCCCCGGCTGCGGCCAGGTGTTGCCGAATGGCAGCCTTCCCAACACATAGTATGGATTTTAAAAATTTGTTTATTTTTGTCTCTCAACCACTTTATAATGTATTTTTATTTATTTTGTTTTTAAGTACTGCTGCTATCCTTGTTATCCTTCCCATGGTTTTTATTGCTGATTTATTTTGTGAAAGTTGTACACTAATGTTGTTTTATGTCAAAATCAAAAGTATTTAAAGAATACTAGTTCTATTTAATGTGGTTATAGAACCAGCTGGAAACACAATACAGTGATTGTACAGCAGGCTGGACCCCGGTGGTCAGGTTCATTTTGTTACATATGCAATAAACTCACAACTTTACATTTTTGGTGTCTGTTATTTGGTGTGCAAGAGAGATTCCAGCTTTTTTTTTTTTCCCCAAGACAGGCAGTCAGTGGCAAGGGCCTTCTAAAGGAAAGGGGCAAACTTCCCATCATTACAGCAGGAGGAAGAACTGATGGCAGCAAATTTGGAAAACAGTATGGAGGTTTCTCAGAAAACTAAAAATAGAGCTACCATGCTAAGTGCTGTGCTATGCTAAGTCGCTTCAGTTGTGTCCGCCTCTGTGTGACCCCATGGACGGCAGCCCACCAGGCCCCTCTGTCCACGGGATTCTCCAGGCAAGAATGTTGGAGTGGGCTGCCATTTCCTCCTCCAAGAGCTACCATATGACCCAGCAATTCCACTCCTGGGTTTATATCTGAAAGAAAGCAGAGACACTAATTCGAAAAGATACAGCCCAATGTTCACAGCAGCATTATTTACAAGAGCCAAGACATGGGAGCAACCGAAGTGTCCATCAACAGATGCATGGATAAAGAAGGTGTGGTGTATATATATATATATATATGTATGTGTGCATGCATATATACATACATGTGTATACACACACACACACAGTGGAATACTAGGCCATAAAGAATATTCTGAAGTTTGCAACAACATAGATGGACTTGGAGAGGAGTATTCTAAGTGAAACAAGTTTAAGAAACACAAATACTTTGGTATCACTTATGTGGAATCTAAGAAATAAACTAGTGAATATAACAAAAAAGGGGAACAGATTGACAGGGAAACCAGCGGTCACCAGTGGAGGGGACGGCAGGGGGAGGTGCAGCGTAGGAGCTGGGGGTTAACAGGAGCAAAACACCAGGGCTTCCCCGGCGGCTCAGTGGTGAAGAATCCACCCGCCAGCGCAGCAGCCATGGGTTCGAGCCCTGACTCGGGAAGATGCCACATGTCGGGAAATAGCAACTCGGCCTGAGCACCGCAACCATGGAGCCTGTGCCTTAGAGCCCACGTGCCCTCGAGCCCGGCCTCCGCAGAGAGGAACCACTGTGGTGAGAAGCCTGTGCACCGCAGCTAGAGAGCAGCCCCTGCTCGCTGCAACTAGGGAAGAGCCCACAGCAACAGCCAAGACCCAGCACAGCCACAGATAAAACAAAAACTAGGTATAAAATAAGCTACGAGGATATAGTGCACAATACAGGGAATATATAGCCAGTATCTTGTAAGAACTATAAATGGAATATAACCTTTAAGATTGTGAATCGTTACTGTACACCTCTAATTTACATTGTACATTAACTATATTTCAAGTAAAAAAAAAGTGTAACTTTGAAAAGAGAGAAGAAGATTCACTAGCAGGTTTGATAGCTGACACTGGATTTGGCAAATGATTCCTTAGATATGAAACCAAAAAGCACAGGCAACAAATGGAAAAATCAGAAAAATTGAACTAAATCAGAATTTAAAACCTGTGCAAGAAAGGACACTGTCAACAGAAAGAAAAGGCAGGCTGAAGAGGTGGAGAGAAATACCGAAGTCACGTACCTGATAAAAGGGTTTAAGATCCAGAATCTATGAAGAATTCCTACAACTTACAGAAATAACGAGCAATGGTTTTGAATTTACATTTCTTCAAATAAGATACAAATGGTCAACAAGCTCATGAAAATATGCTCAACCTCACTAACAGTGAGAGAAATGCAAACCAAACCCACAATGAGGACAAATGGCACTTTACACTCCTTAGGATGGTTATCAAAAAAATAAATGTTTGGGGGCCTTGCCAGGCAGTCCAGTGGTTCAGATCCATGCTTCCATTGGAGCAGGTGCTGGTCTGATCCCTGGTCAGGGAACTCAGATCCCACAGTTAAGAATATATAATATATATATTTTTCTTATCAGAAAACAAGTATTGACAGGGATGTGGAGAAAGTGGAGCACTTTTGGTGGGGATGTAAAATGGTGCCGTCACTGGAAAACTGTATGGAGGTTCTTCAAAAAATTAAAAATAGAACTGCCATATGATCCAGAAATTTCAGTTTTGTATATATTCCCCAAGGAATTGAAAGTCGGAAGTCGAATGGGTATTCTGATTCCCCTCAAAACATCCATGTTCGTTCCAGCATTTTTCACAATAGCTGAAAGACGAAAGCAAGCCAACGGTCCCAAAATGTGATACAAAGACACAGCGTATAACCTTGTGACCTTATCCAGCCTTGAAAAGGAAGGCGGTTCCGTCACGTGCCGCACTGCCGTGCTAAGTGAGCTAAGCTGGTCACAAAAGAACAAAGAGCACATGCTTCTATGTACGAGATTCCTAGAGGAGTCAAAACCATAGAGATGAAGAACGGCACTTGCCCTGGCCTGGGGAGAAGCATGGGACTCAGGGTTGATGGAAACAGTTTCTCCTTGGGAGGAAGAAAAAGTTCTGCAGGCGATGGGGGCAAGGGCTGTGTGAGGATGGGAAGGTACTCAAGGCCACTGAACTGCACACACAGACATGGCAGAAATGAGAAATTGTTACATGTAGTGGAGAGCTTAAGAAAATCTTAATGATCATGCTTACCCTTGAAACCACGTTAGGAAAACTGGGCACACACTGGGAGTAGCTCCCCACACAAGCCCGCTGTCTGACCTTCCTTGCTCCTGGGGACCCAGGTCCCGGCAAAGCCAGGTTCTTCTGCGGAGACAGCAGAGGCTTCTGGTCACGGAGGTGCTGGCTCAGGGCTGCTGACTCCGGGACGAACCGATGGTGCACAGGAGGGGCTGCGTCTCCACTGGGGAGAGGCTGGCTTTTCCAGGAACCAGGGTCAGTGCCTGGGGCACGGTGTGGGCGAGCCTGGCCTTGAACCCAGGTCCTTCTCACCAGGATGCCGACCCGACGCCAAGCAGCGAGGCTGCGAAGCAAACGTTCCCTCCACCCGAATGCTGTCCACGCGTCTCTGCGAACACCAGGCTCCACACCCACTCCAACAGGACCGAGGTAACCCAGCGGCTGGTTTTGGCTACGTCCTGACCCCGGCTCCCAAGACCCTGCTTCAGAGTGAGGGCTGTCGGATAGACGGGCGCCTCCCCCTTCCAGCCTGCCGGCTGCGCGGGGACCCCTGTCGTTCGAAACACAGGCTCCCGTCGTTCCAGAACCCAAGACGCTTGCTCACAAAAACAGCCGAGTATTAGTAAAATAACTTACAATCAGCTCCAAATAAAGGATGGACACTCCAGTCAGACGGACCAAACCCAGCCCCTCAGGCTCCGTCCATGCGGGGGCTGGAGTCCAGGAGACAAGGTTCAGTCTGTCCTGCTGATGGGCCAGGCCGCAGCCAGGAACGCGGCTCTAGGACGCTGCCTCCGGGTGTCTCCCTGCTGCATGCGGGTCACCGGGCCGCAGCCCTGAAACACCTGAAGGGTGCCGAGAGGGACCAGCCCCTGGGCGTGCTTTCTCGCCATCGGTCGGGACCAGGACCTCACGTTGAGGGGCTCAGACCCAAGTCCCAGCTGAGGTCCCAGCTTGGCGCGTGTCACGGTCACCGTGGGGCCACCCTGGGGCCCAGGCCCCGCTGGCTCAAGGGTCACAGGGCACAATTTGCAAAAACAACACGTCCTTCGATAAAATATTTATTCTAAAAAAATCACACTGTACAAATTTAGATAGAACGTTCTCAAGGCTCATACTTATAAAAATGTGAACAGAACAGATTGGAGGTAACGAACAAACCTTTGTTGCTTCTTTTTAAATTAAAAGGGGAAAATTTTTTTTTTTTTTCCCAGGTACAGTGATAGTAAATATAGAGAAGACAGCCGAAGAGCAGCGGAACAGAAAGGGTCGCGCCCGTTCTCGGCTCTGTGGGCCCCGAGGAATCCGACTCCAAATGCAGGGGCGGGCGACCCATCCACACCGGCCACGCGGGGAGGCTCTGGGACTGTTTCCACACAGCCTGGAAGTCTGTGCTTAGAGAAAATCCAGCACGGTGTCTTCATAATTTCCTGTTTCTCTAACAAAGTGGGTTTTCTGTACACTTGTTACAAAGCTCTGTACAAAAGCTTGAAGCTCCTGGGAGGTGTCACTTCTGAAAGTTAAAAACGACAAGGAAGTGTTTCCTACAGTTCGATCTGCACATTCACACGACGGAGGAAGTCGATAAAAAAGAATTCACAGAGATTCCAGGCCAGGGAATCCTGGCTTCTCTGAAGCCTGCTTTAAAAGCTGCGGGTTGGTCTCCGCTCCCACCTGGACTCGCCTGGCCTTCCTGACGCTCAGCCCCCAACCGCTGGGGGAACCGCCCACCTCGCCGAGCGGCCGGGCTCACAGCCAAGGGTGCCAGGCGGGGTCCATGCGGCACAGGTTGTCCAGGCTGTTGGCAGCGGCCACGAGGGTGTTGACTTTGCTCTCCCCGCCCTCGAACTGGGCGAGGTTGTGCAGGCGGGTCACGATGGCCGTCACAGCCTTCTGCACCAGGGACACCAGCTGCTGGCTGTCCATGTTCTCAGGCTGCCCGGCGGCTGATAGCGGGGACGACGTGTCCTCCTGCGTCTTCTTGTGCCAGGCGATGATCTCGTCCCGCAGCACAGTTTTCAGGATGCCGTCCACCTGCGGGGCGAGAACGGAAGGCTCGCGCTTGACCACTGGCCCAGAGGGCAGCCCCCCAGCCAGGCACGCTGCTGCGGCGGCTGTCGGGGCCCGTGCCACGGTCACTCTGGTGGGGACGCTGCAGCCAGACACGTGTGATGACCCCTGGGGTTCTAAGAAAGGTGGGGGCCGATGGCTGCCGCACCCCCGGGTCAAGGCGCCGAGGAACGGAGTCCGGAGGGAAGGTGGTGGGGGCTGGGCGGGGGGGCCTGCGGGAGGACGGCAGGAGCGCCCGAGGGGACGGCAGGAGGGCCGGGGACCCAGAGGCTGGCGGCGCCACTGGGACGACTGACAGGACGCTGTGACGACAAGACGGACAGACCCTGTGCAACCCTCCTGAACTGGACGCCCAGCCGCAGCCCGCTGTCACGTCAGAGGTGCCGGGGCTTCTCAAGTGTAACCTGGACTGACACGCCGAGGGGGTGGCCCCAGAACAACGTGTCCTTGGAGGAGATCCCCAGGCAGGGTGGTCTCTACGGTGACCTAATGCAAAGACAATCACCCCACTGGGGCTGGAAGGGGCGTGGCCCCGAGTGTGGAGAAGCCCAGCTTCCTCCCACCCACAGCCGCGCAGGCTGTGCGCAGGGACGCCGGCAGTTCTTCCAGGTCATGAAAGTGAGAGATGTCGCTCAGTCGTGTCCAGCTCTTCACGGCTCCACGGGCTGTAGCCCGTCAGGCTCCTCGGCCCATGGGGCTTTCCAGGCGTGGATACTGGGGTGGGGGCCAATGCCTTCTCGTAACAGGCCTTTAAAAGGCGTTTCCAATCGTGGGCCGCTCTTGGATGACCCCATCTCCAGAAGTGAGCGTTTCCAGGGAACAACTCCGAGCTGTATTTGAGGTCTTAACCCTAAGTGGATGAGCGTCACTGCGCTCCCTGCCTGCGAGCGGGCTCCGTGTGCTGACCCGTTTCAGAGAGGCCATCACCGGCTCCGGAGCAGCAGCAGCGACACCGGGGCGGGGGGCGGGGGGGAGGGAGCAGTTGGACGTTAACAGAGACAAAGTCCGTGCTTGCAGTCAGGAGGGGACTCGGTGATTTAAAACCTGTTCTGAGTAAATGTTTTGCAAAAGCAATTGGTGTCTGAAGCCTTCTCTAGACACAGACTGCTTATCTGGGAAAAGAGCAGTCAGTGCAGACAGTCCCAGAAGTCAGAAGAAAACAGTAAACAGTGTGTGTTCCGTCCCTGACTGCGAAGAGACAGGCTCGGGGTCAGAGGACTGGACCGGCATCCCCGTCTGTCCTCCCGAGCCCAGGGCACGGCACAGGGCTGTCAAGAGCCCCTGGTGTGGCCACATCTCATCCCCCAGGGGTTCACCATGTGCTCCTCCCGGGACGACCCTGACCCACCTTGAAGTTGGGCTGGGCGAAGCAGCGGGCGACGGCGATCATGGACGCAGTCAAGGGGCCGGAGACGCCGATGGTGGTCAGAAACTCGGAGATGTTGGGCGTGAGACGGAAAGGGACAGGGCGGTTGGCATCCAAGTCCCCGGTGGCGTCGTTTATGTCAAAGCGGAAGTAGGCCACGTTCAGCTTGCCGGTGTCCTAAAGGTCGGAGGCAGACACTCATGGGCGGAAGCAGCGGGCAGACTGAGCCGGGGCCGGGGCCCGGCCGCTCCCGCCGCGTTACCTGGGCGATCTGCAGCATCTCGGGGTTGAGTCTGTTGAGGTGCAGGACGAACTCCGCGAAGCCGATGAGCGCGAGCTGGATGGTGAACATCTTGCGGAAGGTCCAGTAGTCAGTGGCGTTGGGGAAGGTGTGCAGGGCCCACTCCTTGAGCATGCTGCGGGGCACCATGTTGCTCTGAACCTCCTTGAGGATGTCGCGAAGGACCTGGGGGACAGGGAGTTCGGCAAGTGGGTCAGGCATGGGCAGGCTAGACAGACACCTCGGGGAGCGGGGTGTGTGTGTGAGGGGTGCTCAGGGCCGCCAGGAAGGTCCTGGCATTGGTTCTGGGTATTCCTCAATGGCCTCTGGGGCTGACTGAGCCCAGAAAAGTCACCACACACACACACACACACACACCATCACACCGCCGGGGGGGAAGGGCCTGACGGTGAGTGTGGCCACACTGTGTTATCCAAAACACCCTGTTTTCAACAGAAGGTCATGAGGCACGTGGTGAAGCAGGACAATGCACACAGCAAAGAAAGAAAGTCACCTGCATCGTCACTCAGGTCCAGATCACAGAACGAATTCTTAGAACCGATAAAAAGACAAGTCTTTTTACAAATCACCCAACATAAAAAATGAGCAAATAGGGATTTTTCTGGTGGTCCAGCAGTTAAGAATCCGGCTGTCAATGGAGGGAACACAGGGTCAATCCCTGGTTTGGGAAGATTCCACACGCCACAGGGCAACGGAGCCCATCTGTCGCAACTATTGCAGCCGGGTCGCTCGACCCGGGGGTCCACCGTGAGAAGGCCGAGCACGGAGACTGGAGAGCAGACCCTGCTCACCACAGCTGGAGAAGCCCGAGCAGCAGCGACCCGGTGCAGCACAAAATTAAAAAAACATTTATGTAAAAAAATGAGCAAAAAACTTGAACCAACTTTTCTCCCAAGAAAATATGCAAACAGCCAATTAGTAAATGAAGAAATACTCAGTATCATTTGTTACCGACCAAAATAAACCAGCACTTTGCACCCACTCAGGTGGCTGTGGTCAGAAAGACAGACGATACTAAGTGCTGGCAAGAACATGGAGAAATCAGAACTCTCGTACATTGTGGTCACGTTGGAAAAGTCTGTGGCTCCGTCAAAATGTTAAACGTAAGTGTTACCAAATAACCCAGGGATTCTACTTGTGTACAGATGGCCAAGGGAAACTAGAACACAGGTCCACATAGAAACCTGTACATGCATGTTCACAGCAGTATTAATCTTAAGACAAAAGGTACAAACGTCCACCAACTAACAAATGGGTAAGTTAAATGTGGTCTCTTCATACAAGGGAATGATCAGCAATAAAAAGAAACGGTGGACACGTGCTGCCGAGCGCCGAGCGGATAACCTCGAGAACACGCAGTGCAGAGGAGCCAGGCACGAGAGACGTGTTGCATGGTTCTGCTCACAGGACGCGTCCAGAATAAGCAAGTTTACAGGCAGTGCGGTAAAAAATGCAAAGGGGAAAGGAGCCGAGTTGTCAAGAAGCAAACTAGGGGAGGAAGACCAAGAAGAGACCCGCGCGCTGGGACGGCCTGTACATCCGAGCCTCCCGCAGGCCCAGGAGGGCCCTGCACCGCCCCTGCACCAGACCCGCGCTCAGCTCCATCTTCCCAGAGCAGGAGGAGGGTTCTGATGCAGCCACGTATTTGCAGACAGGGGTCACTGGCTTGCACAGTCCAAGGAACACAGAACCTTGAGAATCCAATCCATTCACCTCCCACCAACACCTCAAAACTGCCACGGTCCACGGAGACCGCTGAGCACTGAAGAACCCCACCTGCTCTGCTTGCACGAAGGTGGGGGCTGACACCAGACCCTGCACCCCAAGCACAGCGCAGAGGTGAGACGGGCGCCCCTGGGCTCCGTCCTCCTGAACCAAGCCCTTCAGGACCCAGAGTGATGGAGACCAGTCCCTGGACAACAGAGGCAGCTTCCGGCCCTGGGGGTCTCTCCCCAGATCCAGGAGGCGCCCTTGGGGACCGCAGGAAGGACCACGGAGGCAGCAGGAGAACCAGCCAGAGCTGCCTCTTGGTGACACAGACAACCCTGGACAAAGCCTTCTCACCCACACTCTCACTGGCCTGCTGCCCCCAGGGCGGGAGCCGCAGGTGCGGAGGGATCCTCGGCCCACCAGCAGGTGCAGCCGGGACATCTGGGACTCAGTCAGGGGCTCCATGGCTCCACCCGAGGCAAGGGAAACAGCTGGCCCGACAGGTTTCCGCTTCCCCACGTTCCACATTTTAGCAAGGACACACCGCACAGAGACTGTGCGTGACCTGGAGGCCTGGCAGCAAACCTGTGAACACGCCCAGTAGGCAGGCAGGCAGCCTCACCCCCCCACGCTTGGGCTGTCAACCAAATGAACCTGCCAAGCAGTTCCTTTAAAATTCTCATCTCTCAGCTACTCTTCAGGAAGGACTCTGAGCCTCTGCAAGGCTGAGTGAAAACGTACCTCTGTCCCATTAGAACGAGAGGCCCTTGGTCGAGCTCACGGCCACCCCCCAAGCCCCCGCAGCCACCCGCCCGCCCGCCCGCCCGCACCTGGTGGCTGGCCTGCGTCCCGCGTGCCTGCACCGTGGCCAGGCGGTCGTAGTAGCGGGAGATGGGGTTGTCGTGCTCAATGCCCTTCTTGGCGCAGCGCTGCTTGTAGATCTCCACCAGCGACAGCGAGGAGGGGTTGTCCTCCACCAGGCGCATCTGCGGGGACACGGCCACCACGCGGGGGACTGGAGAGAGAGGGGGGATGGTGCGTGAGGCAGGGCCGACTGGCAGAGCACGGCACGCGTGCGCTCAAACGCCCACAGCGCTCTGCAGAGCGGATTTCTCAATTCACTTATTTTGGGGCAGTCTGAACGTAAGGGTGAGAGACTTTAAGTCAGAAGAGGCTGGATCACGGCTCAGCCAGCAGAGCACTCCGAACAGGACCAGACACCACACAAGGCAACGGGCTCCAAACCTGGGTCAGCGTGAAGGTGACCGCAGTTCTCTCTGGGGTTGGGCAGTCACAGGCAGCCCGGCCCCACCCCACATGACAGGTTCACGATTCACCCACAGCCACTCGGTTCAGTAAAGACCTCACCCAAGGTGGCTGGGTGCTGCCTGAACGAGATGTCAGCGGCCTTCCTGGGGCTCCTCGACTCCCAGAAGGGCACCTCAGGCTGTGCCCACATGGCAGGCTGTGCCCAGAGCAGATCAAGACATGAAAGTGAAAACTGCTCAGTCGTGTCCGACTCTTTGCGACTCCATGGACTATACAGTCCATGAAATTCTCCAGGTCAGAATACTGGAGTGGGTGGCCATTCTCTTCTCCAGGGAATCTTTCCAACCCAGGGATGGAACCAGGGTCTCCTGCATCGCAGGTGGATTCTTTACCAGCTGAGGCACTGGGGAAGCCCAAGGAGAGATAAAAGACTGCGCTTAGAAACTGTGTGCGGAGCGCGCCAGCAGCACGCCCCGCGCAGCCAACGTCACCGGAGCCAGGCGGGCTCCCGGGGGAGCAGAGACGGCTGTGCGCCCGCTCAGGGCCTCTTCTCCAGGCGGGCGCTGGTTGGACACGTGTCCTGCGGGGGGCGGGGCGTGCGCCGGGCGGGGTGTGCTGGAGGCGGCGCGCGTACCTGTGAAGAACAGGTGCCTCTTGGTGGTCTCCTTCCGCTTCTCCAGGCAGGGGTTGAGCAGGCGCAGCAGCTGCAGCACGCGCTCCTCCCGCCGCGACTCGGTCAGGCAGGCATCGTTCATGACCAGGTACGGGTAGATCTTGCCGTTGTGCCCGCGGATGTAGAGCCTCCTGGCGGCCGTGTTGTGCTTCTGCACGATCTCCACCCGGGGCATGAACCTGCAGAGACCACGGGCGCTAAGCCCACGCCCTGCGGCCACTCCGCCCCTCTGCTTTGAGAGCGGAGCTTCCCGGACGACCACTGGCCAGACGGGGGGGGGTCAGTTACCTACGCCCCGCCTCGCAGGGACCAGGTATGGGCGCGCCTCGGTGTGGGAAGGACAAAAGGGAAAGAAAAGGCGAAACTGGGGTTTCCAACAGTTGCGCCGAGGGCCTGGCCTCAGCAGTCAGAGGATGCTGGGGCCCTCAGCAGCAGGAGCGCCTGGGCCCCTGGGCGAGCTGGGATGGGGCATGGGCCCGCACGCCCCCGGCGCTCACAGCGGAGGGGCGGCGTGGGGCCCGCACGCCCTCGGCGCTCACAGCGGAGGGGAGCAGCAGGGTCCAATTTGGAGGACCCTGTTAAAGGCTGCCACTTCTCAGCTCGCTTTACATTTTAAATGAGATGCAACTCACCTTGCTCTAAAAAATTTTTACCCTAGTCCGGTTCTGCTTTGAATACTGTGCTTTCAGAGTATACAAAACACTGCAGAACTCCACTTTGTCAAGTTCTACAAGCATTCAGAAAGGGTTTTTTTGAGAGCAAACACAAGCTTGACTCAGACAGGACACGGAACCCATGGGTTCGCCCGGACACGTGAAAGGTGCCCAATGACCCCAACCTGGGGGCAGTCCCGTGTCCTCTCCCGGGGGCAGAGGGGCGGGAATCACAGTGTGAACCGCTGACTGGTCTTCCTGGAGGGGCTCCCGGGCATCTGCTGGGGGAAGGTGTCAGTGACCCCGGGCCGGCCAGGCGCACTCACCGAGCGATCTTGATGTAGTAATGTGTCGGCTTCGGCATCAGAAACTCCCCGGGAATTTCCACCTCTGCCGTCTGTGCTGAGAAGTTGCTCAGAAACCGGCACTTCTCTTCAATGAGGAAGAATTTTGGAAGCTGCTTGGTTTTAGCCTCCAGGATTTTGATCCACTTTTTCAGTTTGGAAATCAGATTATGAAGCTTCATGGATCCTGGAACACTGAAGTCAAAATCTGCAAAACAGAAAATGATTAGAAACATTTTCGGCCACCTGGGTGACTTCCCATTCACTGCACAACTATGGCTCTGGCACGGCCCAGGAGGAAACAGTAATAAGTGCTTCGAGGGGCAGAACTCCAATAAACAGCACATAAAGATGCCGGCTGGAATAAATGGCACGGAGCTCTGGGTCCGACACATGGCTGCTCCCCAGCTTCACTCGCCACGTCCATGTGACTTTAACTGTGCATACGTGTCACCAGTTTCACTACAGTCGCTGCACTTCTCTCGTGGGGTTTTCCTCATGGCATTTCTCTGGCTTTCCTTTACCATCTCGCATCCGGTCACCTGACTAGCGAGGTGAGCACGAGGCAGGCAGGTCTCCATCCGCGGGGACACGGGGCTGCACCTTCCCAACTCCAGGGCAGGAAGCTGTTATCAAGGCCAGGCCTGATCTTCATGGACTGGGTTTCTGTTTGTTGTTAACTTTTATTTTGAAATAAATATTCACAGGAGCGCCAAGAAATGTACAGGGAGGGCCACACGCCCCTTCCCAAAACCAGGGCACTGGCACAACCTATGGGGCTGATTCAGACACGAGACCTGTGCGTGTGGTGTGTGCACGTGTGCACCCGTGAGACGTGGGGGGGGGGGGGATGGCAGCGCTGTATATCCAGGAGGCCCCCCGTCCACCGGCTCTGAGCCATGCCCGCCTCCCCCGCACCCGACGCCCGGCCACCGCTGGTCTGTTCTCCGTCTTGACCTCACAAAGGCTTCATAATTTGTAAGTGCGCGGCAGGAATCCTCAGCACGGCTTTGTGCATTCAGCACAACTCTGAAGTTATCCAAGTTGCCGTGTGTGTCAGTTAATGCCTCTTCATCGGCTTTATGAATGTGGAAGAGCCATACTCTGTGTCCCTTCTCCTTGGAGGGGCATCTGGGGGACTCGCGTTTGGGGCTGTCACCACAAAGCGGCCGTCAGCGCTCGGGCACAGCGTCTGCAGGGGGGTCAGTCTTCCATCTCGGGACCCAATCTCCGGAGCCGCCTTCCCCCGTGCGGCTGGAGCCAGGGCTGTGATGCTGCTGTGGGCGGAGGGGCAGCCCTCCTGAGCTCTGCAGAGCAGAACCGGGGCGGACACAGGGGCGGTCCCTGGGGCGCGCGGCCAGCGGGGATGGATGCAGGCATCCGACACTCGCTGCAGCAGGCGGTGGGTCGGTGCCTCGAGGCTGGCCTTCCTCCAGGCTTCGGTGCCTGTCACTCTTTCACGTCGGAATCCAGATGTGCTCCCCCTCTAACGCTCTACTTCAGACTACGTTTGGTTGTAGATATGGATACACTAAGAATCACTTGTTTTCAGTAATAAGTGATGGCTTCCACAAAACTTCCATCTCAGACGCCCTTTTCCCATGAAGGAGAGGACCCATGCGCTCCAGCTCCGAGGGGTGCGGCCTGGCCCACATGTACCCGGAGGACGGGGGTCCCTGATGGGGACTCAGGCTGAGGGACAGCGGCCATCAGCCTCAGGCCTCAGGCCACACAGAGAGGTGGGGCTGGAGTCCTGCTCCTGCTGGTCCAGGAAACACAAGCGCCTGACCCGGGGACAGGATGTGCACACCCCCCGCGGTCCTCCTGACGCCAGAACCACCAGGGGGATCCCTGCCTGTCGCCTCGGGGCTGGCGCCTTCGGGTCTCATCGCCTCACCTGACCCTGTCCAGTCTTCCAAAAAAGACCCGGCAGGCGGAGGGACTGCATCCTAGAACCCTGTGTCCACCCCGGCTCTGATCCTTTGCTTTTTCCCTGGAGGGAAGGCTGTGCGATCCTGGGGTAGGGGAGTGTCCCGTTTCCTTACAGTCTAACCCGCCCGCCCAGGGCTGTGGTCCAGAAAACCAACGGGTGCGGTTAACCGGATGGGTAGGACCGAGGAGAAAGGTGAGGCGCTGCTTCCCGGGTCGGGACTCACCGGTGGTGAACTGGCCTTTCAGCTTCTGGAAGACGGGGTCCTGGGCAGTGGCCTGGGCGCGTCGGGCCAGGGACTCGGAGGCGGCGCTGGAGAACATGGTGGAGACGTTGGACACGTTCTCCAGGCCCACCCCGAACGTGCTCACCAGCTTCTTGACGAAGTTGAGGGTGTGGGGCGTGATCTTGGCGTCCGACACTGCTCCGCTCTTCTCAAAGGCCACCGAGTAGCACTTGGCCAGGCCCTGCTGGAGCTGCCTGAGGACCTGGGGGCCAGAGACACGGTGGGCTCGCACAAGAGAGCTCTGCGCTCGAGCAAGCTGCCCCCCCGCCCACTGGGCACCCGCCCAGCCGGCCCCACCACTGACAAAGCTGTTGGGGCCCCAGAGTGTGCAGAAGCAGCACGGGGGGGCGCCCTGGATGCTCACGCCATGAGCTGTGTTCTCAACAGCAAGGACAGCTGTCCCGAAGAAAAAGACCCACAAGCCCACTCTGCATCGCGCACAGGCCCTTCCGCTGAATCGCCAACAGAAAGCCTGTTTCAGATCACATCCGTGTACCGTGCACACACACAGGGTAACAGAGCACCAACAGGGGCCTCGTGGCCAACCAGACGACGAACGCTGGTTACTTATCACCACCACTGAGACGGCGGCCTGAGAACCAGCTATGGCCCCTGGAGATGACGGCCCATGGGGTGACCTCTGCCCACATCCCGCTGCTCCTTGCCCAGGGGTGGGATTTCAGCGGTTAGGTTCGGACAAGTGAACAAAATAAGCGTTTTAAGGGCAGCAGGGGCTTCCTTGATGTCTTCGTTAGAAGTCTTCTGCTTTGGCAGGGACGACAGCACCAGGGTGCAGACGTGGAGCCTCCACCAGCCAGGCCACCCACAGACACACACGAGCGGGGTGCTCATGTGGACAGGCCGTGGCCGCGAGGGCACCCAGACCCACGCCCTCTGCGGCACACAGCCCCGCCGCGTACCTCCTCGTGCCAGTTCTCCCGGAACCAGACCATCTGGTCGACGATGCCTTCCAGGGAAGACAGCAGCGTCGGGTGCAGCTCCCGCTGCATGTGCATGATACGGCTGCAGCGCCACATGGGGGCCGTGGCTCTTATGGGCCCTGGATCTGATGCAGAATGGGACTGGTTACCCACTGAACTTGGCTGCTGTTGTCCAGAATCTGAGAGCAACACACACAACGCCAGTGTCAGCGCCGCGCTGACGACGGGGAGTCGGCGCTCCGAGGACCCCCGGCCGGAGGAACGCTGGTTCCTGCCGGCGCGGGATGCACCCCGGGGGCCGCCCGGGGCCGCGAGGCGGGCGCCCTGTCCCGGGGTGCAGGGCAAGCAGAAGGCACACGGGTCAGGGTGCGGGCAGGTGGGCGCGTGAGTGGGGTCCAGGTGGGGGGCGCAGGCTCCCTGGACTCAAACTGCAGTGGGAGTCTGAGCTTTTTTTTTTTTAAAGGTCTGGCAAAATAGTTCACAACTCATTCTGTGTATTACAGCTCCGAGAATCTAGACGTGTTAACAAGTCAGCCTACATGTTTTCATTTAAGAGAGCCAAACCACAGGTATAAAATGACATTTTAAAAAAAGCCACTTGCTACGTAAGAGATGTTACAGAACCCCTGATGCTCATTTTTTAAGGCTTCAGCTCACTTACAACGAAAACCCTTAACTTTCAATTGACCCAACCTTGAATCTACCTAGACAGCCAGGAGGTTGGTGTGAAGACCCACCCTACAGGACCAGGAGCTGCCACCACCATCCGGAGGAGGGAGTCACCTTCCTGGAAAGGCTCTGGCCTCGCAGTGAGCGTGTCTACGTATTAAAGACGCAGGAAGCAAGCGGTGCTTTAATTGTTTACAGAGCACCATGCTTGCAAGGTAACTGAAACCATCAAGTAGGTTATTTCTCTACGTACCATGGTAATCATTACAGATTAAAACTTCTATTTTGAATGTTTTGACATTTGGTTAAGATTGTTTTTTTTTTCTTTAGGCTATACCATGTGGAAATGGGATCTTAGTTCCCTGGCCAGGGATCAAACCCATGACCGCTGCTCTGGGAGCTCGAAGTCTTAACCTCTGACTACCAGGGAAACCCCAGGTGAGACTGATTTCTATGCGGACTCCTCTGACAGCTGAAGGCATTATTCCTTATAGCACAGTAAGTGACATTTGTGCTGTTTATCAGGATGCATTTGTAACTAGTAAGTTCAACTTCTGTTTTTTTAGTCACTCAGTTGTGTCCACTCTTTGCGACCCCAAGGACTGTAGCCAGGCTCCTCTGTCTGTAGGATTTCCCAGGCAAGAATCCTGGAGTGGGTTGCCATTTCCTCCTCCAGGGCATCTTCCCGACCCAGGGATCGAACCTGTGGCTCCTGTCTCGGCAGGCAGATTCCTCACCGCTGAGCCACTTGTGTTTCACACATTTTTCCTACTTTTGGATGGAATCACTGCAGTGGATGAACACCCTGTCACACTACGGTGAAGGAGAGCCAGCAACCCGCGGGAGGTCAGGTTTCGTCTTCCTGCCCCGGTGACCTCCCAGCGTCTGAACACAGATGGGCCTGCGGGCTGGAGGGGAGCTGCCGGTGGGTGTGTACTGGTGACAGTGGGACGCCGGACGCCCAGGGGCCCCAGCCCCGTGGCCTGGCCGCTGCCCCCAGAGACGTACCGCTCTTGTAGCGCTCCCGCTGCTCTATCTTCAGCGTCAGGTACAGGGTCCGGATGGGGAAGTATACAGCCTGGGGATACACACGTCCCACCTGCTCAGAGAGAGTCAGTCGTGAGTGGGACGTGGCCTGCACCTGGCCGGCACCCCTGACTTAGTACACACAGGAGGCCAGACTGAACAGCAAGTCCAATGTCCAGTTTAGCCTGAAAAGACCCAGGAAAGAGCAGCCTGGTGTATTCCGTCAGTCTCGCCCACCCAAGACTCTTCCTGGCAGAGCAACCTCACTGTCATCTGATCTAACCTGAAGAGGACAGACACTCGCGTGCCTGCATCTCAGGCCGATGATGGGGAACACAACATGCCAGCAGCCTTCATTCACCAGAACTGTGAGCGGGCTGACGTGCGGCCCCCTCGCGAGTCACTTCACTCTGCCTAACTGTAGGATGCAGGGGACTGGCCTTTTTCTTTTAGGTCAGAAATGCCAGTTTTGGTCAACTAGAGCTCTATGGCTCCTTCAGAAGGGCTGAGCAGACACTACCCAGCTTGGCCAGTGGCCACAGGGAGGCTACCTAACACATGTTAAGAGATGTCCAGTGAACGATGATACCAAACAGAATCTACGTCTTTGACAGATCAACTCCAAGGGAAGTACCGGTACCCAGAACACAGCCGCAAGCGGGAATGAGAGCACTTCTGGGTGCCGTGGAGATGCTGAACGTGAACGATGAGTGAGCAGCATGCCCCTGGGCGCTTGGTTACAGGTTCACATGTGAAAAGTTACATACAGGACTCCGTACTTTTATAAAACAAAGCACCATCAGAGGCACCAATTCCAGACCAAACTGTATCCACATGTCCCCTGTTCAGGCCCCTCCCCTACCTCTTGGCCTCTCCGCAGGAGGAGGACAATCTGGAGCCGACCTCAAACAGGGGTCACGACAGCCTTTCTACAGGCCCAATCCCCCCAGCCTGCCCCAGGGCACACGACTGCCAGCCTCCAACAGCCGCAGCTGGACAGCCGGACCCAAAGCAACAGGCCCCGCGGCCCACCGAGCTTTCTTCTGGGGCTCAGAGCGCCCAGTCCAGCCCGTGATGGGGAGTCGGCCGTGAGAAATGACCGCACACCCGCGCTCAGTCAGTAACCTGAGGGCTCGCCAGGCACCCTGCGTTTTAACAGAAGGCGTACTTTACGTGTATCTTATGCGGCGATGTGTGTAAGGGAAGAGGTAGCATCGCGACGCTCTAAGTCCAGCGGATCACTGCCCGCCAGCCCTCCTGCCCTCAACTGCTGTCACTTGTGCTTTATAAGCGACAGCTAACTGTGTACACCTGCCCACCATCTGACTCAGTTTCAAAACTCTGAGCATGCACATTTTCTTTCTTGGACAAAAGGATGTGAAAGGAAAACGCTTTTTTTTTGTGACCAAAGAGGACTTGCAGTTCCCACCTGGCTAATCAGGTTCAAAAGCAGCTTCCCCTCAGAGCCGACCAGACAGGTGAGCAGCTGCGGGATCCAGGCCAGCCACTGGATGGGCGGCACGCCGATGCAGTACTTGTCCACGGCATCTGCCAGGGTGTTTTTGTCATCGTCAAAACTCAGAAGCCACAGCACCTAAGACAGAAGGGAAGTCGAGAGCTGAGCCAAGGCCTCCGGTTCCGGCCAGGGGGTGTCCCCCCGACGTTAAACCATCAGACGGGGCACCTTTCCTGGCATCGTGGGAAAACATGGACAAAAGGCCCAACTGTACGATGAAACTTCACTGTAAAGCTTACAGATAAGTAATGCTGAGAATTTAAATACAGTCTTCATCAAGGTTTAGCTTTAATGCCAACTACTAACTGATCTGGTCAGCTGGCTAGCAGCGGTCAGTGTGGACCCCAGGGGGCTCCAGGCTGTTACCCACACTTGAGATCTCCCCATAACAAAAATGGGCTTCTGCTCAGATTTCAGAGGACCCCACCCCTGCTCCGGCCTGAGGCCGCCCCCTGCTGGCAGTCTGGTCTCCAGAGCCATCTGAAACGATTTCATCTGCAAGAGAGCACACCTGGATTCCGGCAGCGAGGTGGCTTCTCGGCATTACTACTGTCAGTCTGTGTCTACAGTCGGCTTTCGCTACTGGGATGGTCAATCCAAAGTCTGACATTAAATTAAGGAATTCTAAAAACTCCTAACCTTTACTGGGCAAAGTAAGTGGAACAACCTATTCTTAAGTTATCTGCAAGAATGGATTCTGGGTTGTATGGACGTGATTCCCGGGGAAGCCGAGGCAGTGCGAGGCTGGGGAGGGTGCCCGGGCTCGAGCGCCCACTTACCGGGCACTCGTGGGCACAGCCCTGTGCCCGGCGCTGCAGTGGGTGCTGCGGGACGCCCCCCCCCCCCCCCCCGCCCCCGCAGCAGCCCAGGGACTCAGCGTCACCTGTGACCAGAGGTGACTGGCTCCGGCCTGCGTGCATGGTCCCCGCGGGCGAGAGGGTGCGCTCCTGGCAGAGCCCTCGCAGTCTGCAGGGATCCCTGTCCAGTGTGAGGCCCACAGCCACACCGGACCTGAGTCCTAAGACCCACCCACACTCCAGGCTGGGTTTTGCCGCTTGGAAGTCCTCTGACCCCAAGAACGTCCAGGCCTCCACTTTTCAGCTTTAAACAGAACCTGTGGATTCTGTGTGGTTCCTCATGCCCAGCGCAGACCAGCAGGTCGCTGAACTTCCAAACTAAAGGTTCCCAGGAAGGTCTCTGGTTAAAGCGAGTTCTTCCGGCCTCACCTTGGCCAAGTACTTCCTCGACTTGCTCTCGTTCTGGTGCCGGCAGGCATGCAGGTAGCAGGTGATGGCAGACACTCCAAGATGCAGCTGCCGCTCCTTGACGAAGATGTTCTCCAGGTAGTCGCCCCACATGGCCCAGGCTTTCACCAGCACGTCGTGCATCTGCACAGCCGCAGAGAACGCTTTGTTCGCTTCCTCAGACCTGGCGGGACACAGATCAAGACAGTGAACACCACGGAATATAAAACCAACTGTTTTAAAGTGACTAATTCAGTGGCAGTTGGTACATTTAAAATGCTGTGTGACCACCACCTCTGCAGAGGCTGCGAACATTGTCATCACCCCCAAGGAAGCCCCGAACCATGAAGCGCCACCACCCCCAGCCCACCAGCAACCACCCATGGAGTCACTGCCGCTCTGTCTCTATGGACTGACCACTGCACATCTCACACTAACGGACCCACAGACGGTGACTCTTTCAATCAGCCTCAAGTGTTTTTGAGGTTCATCCATGCTGACGTTCAGGCCAACACTTCACTCCCTGGAGAAGGAGATGGCAGCCCACTCCAGTATCCCTGCCTGGGAAATCCCATGGACAGAGAAGCCTGACGGGCTATGGTCCATGAGGTCACCAAAGAGTCAAGACGTGACTTAGCAACTGAACAACAACCCCTGCTGAAAGGTTTAAAGTAAAACATAATGTACATATCTAGCACAAAGTCAGAAACACTCAACCTATATTTAAGAGCTCTGTTATGTATGCTAATCCAAGTGGGTCTGGTGAACCCTGTGATTAAAGAAACACGAGGTTTACGTCTGCTGTGGAGAAGCAGCAGCATCTCGGCCACTGTGAATTGCCCTGGAAACATCCCATCCCTACTCCCAATTACTCAGACTGTTGAAGCAAAGACAATTTGGTTTAACGAACACAAAACCGCTTTCATGGTCTCAAAACGTTTACAGTGATGACTTAAGGCCTTAGGAAGAAAGTCATGTTTGAGCTGGGTTCTGAAGGATGATGGGAGTTCACCAGAACTCAGGATGAAAGGATGGTCCTGGAGAAAGGGGGGCCGTGCGGAGTCCTGCAGAGAGTTCTCACAGCCAGTTAGTCTAGTGTGAAGCATTCTGACGGGAGATGTGCAGGAGAGGTAGGTGTGTGCGCCAGATCACTGAGGGCCACTGTGCTCACGAACGTGAGACCAGGGCACGGTGAGGAGCCAGGGCAGGGTTTTGACCAGAAGAGTGGGGTGATCCTTCTGAGACACAAATCTGACCACTTCGTGACCATGTTGAGAATGTGTGGGAGAGAGAAGAAATTGGAGGCAGTTAGGAGGCTTGAACTGAGGCAGTTGCAAGTGCGTACAGGGTGGGTATGTTTGAGAGGTATGTAGGAGAACTGCAAGGACTTGATTTCATGATTAAATGAAAGGGAATGTGTGTGTCTTAGTCACTCAGTTGTGTCCAACTCTTTGCAACCCCATGGACTGTAGCCCACCAGGCTCCTCTGTCCATGGAATTCTCTAGGCAAGAATACTGGAGTGGGTTGCCATTTCCTCCTCAAGGGGATCTTCCCAACCCAGGGATCGAGCCTGGGTCTCCTGCATTGCAGGCAGATTCTTTACCATCTGAGCCACCAGCGAAACCCAAAATGAAGGGGTGCAAAGCTTTAATCGTTTAGAAAAATGTTAGCTATATTTTTTAATACTGTTGACATTTAAAATCATTTAAGATCAGATTGGGAGAAGGCAAATGGCAACCCACTCCAGTACTCTTGCCTGGGAAATCCCATGGATGGAGGAGCCTAGTAGGCTACAGTCCATGGGGTCAAGAAGAGTCGGACACGACTGAGCGACTTCACTTTCACTTTCATGCACTGGAGAAGGAAATGGCAACCCACTCCAGTATTCTCGTCTGGAGAATCCCAGGGACGGGAGCCTGGTGGGCTGCCGTCTATGGGGTCGCACAAAGTCGGACACGACTGACGTGACTTAGCAGCAGCAGCAAGCATCAGACTGGCTTGGGTAAAACTTAACACGGAATTTATAAATGAATAAAGAAAAAATGCACTGGAGAAGGAAATGACAACCCACTCCAGTACTCTTGCCTGGAAAATTCCATGGATTGAGGAACCTGGTAAGCTACAGTCCCATGGGGTCGCAAAGAGTAGGACATGAATGAGCGACTTCACTTTCCCTTTCAAAGAAAAAATATTAAACACACTTCTGATGAAGATAACATTTTCTTTTTTTTTTTTCGTTCTACCACTTTATTGCTACCAACCCATCTCCCTCCACCCTCGGGCACACATGCTCAGTCATGTAACCCCATGGACTGCAGCCCGCCAGGCTCCTCTGTCCGTGGACTTTTCCAGGCAAGAACACTGGAGTGGGCTGCCATTTCCTTCTCCAGGGAAGCTAACATTTTCAAAGCATGAAATAAATCGTTGACTAAAATGTCATAGAATCTGCTATTTGAATTCCAGCCTTATTTGCTGGAATTCAGATTTACCAGCCTTATTTACAGTAATTTTCATACAACAACAGTTTCAACAGATAAGAAAAAATTCAGACTACCATAGCTATAGCATTGTTGAAATGGAATATCCTATAGTTTTAAAAATCATGGTTGTATTTTTTATTACTCTGTGCTTGAGCTTTCATTATAAAACTCATGTCTGTCCACATATAAGCCATGGCTGAATTCCTGGATCAAAGATTTCAGAAGAGAATTCAGCAACGTTCTTCATCACACAATCTGCTCACCACAGAAAGCCTGGGCCCCTCTGCCTGTGATGGAGCATGGAATTTTCAAGTCATCCAAGGGGTCACTTCCCGTTTAAAAAGGATTTTACTCCTTACTAGTAAATAAAAGTTATTTATTTCCTGGTGGCTCAGATGGTAAAGAATCCGCCTGCAATGCCAGAGACCTGGCTTCAATCCCTGGGTTGGGAGGATCCCCTGGAGGAGGGAGTGGCAACCCACTCCAGTACTCTCGCCTGGAGAACCCCAGGGCCAGAGGAGCCTGCGGCTGCAGTCCATTGGTCACAAAGAATCAGACATGACTGAGTGACTGAACACAGCAACATATTAAAGGAAACACCACTTCGTTCTGTTTCCTGCTGAGTACTATTCTACTGTTTGTGCACACCGCATGTTGCTTATCCAGTCATTTGAGTTGTTTCAGTATTCTGCTACTGCAAACAGAGCTCTGTGACCCTTCATGAACGACCACCTCCTTGAGTTCCTGTTTTCAACTCTTGCATAAATACCTAGGAGTGTAATTGCTGGGACATAATTCTTCGTTTATAGTTTTTTGAGGACCCACCACACTTTTCCAGTTGACTGACCCTTCCTCTAAAGCAAGAATCATCTCCATAGAAGGAATCAACTCTGTTCCCAAGATGGCATATGAGAAAATGGGGCAGTGAATCCATTATTGGCAGTTCCATGGTCAAGCGACTCATGGTTAAAAAGTACCACACTCAAGCCAGCTTTCTGATCCTGCAGCAAGTTACTACGTTGCTAGAGATACAAAAGCTGAACACCATCTCTGACAACTGAAGCCAACTCATGTCCATTTCTAGCTTCACCTTCACATTGCTTTTAAGTTACAAACGACTAAATAATCTGATGAGTCTTTCTCTCACCCACCACCTATATAACATACATACTTGTTAATCTGAGCCAAGAACATCCCCTTCAGTGCATAAAATTCAGCCGTCATCTCTTTTGTGAAGTACTTTAAGTTTGTGGATTCAATAACTTCAAGGCCCTGTTTGTGAAAACAGAAAGCTTCTTGAACTTGCTAGACAGTCGCTGAAAACCTCATTAAAATATTGATCCAGGCAGTTAAGTCCTAAAGGTCGCTGACAAATATATTTTAAACTGACGAGGCTTGTCTACCTTGAATATTTGTTGACTGGCAAAGAGTATTTAAACTGCATCACTAAACACAAATTCAGTTCCAGACACCTTAATGGTATTGTTTTTTTCCAAAGCTTTACATTATCTTGTCAGTTTCATTGGTTTTTATTAATATTCCTCTGAACATAGCCCAAATCTACCTCGCAGTCCTGCAATTTTTAGTTTCTATTCTATAACTACATTATCAAGAGTATATGGCAAGATAGAGACCGTGGCATATAATTCAAATACTCAAGTGGCTTCCTGTCCCTTTCTCCCTCTGGCAGGACTGCTCCCCGAGACCAAGGAGTCCTGTAGAAGTCCAGTCCCTTTCCCTGTCGTCTGAACCAGGAGCTGACCCGGGAACCCTCACTGTCAGGGCAAGGGTGGGCGTGGGTCCACCCGGCACCCTACCTGCATACACTCGTTCTTGCCCATGACGCCTGCCAGCTGGAGGTAGCATTTGACCTGCTGACGAATCTTCTGGAAGCAATCCACAATAGGGACGGTTGGAATGGTGTGGATACGACTTAATATATCCAGAGCCACATTGACCAGGCCCTGCTTCCGGGCAATTTTTCCATATTGGATGATCGCTGAAGCCGACGCGTGAACCCCAAGCATAGCATTGTTTGAACTTGGGTCGTGCTGAGAACTGTTTTCATATGCAGTTACAATAGCTGGGGAGGAAAGAAGTGAGACTTCAGTCCATGTCAGACATTTCTCAGTTTAAGGCTTAAATAAAAAATGAAAAACAGACACAGGGTGACTTATGGAAACGGGAAGCTCTGCATCGACCCGCGTTACTCTTCCTCAGACTCCGCGTCAAAAGGACGCTCTAAGAAGCACTAACTCCTCAGCTGAGAGCTACCCTCTTGGCTAAGGCTGCTCTGGATAAAAAGAGGCCAGGCAGGTCTAGGCAAAGCAGCAGAGGGGCCCAGGGAAGCTAAGCAAGGTTCCACACGGCCCCCCAAGACCAGGTCTTGGGAGTGGGGAGGCCTTCAGAACAAAAGGGCCACGACCCAGAGCTCTTATCCCACTGGTCCACAGCCCTGGTGCCAACAGGCAGTTGTTTGGCAGCAAGTCTGTCCTGGGTGGAGAAAGGGAACAGAGAGGGAAATTCTTCCCCTCTTTCACCACCTTCATCTTTACCCTCGTCATACCAACCACCTCTACCACACCTGCCAAGAAACAGAAGATTCGGTAAAAGAAAAAACAAACAAAAATAGAATGAACAGAAAAACACAACCAAGACATGAAACCAGAACAGTGGCTGTCTGGAAAATTACATGGTGGAGGCATGCCGGACCAGGTGGGTTTACCCTGGTAATGATGCTGCCGCCACATGAACACGCTGCTCCAGTGGGACAGGTCGTCCGACACGATGGGCAGCCGGTTCCGCCATGTCTTCACCACCGTCTTCATGTCGTGCAGGCTGTTGTTCCTCCCCAGGTTGCTGGGCTGCAAGCCTGCGTTAATCTGAGCAGCCTCCTGAAGCTCGATGATTTGCTGGGCTGCCTAAGGGGACCAGGGTGAGAGATTCCACAGTGAGCAGGGCGCTAGGATTGGAGGAGGAAGGCAAACCAGAGCCGACTGGGAGTGTCTCCTGTGAAGGGCTCAGGATTCAAGCGGATGCTCTGGGACCTGCTCAGGTGCGGCATCTGACTTATCCCACGCCTCATACATGACTCTCGGGATGCCACCCCCACCCCACTCTAAGACCTCTGCCTGCCATGACACCAGGGCCTGGAGAAAAGTGGGGTCCATGCTTGCCCTCCCTCTGCCCCCCACTGGTGTGGCTCTCAGTAGGTCTTCGACAACGCCTCCAGGCCTCAAACTTTCCTCCGTCAACATCTGAACCCCAGGACCATCAATCATCTCAAACACGGCTCTGATGCTTTCTCCCGGCGGACATGTGTCTTCTCACCATCTGCATACCCATCTGTCCAGGCCCCCGCACCCTTTACATGCTTCTGGCTGCAAATGTGCAGCGCCCTCTGGAGCCCCTCTTGGCTGGGGGTGGGGGCTGGGGCGCAGCTCTGAGCCTTTTCCCACACTGTCAAATCTCACCCTCCATTCCCCACAGGAATTCTTCCCTTCTCTGAATCCTGGGTTTATCTGTCTTTGTTTTCACATGGCACCGAGTCACGGACGCCCCCGTAACACTTGGCTTCTTACGGATATGTCCTCTCTCTCCATCCTAACTCTTCGAGGGGAAATGTTTTTAAACTCTGAATTGGTCGAACCACCAAACACACCACCAAGTTCAGGACACAGTATCCTTTTGTTTGCTCTTAATTTTAAAAACTGTCTACAAGAATTTACACCTTCCATCTGTATCTATACTTCAAGTTTAGTTCATTACACTTCAAATTTCTGAAACCTTAATCTAATCTTTCCTCCCACCAAAAGCTTACTGAAGACAGAACTATGAGGTATTTGTTTTCTAACAGCTTTACCGAAGTAGAATTAAAACATCACTGAAAGCACTCTTTCAAGTTTATGGCTCAGTAGTTTTTAGCACTGATCTTCCTCAACTTACTATGATGTCATGTCCCAACAAACTCATCCTAAGTTGAAAATATCTCAAGTTGAGAATGCGTTTAACACACCGAACCTACCAGACACCCTAGCTTAGCCGCCCTAAATGTGCCCAGGACACTCACACTACCGAACACAAGGCCTGTTTAATAATGAAGTGGTTTTCTCATATAATGAAACTGAAGAGCAGAATGGCCATGAGCAGGCAGCCGTCCACCGTCAGGATCTCACGGCTGACCAGGCGCTGATGCTCAGGGCTGCCGCCCAGAGAGCATCATACACGCATGCTGGTCCAGAAAAACATCCAAATCCAGCATCGAAGTATGGTTTCTACTGAACACATACTGCTTTCAAGCCCAAAACGATACAAAAAGGGAAAATATCAAAACAAGGAGATAAAACTGCTTTGTTGAGCTTCTGGTTCACTATGAAAAAGACAAGATAATCTAAGTATATTAATAAATAACTACATAATTTGAAAAACCACACTATAAAAATCAATGTAGCTTTTTTAAGTCTCAGAACTACTCTTTCTAGAGGAAAAAAAGTGTGAGCATTCTGAACTACTGTTAAACGGCTCCCTATAGTTTTCCCTCAGTCAGCCTCACTGGGATCTGCTCTGCACCAGACTCCAGAGAAAAGAGGTCGAGAGCTGGCGCGGCCCCGGGTGTGTGTGTGTATCTGCATGCATGTGCGCGTGCGCACACAGGGGCCGCGAGGGTGGGAAGAAGGAATTTCCACGCGGGGGCGGCGTGCACGAGGGGCTGTGGGGAGCCACTGCCCGGCAGCCCGTGTGGGGGAACGAGTCAGGACAGTGAGGATGGAACGCAAAGCAAGAAGCCAGGCGCGGGCTGTTTAACTGCAGCTTGGAGTCTCAGAGGGAGACCCCTGCTCAGACTCAACAGCGGCGTCACACCGAGGCTGGTATGGTGGGCGTCAGAGAGCACTCCTCGAGGAGCGAGAGCCATCGCAGCCAGCCGAGGGAGGCCCTCCGTCACCGAGACCCCCGGTGCCCCAACGCCGGACGCCACATTTCAGTCCGCGCCCTGCCGGCTCCGGCCGTCCTCTCGCCGAGCCCCAGTGCAGATGCTGGGGGGGGGACACACGGCGGGAAGGAGTCTCCTCTGCTGTGCAGCTCTGCTCACGGCCCTCAGCCCGGACGGGAGGAGCTCTGACGGGAGGGATGCCCCTGGAGAAGGGGACCCCTGGAGAAGGGGACCCCTGGAGAACGGCCCCCCTGGAAAGAGCACCCCCCCCGGAGAAGGCTCCCCCCACCCCGCCCCCAGAGAAGGGCCCCACCTGGAGAAGGCTCCCCCCCCACCCCGCCCCCGGAGAAGGGCCCCACCTGGAGAAGGCTCCCCCCCACCCCGAGAAGGGCCCCACCTGGAGAAGGCTGCCCCCCCCCCCCCGCCCCCGGAGAAGGGCCCCACCTGGAGAAGGCTCCCCCCCCACCCCGCCCCCGGAGAAGGGCCCCACCTGGAGAAGGCTCCCCCCCCACCCCGCCCCCGGAGAAGGGCCCCACCTGGAGAAGGCTCCCCCCCACCCCGAGAAGGGCCCCACCTGGAGAAGGCTGCCCCCCCCCCCCGCCCCCGGAGAAGGGCCCCACCTGGAGCAGAGGCGTGTGCACGTGTGACACCACATGGGGCAGCCGCCGCCACTCGCGGATGGCCAGGCTGCTGGCCATCTCCACCAGGCGCTCGATGAAGCTCAGCTGCTGCTCCTCGGGGTGGCAGATAGCCAGGTACCCACGGTACATGTTGACCTTCCAGGCCATCTCCTTCGGACAGCTCACCTCTACCTGGGGAGGGGAAGAGCATCACACGGAGGGAGTGGGTATACTTCCTCTCGGCGCAGAAGCAAAAAGCCAACTTTTTGGTAGTCAGTTATGCAAAGCAGTAATGTGCAATTAGGCTATAAACAGACACTCGTTTTCTCTGGCGAGGTCATATATTACATATTTTTCTGAACACTCTCCTTTTCCAAAACACCAAAGCGTGGCCAATCTCTCTGGCTACGAGGCCTTACCACAGGTTCCTTGCTATAAGATTACTTGTAGTTCCAAAGAGGGGAAACTGATAAGACTGTTACGACAGACTAGATGAACAACCTACAAAGTTGGCCAGGGAATTCCAAAAGGCTTAAATATGTGCTCATCTCCACTCGGGTAAGTATAATTTTGAATTGTCTCCAACTCACACTGTTATCCTGAGAAATCAGTCTAACTTGCTCCACATTATATACAGAAGCAGAAGGCAGCGATTCAGGTTTCTAAGAATACGAGTGAACATTCACAAGCTTTACTGTCATTTACGTCCACATTTAGTATCCACTATACAATGTTCCCCAGATCGCTCTCGTATCCCGGCTGTCAGCTCTACTGATGAGGAAGACGGAGCCCAGAGCATCACGTCTGCTCCCGAAGCCCGGGCGGAGGCTCCTGGTGTGCCCTGGAAAGCCCCTGCGTTTGCCCGCCACCTTCTAAAGAAGGTGTTGGAACTCACTGCATCTTATCAGCCTTGGACAGAGCACTTTAAAAACTGTAAACAAAAAAAATTAAAGTCTTTTCAAAAATAACCTCTTTGTATATAAGAAGATGAGAGAACACAGAGATGTTCTTGAAAGAATTTTACAGGACGTGCTGTAACAAGATCAGTAAGACATTCATTCGGAAGCAACAACGGAAATGACATATAACAGAACTGCGTGGCTCTCAGTCCGGAGGGGGAAAGGGCAGTGATGGTGATAACAACGTACTGACCTGACACCGGTCCTGTCTGCTGACATCTGACCTCGGAGCACAGTCACGTCCGTGGCCCCGCCTGGGTCTCAGTAACCCAAGGAGAAACTCAGGGAGGCAAACTTGGGAACACAACCGCTTCCTACAGGATCCTTTTTGATCACAACCTATCATCTCACATTTTCTGGACTTAAACACTAGTTAAGACAGGACTTGTTCATTCACACCTACTGTCTGGAACATTAAGAACAAAAGCATCTCATTTTTCCTCTGCTGAAAAATATTACCTGATTTATTAAATCAAACCAAGAAATGTACTACTATAAGCAGCCCCATAATCACAAGACACAGGAAGAGAAAGCTTTTTTTGAAGTATTGGTAAACGAGTAAATAATTTAGTATGATCAAAAACATTTAAAACTAATTAACCGCAGATTACCCATAGTGCTCATTAATACTTTGAGCTTTTTTCAATCAGTAAGTGCCTTAAAACTGGAGGAGAATAATCAAGAACTTGTAAAAGAAGAAACTCATCTGTCAGACTTAAGGTCAGTATGATACTGCACATATCCTGCTAAGTGAGACCTCAAAAAGGAGAAAAAGAAACATTAAGAGTGAGTTATACATTATCAGAGAAATGCAAATCAAAACCACAATGAGGTACCATTACACGCCAGTCAGGATGGCTGCTATCCAAAAGTCTACAAGCAATAAATGCTGGAGAGGCTGTGGAGAAAAGGGAACCCTCTTACATTGTTGGTGGGAATGCACACTAGTACAGCCGCTATGGAAAACAGTGTGGAGATTTCTTAAAAAACTGGAAATAGAACTGCCATATGACCCAGCAATCCCACTTCTGGGCATACACACCGAGGAAACCAGATCTGAAAGAGACATGTGCACCCCGATGTTCATCGCAGCACTATTTATCATAGCCAGGACATGGAAGCAACCTAGATGCCCATCAGCAGACGAATGGATAAGGAAGCTGTAGTACATATACACCATGGAATGTGACTCAGCCATTAAAAAGAATTCATCTGAATCAGTTCTAATGAGATGGATGAAACTGGAGTCCATTATACAGAGTGAAGTAAGCCAGAAAGATAAAGACCATTACAGTATACTAACACATATATATGGAATTTAGAAAGATGGTAACGATAACCCTATATGCAAAACAGAAAAAGAGACACAGATGTATAGAACAGACTTTTGGATTCTGTGGGAGAAGGCGAGGGTGGGAAGTTTCAAGAGAACAGCATCGAAACATGTATATTATCTAGGGTGAAACAGATCACCAGGCCAGGTTGGATGCATGAGACAAGTGCTCGGACCTGGTGCACTGGGAAGACCCAGAGGGATCGGGCGGAGAGGGAGGTGGGAGGGGGGATTGGGATGGGGAACACATGTAAATCCATGGCTGATTCATGTCAATGTATGACAAAACCCACTACAATATTGTAAAGTAATTAGCCTCCAACTAATAAAAAAAAATTAAAAGTTATAAATATTTTTATATTGATATAGAATAAAGCGGAATATTTATCAGAATAAAGAAAGGACATTAAAAATAAGCTTAAAAAAAGGATAAGCAATGGTAAATGCAACCTGTCAGTAAACTATTTTTGTTTAGCTACACAGTGACTGGTTTACTTCTCAGAGTAACAAACTCCCTGCAACACAGAGGCCATTTCCCAGATCCCAACCTCTAAGTGCAGATCCTGGGCTCTATAACCTCCCTGTAGCTAATGGCTTGTGACTATTTCGGTTCTTGCACCTTCCGCATTTTGTTCAAAAGCATCAGCAGTGGCAAAATAAGCACGGGAGCCACAATCCAGGTAAAGTTTAAGTCAATCCTTCCAAACACAGTGGCCTGTGACCTCCATGCGCTTTAAGCCCACACATCAAATAAGGAAAACCACCGGTGTGACTAAATAGGCCCTTACCAGGCGAAGGGGCGAGGTGGGCGCGGGACTGCGGTACAAACCCTAAGCCCCGTGACGGACACCAGAGCAAAGGTCAGAGCCTGAGCAGGACAGGGCGCAGGGGAGAGAGACACAGGACGGAAAAAAGCGAGCCACGGGCACGGCTGCGCCGGCGGGACGTGGGCTCGGGCGGCAGAGCTGGGCCGTCAACCCCAGCTGCCGACGCCCCGCAGAGGCTCCCAGGGCGAGACCCCTGCACCCCGTGCCCACTCGTCTGTCTCACACTCAACCCCTCCAGATGGAGTTTAACTTCTGAAAAACGTGCAGCTCAACCAAGCTAAGGGCTCGACTTCACTCACACGACGCCGTTACCACTTCCGCAATACAAGATACGCTCTGAACGTGATACTGCTTTCATGCGGCAGTTTTACTGACAGCCCGGCCCTGCACTTGCACTCCACTCACACCTGCCGGCCAAATCCACCACGAAAACGGCCTCTGTTCTTCCCAGTTTCTCATAAAGTCCAGAGTCTCCACACCTGACACTCACTGTAACTGAAGGATGAACTAGAACTAAGTTATCACTTAACACAGACTCAGGAAAGATGCTCGTGAAAACCAAAAGGAACCCTTACTCCCCAGGAGCTATCCTCCATCTGCCAAGGCGCCCCGCGTGACTCAAGTGAAGCGGGGCCCCCAGAGACTCCGGGCTTTGGAGAAAGGGTCCCCCGTGCCTGCAGAGACTGTACCCTGAGCGTGGACAGGTCAGGCGGGGGGCGGGATGGGTCCTCACCTGCACCAGGGCTTCCTTCATGGCGGTCCAGTTGGAAACCCGCCAGGCACACTCCAGGACCAGGTAAGGGTTGATGTGACCTTTGGACTGGCCGTACTCCGTCAAGGCTTCCCACTGGTTCAGCTCCTTGGAACACCTAGAAGCCAAGGATTGCCCTGAGCTCATGATTTTAAACCACTCCTTTCCATAGAAAGGAAAAAATGTTACCCCCACAGAGCAGGCTGGGCTTCTGAGGGGTGCCACGGTGTCCGGGGCACTGAACCAGGGGTCCCCCTGAGTCAGCAAGAGCTGCACCCCCACAGCAGAGCAAAGCCTCCCAGTGGAGGCAGGAATCGGCCAGTTTCTCCAACACACACTCAAGTGCTTGAGCCTTTAACAGCTCTTTGCAGATTTTTGTTTGTACTTTTCTTCCTAGGGCCATAAAGAAAGCAGCAGGCCCCTTTCTAAAAATACTTGTTAGAGGAAACTTCAGACTTTCCATTGGCTTCCTTCAGTGACTCCTGACCACGTTCCCGTTCGGCTCACCGGATCCAGTGATCCTCCCAAAGCTGGTACTCCGGGAAAATGGCGGGGGAAGCGTTGCTCCTCTCGTGTTCCTTCTTGGCTTTGTCCATTGCCTTTTCATAGGACTCTTGCGCCTGTAAACATTAACAATGCTTCAAACTGCTGCTTAACTAGCAACTTCTGCACGACCTCTGCTCGATCACTTAGGGCAAGCTGGATCGCAGACCTGGGGCCGTGTCAGGCTCTCAGGATCTCCACTCAGAGAACAAGAGTGGACGAGCTGGTGCCTGAGTCCCTGCCCCGAGCAGAAGCCGCAGGACTCGGTGCAGGTCTCCACCTGTCAGCGATGGCAGCCAGGCCACTGCCACGCCTCTGCTTCTGGAATTTCTGTGGCTTGGCGTCCAATCCGGGGCTGCGGCCACACCTGCTCAGTGACCCCACTGTCAAGCAAGGATGGGCAGGGGAACTAAACTCTCACGCTGAACACAACCTACCTACCAACCCCAACAGGACCGAGGACTGCGGCTGAAAAGCATCCACACTGACAGTAAAGAACTTACAACCAAAGCCTCAAGAATGTTCACATCTCTAAAATTGAGGCTTGACTTTAAGAGCCTGTATGGGAACAAATACATGCTTCCAAGAAGTCAGGAAACTTCCTGTTTAGACAGGAACTGCCTTGAGGCCACGATACCACGGCACCTCTGAAAGCGCCTCCCACCGCCTCGAGGCCCAGAGGCTCCCCTGCAGTGCTACCTGCTCAAAGAAGCCGTGCTGCTCGTAGGCGATGGCCGTGGCCGTCTCCGAGTACTTGCAGCGCTTCTGCCACAAGCCCGCCCACATGTCCTCCTCCTGCAGCAGAGAGTAGAGCTCCGCAAGGGAGTCCAGGATCTCCTGGAACAGAACGCGGTCTCTGAGTGCTCGGGGAGGAATAGCATGTTTTCCCAACAGGCCGACTTCATGGCCCCTCCACTGCCACCACCGGGGAGGTGCTCATCAGGACCTGTGAACAGGGGGAGGCGCGGCCTCACCTGCTGGGGTGGAGTGATGCTCTCCTGCTCATAGAACTCGGCTGTCTGCTTGGGCTTGATCTGCAGGCTCAGCCCCTTCTCGAAGGCCTGGTGCTCCAGCATCAAGGTGGAGCGGAACCAGAGGTTGTGGGTCTTGCCCAGGTACTTGAGGACGCAGGGCCGGATGGGGATGGGCGGGACACACTGGGACATGGCCTCCACAAAGCAGTTGAGGGCGCTGGGCTGGCAGTCCCGCTGCACCTGGTGGCTGCCGCTGCACAGGAACGGGCTGATCTCCCCCGCCAGAGCCTGAAACCCAAGAGCGGGATGGGTCTGGCCAGGGCCTCGTGGGAGAACCAGCCCGCCTTCGCGCTCTCCCCCAGCGTCTGGCATGGGTGTGGTAACTCACGCTTGGAAACGCTAGTTTCCTCAGCCTTTGAAACTTAACCAAGAGTTTCTTTCGCAAACACTCCTCAAAAGCTAAAACTGCGCTTTTTGAAAGAGGATTTGAAAAAAAAACAGAGACTCACATGCTGTTGTCTGTCAGACAGGATTTTCCACAGCCTGGGGAAGAGCTGGACCCATGTCTTCTCAGCCAGCGTGGTGGAGATGTGGCAGAGCTGGACGAAGGCGCCCAGCAGGGCTCCCGTCTGCAGGAGGAGAGACCCGTCTGGCGCCCGGCCCTCGCCACGAGGGTGCTGCCCAAGCTGCCTGCTCAGGAAGCAGGACCCCTATTCTACCCGACGCTGCCCACTGCCTGACGCTCACAACCTGAACAGATGTCGTGCCAAAGGGAAACATGAGCTCTGGGCACCACAGACCCCGCCTGCTGTGCTAAGCAGCTGGCACAGACGCAGGAAAGGGGCTCAGTGACACGACGACCCATCTAACTTCCCAGGCCACCTCCTAACATCCCTGATTTCACCATATCTGAGAAGTACGGACACCACGCTGACCCGGAAAGGGCAAGCAAGAGATACACAGATGGCATCAAAGCAGAGGCTGCTGAAGATACCCAGGGGAAACAGGAGAACTATATGCATAGGATCTATGTTATTTGCCAACAGGTGTAATTCTGAAGAAATCAGGAACCATGAGAGGTCTGAGTCTCTGCAATGAACAGTGGACAGATTGAGAAGCAAATGGAATGGACAGGACTGGACCAGAACACCCCAAAACCGGGGCCAGAGCTGGAAACCGGGGCCCCAACGGGCCCATCAAGTCCACAAACGTGGCTGCCTCTACCCACAGCTCCATTGTCCCTGAGGTGCGAGTTTCTCAGTCAAGTTTCTGGCAGCTTGAAGCCCACCTCCCCACACAGCCACACACAGCCAGTGCAGAGGGGCTCGGGCACACGCCTGCCAGCCCATGGTGGGCCCTGCGGCAGAGACAGAGACACATGTGTCAAGATGATGCCGTCCCTTCCACCCAAGGGCAGAGCAGGAAGGGACCTAACTCGAAACCATGCCCGCCGAAAAGGCACAAGTCCAGGATACGAACATTCCAGAGGGAGGAGGAGAAAACGTTCCAGGGAAGAACGCTCCTGTCTGCTACTCAGGCTGCCCTGCGTGGGACGCCGCGATGAAACCAGCCTGGTTGCCCTCACATGGCTGGTCCCCGCCTGCCGGGCAGGCGGCTCCTGGCTCCACGTTAACACAGCAGAGGCCAAAGCTCTCGATGGCCATGGACCTGCCCACAGAAATGCTCGCCTCGAGCTATGAATGGGGGAGTCTGTGGCTTCACGGACTGTTCAAAATATTTGGGGCGGGGAGAGGAAAGCCACAATCATTCCCCCAAATTTGTACAGACCTTCACTTCCCGGAGCGTATCAAGAAATTTGTCATGTCTGTTGGTTAACATGTGCAGTTGGTTTCCAATGTCCTTCTCAGACAGCTCTTTGGTTTTGGGCGTGCTGGTCTGATCTCCAGGAGCCAGTTCAATATCTATCTCTACATCCTAAATACAAAAAACATACAAAACCAAAAGGTCAAATAGTTAAAGAAAATCAACACACACAACTCTCATAAACTTATTAAATTTTTGCCAAGTAAAACTTCAGTTTCCTGGAAGTCTATAATAATTTAAATAATCCTGAGTTCTAAAATAAAAGACAAGCAAATAAAACTAGACCAGATCTAGCGCTTTCTTACCTGATGCTATAAAAATGTCAGCATTTTGCTGTCATATTTGGATTATGGAAAGGAAAATAAAAAAGCACAACTTTAAGGAGCATAAAGACTACTAGCAATCATCACCTGCCGTTCCTGAGAAAGCAGCACAGGCTTGTTCACTTGGATCAAGACTCTCATCGGGGCCAATGCACAGCACCTTGTGGGCACAGGGTTTTACACAACTCGTCCCCAAAGAGGAAGGAACCTGAGTTCTGTCTGAAGCTTCTGGGAAGTGACAGTCAACATCCCATCCCCACACTGGGCTCTAAGTCAGGTTATGGAACATTTGGTGTGTGCCATTGAGAAGGCAGATGAGTCACATCAAAAAAGTGAAAGTAAAAGCGAAGTCGTGTCCAACTCTTTGCGACCCCAAGGACTATACAGTCCATGGAATTCCCCAGGCCAGAATACTCGAGTGGGTAGCCTTTCCCTTCTCCAAGGAAACTTCGCAACCCAGAGATCGAACCCAGGTCTCCTGCATTGCAGGCGGATTCTTTACCAACGGAGCCACCAGGGCCTTTGAGTCACTGAGTCACGCCGAAGCTGCCGCGCGCTCCACAGAGGCCCACAGAAACGAAAGAGGGTCCCATCACCAAATGATCGCCTGCTTAGCAAGTGTAAAGTGAAGGAAGTTTTAATCTCTCATTTGTGAATGAAATAAGTAGAGGTCTCACAAACAAGAAAGGGTACAAACCACCCCTTTCAGAGGAAAGAAAGCGCCTTCCTCTGCCAGTACCGACTGGCTGTCTTCTGACACCCAAAGCTCCAGCCAGCTTGAGCGTCCACGCTCACAGATCTACACCTCGAGGGGCGTCCCCACTCCCACATGGAGCCCTGACAACCATCAGGACCGAGGCTCCGCCCTGACAGTTAGTTACAGGCTCCAAGGCCGTCCCAGCCAGACTGGGTGGAGACCCAGGAGGGTCGGAGTAGGTGGCCTGTGGAACCAGCTAGAGACACAGCTCCTTCAAGACACCGTCACTCCCCAGAGCGGTGCTTTAGGGTACAATGTGGGCGACTCCTGACTTGGGAGAGGGCCATCAGCAGAAAGCGAGAGGCCCTGTCCTCAGCAGCACCAACCCGTGATGAGCGACTGCTCTCAAGACTGAATGGCAACAGCAGATGCTCCTCAATTCCACCCTGAAATCCGGCCATCTGTGACATGGACAGACCCCCGAGGGCACTGCGCTCAGTGAGATACGTCAGAGAGAAAGGCACAGACACACACACGCTCATAACACAGAAAGCAGACGGCCAAAGGCGGGGGGAGGTGAGACGGGCCAAGACACGCAAAGGCACAAACCTCTGGTGGTAAAACAAACTCATCACAGGGGTGTGACGCACAGCATGGGGACGACAGTCAGCAACGCTGCACTGTGTATCTGAAAGCTGCTAAGAGTAAATCTTAGAAGTCCTCATCACAAGAAAAAAAATCCTGTAACCATGTGTGGTGATGGATGTTAACTAGACTTACTGTGATCATTTCACAACACACAAAAACACCAAATCCTCACGTTGTACACCCGAGACTAACAGGATGTACGTCCACTGTTCCTTGACACGAAAAAGGAAACAGTAAGTAACTGAACAGGCACCACACTAGACCTTTCGGCAGAGACAGGTTCTGATGTGCTGCTCTCGCCCCAAACGCCCCACGGCTGATACAGCATCCTCCCAGCGAGCCGGGAGGCTGGCTGGGGAGGCGGCGCGCGCGGGGCGTTACCTCCTCCTTGGACTCGCTGTTCTCGCGCTCCCGGGGCTCCTGCTTCACGTGCGTCACCATGGCGAAGGCCGCGCGGTCGTGGCTGTCGGCCAGGTTGATGACGTTGGTGATGGAGGGCAGCATGGCACCCTGGCAGCTGGTCCCGATGGGCGTGCTCTTCTCACACACGGCCAGGAGCAGCTGGGGGAGCGCGAGGGGGGGGGGGAGAGGCCCCGGTGACCCCCGAGTCACCTCGCCCCCAGCGCCTGGCTCGCTCCATCCCGCTGCCCCCAGCTAGCCAGGAGCCTGCACCCCCCTCCCACTGTCCTTACTCAGGTGCCCCCGACTCCACGTCTCAGCGGGCTGGACAGAGGGGCCAGCGAAACCAGGCCCCGGAGGCTAGACTGTGTGCTGGGCACAGCCAAGGAGCGGCACAACCCGCTTTGCTATGAGAAAGGCCTGAGAACGGCTGGGCGGCAGCAGGAAGCCTGTGCTGGGCGGCACCAGGTGGGTGAACACTAGTAGGACGCTCCTGCCGTTGTCGTCGTGAGGAGCGACAGGGCAGGCAGAGAAGTGGGGGCCGTGCCCTGGTGCTGCCTGGAGACAGGCCAGACCGCAGGCCAGAGGAGCAACAGCCAGCCCCTCCTCCAAGGTCTTTCTGACCACCTGACCCAGAGCCTGATGTACCCGCCCATCTCCTGAATGAAGAGCAAGTTGGGGAGCTCTGCCCACTGTGCCACCGTCACGGTTCCACCTGCTGCTGCTCACAGCACTGAGAACAGACCTCAGCCCTGGTGAGAACGCGCCCACACGCTCTCCCGAAGCCCGGCCACGAGTCCCTCCTCTCCCTCGAGGGCAATCTCACAGCCCCGGTGTCAGACAGTGGTGCCTCCAGCAGGCGCAGCCCACAGCCTGTGTGCACAGCGTGCGTAACCTCCCGTTCTCACGGGAGGCCTAGGCTGCCTGGTGTGCATGCTGGTAATAAAGCCAAATAGTGAGGAATACAGACACCTGACCACAAGCTAGTTAGAAATGGAGGCCATCTGACTCACCGTCCACTGAAACAACCTGACTGTCCCTGACTGAGCCCCAGCTCCCTGGCCCCATGAGCCAAGGGGTCAGAGCCCGCGTGCTGTCAGGCCGGCTTAGCCTGGCCGCTCCACTTCCCAGCTGTTCGTCAATTCCTTCTTATTAGAGATGACAGCGGTTTTGCCGTGGAGATGTCTGCCTCTCTGCATGGGTGTGGACACCTGGCTCTGGGCCTGACTTACCTCAATGCACTGCTTGATCCAGAAGTGGTTCCCCATGGCCTCCCAGTTCTGGGAGCAGGTCACGTAGAGCAGGCGCTCGTAGACGCGACGCTTCATTGAGTTGTCGAAAACCTCGAAAAACTTGGCCCTGATGAGCGGCTGGGCACAGCGCAGGCCCGAGAGAAAGGCCGGCTCAAGCTTCGCGGTCAGCTCGCTGCCTGACAGCGTCTCATCCCTGGAACATTTGAACAAAAGGCTCACTAATGACACCAACATACACTACGTGTCTTACAACGTAAACGAGCGTTTAAAACTTATTGTATATGAGAAGATTAAAAAGTCACACCACCAGTGGGTCAGACAGCACACCAGGGATGACACGACATGTGTTTGGCTGCGGTGATTACCTGTAGACGTAGTTAACAAGGTCTAAAAACTGCGCGTTTAGTTCAAGGTCTTCTGGAAAACGCTTTTCTATGTAGGTCATCATTTTCACAAGCAAAATGGACTTTTCCCGCAGTGTAGGTGTCTGCACAAATTTAAGAGCCAATTATTTGAGAAAGAACATGTTCAAAAGTATTTCAGTCATCTGCTCAACTGATTTTTAAGCTTCTACAGTCTTGTCAGGTAAAATAAGGTCATTTCTAAATGGTCCTTAGGATGCTTAAGATCAAGACAGGTGCCAACGTAATTTTCCTGGGGTGGGGGCCTACAACTCACTTGGGAGAGAAAGCAACTAAACTAGAAAACAAATTGGAAGTTTGCAAGCATCTTAGTTACCAAGTAATAGTCCCTCATCGTTGTTATTTTTGGCTCATTTACCATTTTAACAGAAATAAAAGGAGAAGGGGACGACAGAGGATGAGATGGCTGGATGGCATCACCGACTCGATGGGCATGAGTTTGAGTAAACTCCGGGGGTTGGTGATGGACAGGGAGGCCTGGCGTGCTGCGGTTCATGGGGTCGCAAAGAGTCGGACACGACTGAGCGACTGAACTGAAAACCACATTACACAACCAGTTATTTCAAGTTTCTCTTTAAAATCTGTGAAGCACAATGAGAAAAATCCAACTTAAAAAAAAGATCCCATGAATGCAAATACTGGAGAGAAAAAATATCCTGCTTGAGACCTTGCAGAAGAACTTAGAAAGCGATGGCTGACTCTTCCCTTGCATACTCGGGAAGGCCCGTAGGCCGGAGCCGGGGCCCCTGCCCAGCTCACCTGATTGGCCGCCATCGGGGAAGTGTTTTTAACCCATTCTTCCACAATTTTCACCACGGACCGGAGGATTTTGGCATCGGGGGATTTCTCAATGAGGGAGGTCAGGATGGCCTGAATGAAGTTCTTCCTCATCTCCATGCTCATCACGGCCAGGCGCGTCTTCACCAGCTCCAGACTCAGCATCACCAGCTCGCTGGTCCCTGCTCACGGGAGAGACGTCGGCTATTCCCACCACCCAAGTGGCTGGATCCTGCCCACGCCCTCCCCAGGACGCTTTCTCGCCGAAACTAGAGCTCCGGCATGTGAACTGCCTCCTGGCTCTGACCGCACCGCCTTGCCAGGGCGGCCCAACAGCCTCCTCACAAGGCAGGGGACGACAGAGCTGACACAACCAGGGGTTCGGCCAAGCCCTGAAGTCACGTGCACGGCCCTGGCGGGCCGAGCTCCTCTCCCCACAACACGTCACCCGAGTCCCAGAGCTCACAGCTCAGGTCTGGACCCTGAGACTTCATTCTTCAGAAACAGTGGCTCTGATTATGCCATCTCTGCTTATAGCAAAACTGTGAGATTAACTCTCATCAAGCGGCAAGTGTTCCTCAAAATCTCTTCATTTTTACAATCACAAACTTCAAAAGCAGTTTGTTTTAAAAGAGCGCTTGACTCTGGTAGTCAATGAAACGCTCAGAATCTCTCTGTTGAGAGCAAGTGATGAAGAACACGAAAGCAGGGCGCAGTGGAGCTGCCAATCGCGGCGGCCCTGAGGCGGCCCGGCCCAGCGCGTCACCTGAGGCGGCCTCCGTGCTGCCCGAGGCGGCCTGCGGGCTCAGGTGCTCGCGCACCATCTTCTGCAGGGAGCGCATGAAGACCGAGATCAGCCTGTCAATGTAGCTCGGGTTGTTGCTGCAGGCGGACTTGAGGATCATCAGGGTCCCTGGAGGGGAGAGAGCGCCAGGGGGTTTCTGAGTCTCTAAAAGCTGAGTAAAATTCACAAAAATGTCACTTACTCCTAAAAACATTTAAACATGCTAGACAAAAACATGCTGTTTTTGACAAAAGTACAGGTTGATCTGAAATGTCACGTTGCCGTTGAGCCTGACCCAAGTCTGAACTGCTCGAGTCCACTTGTGTATGGCTTTTTTCCAACAGTATACACAACGGCGCTGCAGGATCCTGAGTCAGCTGAACCTGTGGATGCGAGACAGCCACGCAGAGAGACCCTGTACAGACACTAAGGCCGACGACACTCACAAGATGAATTCCCCTGCTTCGCCTGCGTGGGGTCACCGCCCCAGGCCCCATGTGTGCAAGAGTCAGCTGTAAACATCCCATGAAAGTTTATGCTGTGGACCTTTAAACAACCCTGGAGATGGGGGCTGGGGAGGAGCACGTGTGTCTGAGGCAGAAAGAAGCTCTGAGGCTGGGTGGGGGGTCTTTCATCTCCAAGACCCCAGGGGACCGTGGCCTTGGGTGCACCCGGCCACTTGCAGACACTCTCAACGCCACATCGGCTCAGAGCTCCTCCCGACACGCTGTGCCCTTCCCAGAAGGCAAGCCCATCCAAGTGAGCAGAGAGACGTGGGCCAGGCAGGACGCTCACTCACCGAAGAGCTGGGAGGGGTTGGCGCTGGTGGCCTTCTCGTAGTTGGTGAGCCCCTCGTAGATGACCTTGCCCACGGCCGCGTACAGGCACTCCAGTTCCTCGTACTTGGAGGCCACGCTGGAAGTGCCTGAAACAGGAGTGGGACTGTGGGGCCAGGGGCCAGCTGGCAGGCCCAGCCCGGCTCTGAGAGATGCTGACTCTCTGCAGGCCAGCACAGAGCTTCGTCGTCTGGGACCTGCGCTGACCCTCACCCCAGGAACCGTGGCTCCCAGTTAACAGAGCTCGGTGACCACCTTTCATGTCCCTGAGCCTCAACTCAACCCCCTAAACACACAGAAAACATGTCAAAATTCTATCCTGCCAGCTGTTCAATGCTTGACCAAAATGCTTTGATCAAACTCTCCTTTAACCTTACGGAAACGGTAATGTTTAGCTGATGAAGAAAAACTATCTCCCAAGCGGACCAAAAAATGTAATGCAAAGACTTTGACTGTGAAATTTTGTCAACCTTCCTTTTTTTAAAAGAAAGTTTCGTGGTACAATCAGAAAGCTTGGATGATAAAATGGCTCATATGGCAAGCGGAGGAGGAGGGAGCACTCTCAGTAATAAGCTCTGGGCCCACCCAGCCAGGCGGAAAGAAAAGAGAGAGAGCGGGGTGCAGATGGCCACAGCCACGTACTCGGCTCGGTGGGGAAGAGGCTCATGAGGCGGGACAGCAGGCTGTGCACGGCCCGCAGCACCTTGGTGTTCCCGCACGTCATGCAGGCGGCCACGCCCCGCTGCAGGGGTTTGAAGCTGCTCAGGATGGCCGGCGGCTGCAGGACAGTGAGCAGGAAGCTCAGCACTTCCAAGCCGGTGCAGATGTTCCCATAGTTCACCTGGTTTGGCTGCTCCTGCAACGGGGGAAACGGGCCATGCACGGATGAGACAGCATGTGAACGCCAGCGACAGGAGGGGGCAAGCAAAACCCAAGCCCCGTGCCACTGAGCACTCAGGAGGTGAAACCAAAAAAAAAAAACCCAGAACCACGGAGGGGTGAGCACGTCAGGCGTATAAAGGACCACCATATTCTGTGAACACAGTAGAATTTCACAATCTTCCTTTCAATAAATTCACCTAAAGTATTTAGTCAAACTTCCTTTAAAAAGTTCACGAAAAACATTAGTATTTGGCTTAAAAAGGCAACTGTTGCAATGAATTTTGCTTTTCTCCTCTCATGTTTTTAGTTCAACTACATACATCCTTCCAAAAGGAAGTATCCTTGAAACTGTGTATAGTGAAATCAACTTATATTGTCACCACTAAAAAACAAAACAAAAAAGAATAAAATAGAGAACAGAGCACCAAGGTCCACAGTAAGGATTTAAGTTTGGCTTCAGGACACTCGTGTCTGTGGTTCACACACACACGCCCTGCGTGTGCACTACTCGAGGTGGACCCTGGGGAAAAGGCAGAGGTCATGGTGAGCAGACCCACTGCTCTTGGAAAATATGAACCTGTGAAGGGGCTGAGCTTGAGTCAGCTCAGTCAGAACTGACTAACTCTGATAGGAAAATAATTTGACCTTTCAAAAAGAAATAGAGGCAAGAAATCTGCAGAGGATGTAGCAGTGAAGCCTAAGGCTAGCATCAAAGCACTCACTGTGGACCCACCACTCTAGAGCTCCTGTAACACAGGTCACCTGTGGGACCTTTCAAAACACTTGAGCAGCAACACTCATCTTTTCAGCACAAAGTAATAGACCTTTACCGCAGGTTTTAAAATCTTGAAACGGAAAGTTTTCGGGTTTCACCAGAGACCTAGACAAACAGAACTGCGTCCTGGTAGCAAGACAGATAAGACAACAGAGCAGCTTCTGCAACCTCCGAAATAATCACAGGACCGCAGTTTTTACAGCAACAAGAACATCCAAAAAGCCATCAAAAGACTGGCACTTGGGGCTCTCTTAAAACCTGACTATATGGTGCTGTGGTCACTATTCAATCTGTATTCAAAAACAACTTTAAAGACTGTCGACTAAGTCAGTTAAACATGTTTTATTCCGGGCTAGCTGGTGGGTTGGTTTAAGAAATGAGTCTGTGAAAGGCAAGGGCACTACTCTGCTTCCAAAACTCCTAGCTCTACCCGGGGTGGAGGGGGAAGCACGGCGCTCTCCCCTCCCCTGCTGGAGGCCAGAAGAGCAGTGGGAGGGCCCCGACCGGCGGAGAGGAGCGGGCTTGGGGCCCACCTGTCCCGAGGGCCCCGCACCTACCACACTCATCAGCAGCTTGTCGAACCACTGCAGCTTGAGCTCCGACTTGGCCCACATGTCTGGGCGCAAGGCCGTCTTCAGGAGGGTCACACACCGGCGGGACAGCACCTCCCCAGGAGAGCCCGCCGCGCTGGTGTTGTCGTTAACCTGGAAGTTCACTGGGGTCAGGCCCGAGTTACCCTGCACACAGGGCCCAGGCCGTTCGCCCGCCCTGGCCACCCTGCACCCAGCCTCTGCCTCCGCTGGGACCCCGCCCCCTCACAGCGGGTCATCGATGACCTGCACTCATTTGTGTGACTGAAGGGGCGGCATCGGGGCCTCCCCGGCCGTGCCCAGCATGCTGCGGTGCTCAGGGGCGGATCGGCTGATAGGCGGGTAGCCTGTTTCCAGCACTTAAGAGATCCTCAATAGTGTTGTGAAATAGTGTACACTGCTTCTTAATAGCAATAAAACTACTTTGCGAAGGAACTCTCATTTACAAGGGTTTCTTTGAAATATAAAAAGGAAAAGTTTCAGAAACGAATTGCCAACAATGGCGTGAAAATATGTTACTGATGTGAACGGTAAACAAATGCAAGTTACAAAAAAAAAAAAAAGCAAGTTACAAGGCATCTGAACCACTGAATGTTGTCCACTACTTGTGTGGGCTTGGTCATCCCCACACCCTCAGGACACAGGCCACCGGAAAGTCAAGTAATCCAACCCAGGGTCACTGAACACCACCAACATGCTCTTAAATTGTAGATAGCCACTATATTATCACACTGATGGAAAAAAAGTTATAAAAAATCCTATTATAAAACACAGGCAGATTTCAGGAACATCAGCATGTCACCAAACAAATCAAATTTGGTAAGAAAGGGACAAACTACTACAGAGGAGCTCTCAGACCTGGTTTGTCTATTTCTTTTCTGACTGAACAGGCACAGACCATGGAGCTCGCTGAGGCTACCGGGCAGCCTTCGTTCAGAAGGCCCCTAACCTGAGGCGCGGATACCACACCTGACAGGCCACGCGGATGAGGAAGTTCACCACGGTGTCCGTGTGCTGCTTGTCGATGGGCTTGGCGAGCAGGGAGTCTGCGCCCGGCAGAGACTGGCTCCGCCCGAACACCTGGAGACGCGGGGAGGGCGTTCTCAGAAGCGCGCCCTGGGCGGCCCCTGTGCTGGGCCCCAGGGCACCCCCGGCAGACGGACGAGCAAAGCTGTCAGAGAATGGACGGGGCCGAGCCACCCCTGAAAGGGAACCAGGTCTAGGAAGCGGTGGTGCGGCCTGGTGGGGTGTGGCGTTGGCGCCCGGCCCGCATTCCGAGTCCGGATGAATGAACCGCTGGCGGCCCGGGCCCGCGCTCTCACCGCGCTGATGGCGCCCGTGGCCGTCCTGAAGCGCTTCACCTCCTGCGCGGAGTCCACCGACAGCCCTCTCTTGATGGAAGACGAGACGGAGGTGACGCCTTCTCCACTCGAGTTCGGGTCCATGTCTGAATCGGGCTGAAAGAGACGCACCCGCGCTCGACTCTGCCGCCCGCGCTCCGGGGAGAGGCGCGGGGGAAGGCCGGCGGGAGGCGCTGCCGCCCTACCTGCTGGTCCTTGATCCGCTGCAGCTCCCACTTGATGACGACCTCGGACAGGTCCACGGCCAGCCGCCTCTGCTCGATGGTGACGCTGGGCGTGAAGCCCAGCCGCTGCATGGCGCTCACCATGTGCTGCACCAGGTGGTGCCGCACGGGGTAATACACCTGCGGACACGGGCCGTCACGCCAGGGCCGCCGGCGCGCGCACGCAACCTGCCTCTGCCTCTGCACGCCACCCAACCTTCCGCCCGAGCATTCTGAACCGTGACTTAAGCTAAGAAATCTCTCAGCACCTTCTGTAAGTATATTTACCATGCCCCCTTCATCCACTGAGTTCCAGTACAAAAGCGTGTTTTAGCTTCTAAGGACCATCTTTAAAAAAATGCTGAAATACTGAATTCTTGTTAGGTAGGCAAGTCTAGTGACATGTATTAAACTTAAGACGATATCATAAAAGTTAGCCATGCCAAGAGGCAAATTCCTAATTCTAAACAGCTGACTGTAAGAGAACGAACTTTCAATTCAATCCTTTCTCCTCCACCCAACAATCTATGAAAAATAATCTACATATAAACAAATACAAGAAGGAGGTGATTTGGTTTTAGAAAAGGAGATGCCAGTGACCTCTTCAAGAATTAATGACACTACTTCCCACCTTAAAGTAACAACTCGCCTGTATTCACAGATAACTGAATATGGCTGATCCTTGAACAACACAGGGGTTGGGGTGCCCACCCTCCATGAAGTCAAGAACGCGACTAGAGAGTTTACAGTCAGTCTTCTCCATCCATGGTTCCACCTCCATGGATTCAACTAACCGCAGATCATGTAATATTACAGTACGTATTTATTGAAAAACATCTGCATATGAGTGGATCCACACAGTGCAAACCCTTGTTGTTCAAAGATCAAGTGTACTTACAAGAAAAATGTTGTCTTAGACAGAAAGAAGCATACACCTTGGACACATCCACTAAACTACAGCAATTTCCATGTTGTAAGGCCACACACATACTCATACTAATCTATAGAGGAGAAATACCTTCACTGAAAGATGAGGACAACCTCATTAGTGCAGAAAAATGAAAGACGAGGGAAACTTCAAAGCAAATGTGCGAGAACGTATCAGTATCTGCTCTGAGGCCTCCACACCCACCCACCCGCAGCGCGTCCCCACCTTGAAGTGCTGCACGATCAGATGCAGGATGTGGACCAGCTGTGGGACCGTGTGGCCCTCCTCCACGATGATCTTCCTCGTCCAGTGGGTCAGCATCTGGTGCCCGTCCTCCATCCGGGCAGGCACCGCCGGGGTCAGAATGGCCATTGCCTGCCTGACAATGGCGCGCGCTTCCATGGCGTGCGCCTTGAGAAGACTGTGGAACACCTGAGACAGGACAGAAATTCTCAGTAAAGATGAAGGCTTTAACAAGCGAGATGAAAACAGTCACTTAGAAACAAGGCGTTATTTCTGCAAAAACAATATTTAAACAATTCCTTGGAGCTCTCTTATTAGGAAAGCACAGAGTAGTGAGTTTCTCTTCCATTAAGTTTTGATCCATGAAAATGTCTTCTCTAATGTTTTCTGAGCACCTACTGTGTGCCTGTGCTGGACTAGACTCAGATGGTAAAGAATCTGCCTGCATGTGGGAGACCCAGGTTTGATCCCCGGGTTGGGAAAATCCCCTGGAGAAGGGAATGGCAACCCACTCTAGTACACTTGCTTGGGAAATCCCCATGGACAGAGGAGCCTGGCGGTTGCAGTTCATGGGGTCGCAAAGAGTCGGACATGACTGAAACACACACATGCACACACGAGCAAGCCCCAGCTCCTCCAGTGTGACCAGCGCGGAGTCGGTCGAGGCACACAGATTGTGGACAGGCCGGAAACAACAGGACCTGCTAAGCCTGGGTGCCTGGGGGGGTCTCTGGCCCAGAGAAGTTCCCAGGAGGGCAGGGTCAGAGGAAAGAATCAAGTGTGACTCAGAGGACAGGATGAGAGCCACCCCCAACCGGCTGTGCAGTGGGACAAACAGGCTAGGTGCTCAAGCGCAGGATCACACTGAACTCCTGACACAGACAGGGACGAGCTCTGTCAGAGTCACAGAACTCATAAGCAGGAGAAACCCAGGCTGCCTGACATCAAGGCCCAAACCCACTGAGCAACACTGGGAATGTGCTCGAGATGATCCACCCGGACAGTCAGGAGACGAGGACCCCAGAGTACCCGCTGTCTGTCTGCAGCTAACGAGTGGGCTGGGGCCCTGGACAGGCACACCTTCAGCAGCAGGCAGAGGAGCGGGGGGTGGACGAGGCAGACACCGTGTTGTTTCAAAAGCAAGGCTGAGAGGAAGGGGCGGACAGAGCAGGGGTGGGGGAGGGCGAGGGCGAATCACAGGGGAGGATTCAGTCACAAGACGACAGCAGGAGGAGCCTCTGTAAAGGCACCGGGGAAGACGACGAATCGCGAGGAGGCTACGCATGCCGGTACCTGCAGGACGATCTTCTTGTGGATGGCGAACTTGGCAATGATGTGGGCCAGCAGCAGGTGCCCGCTGTACTTGCAGGCGGGGTCCACGCAGGCCTTGGACAGCAGGCAGGGCCACGCGAAGGTCATGAGGCGGCGCAGCTTGCTGTTGCGGTTCTTGTTGTTGTCGTGGATGTGATGGGGCGCATGCTCCACCAGCAGCGTGGCAAACTGTAGCAGGTGGATGCGCAGCGAGTCCAGCATGTCCGCCTGCTTCTCGGGCTCCAGGACCTGCAGGCGCGGGCACCAGGGGCGCTGCTGGCTCCGCTGCCCTTGCCGCACGGGGCACGCGCGAGTCTGCACCTCCGCACACGCATGCACACACACACACACACTATAGCATGCGCCTTCGCATACGCACACAAATGCTAGACACACACCTCCGAGGGGCACTCACAAGCCTACACCTTCACACACGCGCGCGCACACACACACACACGCGCGCACACACACACACACACACTCTAGACACACACCTCGCAGGGCACTCACGAGTCAGCGCCTTCACACACTTCTCGGGCTCCAGGACCTGCAGGCGCGGGCACCAGGGGCGCTGCTGGCTCCGCTGCCCTTGCCGCACGGGGCACGCGCGAGTCTGCACCGCCGCACACGCATGCACACACACACACACACTATAGCATGCGCCTTCGCATACACACACAAATGCTAGACACACACCTCCGAGGGGCACTCACAAGCCTACACCTTCACACACGCGCGCGCGCACACACACACACACGCGCGCACACACACACACACTCTAGACACACACCTCGCAGGGCACGCGCGAGTCTGCACCTCCGCACACGCATGCACACACACACACACACACACACACACACACACTCTAGACACACACCTCGCAGGGCACTCACGAGTCAGCGCCTTCACACACATGCACTCTATACACACATACCTCCCAGGGGCACGCCACAAGTCTACACCTTCACACACACACACACACCCTCTATACATGTAACATTCTGCTACCTCCGTACCTCTCAGGAGCACTCCACAAGTCTACGCCTTCACACATGCACTGACACGTACATACCCTCTATACACACAGCATTCTGTACCTCCGTACGTCCCAGGGGCACTTGACGAGTCTACACATTCACACACATGCACACTATACACAAACCTCCCAAGGGTCACTTGACAAGTCTATGCCTTCACACATGCACACACACACTCACACCCACATACCCTCTATACACATAACATTCTGCTACCTCCATACCTCCCAAGAGTCACTCGGCGAGTCTACCCTTTTGCACATGCTCTTGATACACATAACATTCTACCTCCGTACCTCCCCAAAGGTCAGTTGGCAATCTATGTCTCCGTACACACGCGCACACACTCACTCACATACATGTACCCTCTACACACACAGCATTAAGCTTTATGGGGATGGACTCAATGACATCACATCAATTTTCCTTTATTAGGTACAGATTACAAACTTGCTGAATTTATTTCAGTGTTGAAGAGGGAGGAGGCGTAGAAGCTAGAATGCAGGGGGCAGGGCGGGGTCTGAGCCCTCCCACACAGGGGGACTCATGACCGAGTTTCTCAATTTTCAAGTAACTGACTTTTTTTCCTAGTCAACCATTAACTATTAACTTGTTTTTTAGTATTATTAGAAAATGTTACCTACTCCCAAATTCTCTATTCTTAAAAAAAAAAATTACACTTTTCCATACAATCAAGGGTCTGACAGATTTCTCCATGTGTTTCATGGATATAAGAGAAATGTACACAGAGGAAAATTCTACCTGCCTCAGTGGAGTCACAGACCGACCAGACCATCCACTAAGAACCCTCACAACCTTCTGCCTCTCAGACCTGCGCCAGAAGCCTTCCACGACAGCTGTGTCATCACTGGGGGCCCTTTAGCCCCCAGCTCCTGCCCTTGGACCTGCGGCTTCACAGAGGTCCTTCCCGGGGGCGCCAGCCTGCCTCGCGCCATCGATCCTCATCCACACTCGAACTCCCGGCCCACACTGGTGCCAAGAGGCAGCATGTGACTCCAGGATGCAGCCCAGAGGGCAGGCCGTGGCAAGGCCCGAGTCTGGGTCTCCATCTCCCCACAGCCGCCCAGCACACGGCAAGTGTCAGTATGTGGACCAAAAGCCATTACTTGGGCACAGCTCTCCCCCAGGAGGATGGGGCTGGGGTCAAAGCTGCAGGAGGCAGCCTGTCTTAAGACACAAAGACCATGGAAGAAAGCCTGGCCACGTGTCCTGTGAACCGCCTCCCCTCTACCTGGACCCCAGGCCAGGGGGTGAGGAGCCTACTCTATTCTTCCCAAAGGCGGTAACTCATGGGCCACACAAGGAATGAAGTGCAGGCCCATGACGAATGAAGGTCCATGGTCACAACATCTGACCGGCAACTGTGCACACACACTCAGCCCAACCGCCTCAAGGCAAACTCAGCATCCGCTGGTGAAGCAGCCTGACCACAGAGCACCATGGGAAGTTCTCAAGCGAACACTTGATTCCCAAAGCCTCCCTCGAGCAACCTGCAAACATTACTGTGCATGAGCCAAGACCCAAGTTAATTTCAGACATCCCACTGCCTTAGCGTTTCATGAATTTGGCAGCAAAGGGTCACGGTGGCAACTGGGTCCAGTCTCACATTCTCACCAGCTTTTAGTAGATTCTTTTGCAAACAGATCATGAAAACACTACTGACTGGCAATAGGGATTTCTGCAAAACAACCGCAACATGTGAGTTTTCAATGTGATATATTCTGCTTCTCACAGAAATCTATTAATGTGGCAAAGTTATGTGATTCCACAGTGAAGTTGCCTTAATAAGTTCATTAGTAAGAATGACTGCAATCATGAAAAATGAAAGCAGGGAATTAACCTTATTTTGATGAATCCAACACACACACACACCCCTCCCACACTGTATGTGGTTCATGACATCACCTATTTCAATGAACCCATCACACACACACACACCTCCTATGCTGTGCGTGGATCATGATGTCACCTTATTTCAACGAACCCATCACACACACACACACACACCCCTCCCACGTTGTGCGTGGTTTGTGACGTCACCTTGGTAATGAACACACTGGTGATGCTCTCCGGGTTATCGCCCTCTGGATTGGGAGGTCCTAGGAGCTGCTCTCCTTCTCCCTTCTCAAAGCTATATAAGAAAGCAGGATTCAAGATATGCTGCAGAACCTACAAAAAAATTTTAAAATGAAGGAGAAGGAAAACAAAGCCAGGCTCGCTTGCTCTCTCACTAGGCAGAACCAGCTCAGTCCTGCTGCGGCATCCGGTCAGAACTCAGTCAGGGGTGCAGGTAGCCATCTTGTCTTTGCTTCTAGTGGTAACTGCAAAGGCAGGTTAACAACTTGAGGAAAAGAGACAGCAGACTCGGTCATTCTTCTCACCTCAAACAAGTTGTTTTATAAAAACAAAGGAACCAACACACCACTCGTCAGCACTGGTTCACAGCTGGACCTGCCTCATGTTTCTCAACAATGAAACTTCCTTCCTAAACAGCCCAGACTGCTCTTCCAATGTCAGGAAAGACAGAAGACCATGAGCAGAGCACCCTGGCTTCCGAGAAAACGAGCGCAAGCATCGTGGCTTCTCCTGCAGCAACAGAGGGACCCACCTTGGCTTTCAGCTCATCTCCGAAGTTGGGGTCATTGAAGTCCACAAAGCGAAAAAACAGGGCCCGTTTCTGGGCGATGTTGTAGTTTTTGGGAATCTCCTCCTCCATGTACTCCTTTAGGAAGGTCATGTTGCAGAGGAAGCGACCGGTGAAGGCCCGGAGCAGCTGGAATAGCAACTCAATGTCTCCAAAATTCTTCCTGCGTGTTCGAAGGAGAGGGCATGTGACACCACAGCGAAGGCCATAACTGCCGGGGACATCCGACCTGGCCCCAGCTGCTCAGAGCCACAGCCCATGCTCTACAGGCCATGCCTACACACACTCAGAGACCCCCGTGACGCACAGCACAGGAAGAGCCCCGGGCCCCGGGCGCACCCACTTGCAGTAACTCAGCAGACAGTAGGCCAGCAGCTTGGGCTCCTTCCAGTTGGTGGCCGCCATGTTCTCCTTCCGGTGTCTTTCTTGAAAGGTTTCACTGACCCACACACGCCTCAGCTGGCTCACCAGGGAGTGCTGACTGGCCAGCCAGGAGTCTTCGTTTTTAACGATGATACTGATGATCTGTCAAAGAGGAGACAGTGAGGACACCGGCGGGGCTCCCCCTGCGTCCCAGCGGCACGCTCGGGGCACCAGCCGTGTGGGGAGCCGTGCTACCTTGACGGCCTGGAACTGCAGGTCCAGTCGCAGGGTGCTGGTGCTTGGCGAGCCAGGGCGCGCCGCCGTCTGGGTGCCGCCCGGCAACAGCAGTGTGATGAACCGATTGGGGTTGGCCGCCAGCACATCTCGAAGAGGTCTGGCATCTTTGTGTTTTAAGAAACTCTGGAAACAAAACAAAGAGCTGTTTTAGGCTAATCAAGACCCACAAACTATTTTAGATGATATAAACTCTAAGGTTCTTCCTAAATCTCTTGAGGTAGACTAAAAAAATTTAAAAGACTACAAAAGTACTCTCTTTAGAAAGTGCTTTTTAGACACTTGGTTTTCATAATCTGAGCAGCTCATTCATCCATTACGATCAAAGTCCTGCAAAGAAGGATTCCCAGACCTGAGCTTTTCTCAGTAGGACACGACAACGTGTCTAATGCTCAAGTTATATCAGAGAAAAATAAAACCTCAACAGTCAACTACAAATTTCAGACTGTCAAGCAGCACCCCAGCCCGGCTCCCACCATGAACATGCGGCTCCACTGGGGGTCGTTCAGCGTCGCCTCCATCATGAACAGCTCCACCGTTTGCGAGGGGTGGCGCGTCAGGAACTTGATCAGAGGTTCTCTGAAGGGACTGCCAGCCTGGAAGACACGTGGTGAAAGCTGCACCTCCCGGGGCTCTGAGGCGTCTCTGGTCCAGTGACCGCCCACGGCTCCGTGTGCACCTTCTCCCCTCGTGAGTGCAGTGCACGCTCCGTGAGCCAGCACGAACACCCCCCACCTTCCCCTGCTAGATTAACCCAGCTGAAACATGACCCTGAAAACACTGCCTGTCGAAGACAGAGGAAGAATGAGACGAGCCCAAGCTTGGCCTTTACCTCGATCAACATGGCCCGTTCGGTCTTCATCACTACCTCTAGCAGAGGCTTGACCAGAGTCTGGGGCGCAGCTGGGATCAGATGAAAAAGGTTTATGATGGCAGAGCAGATTTTCATCTCCTAATGGAGAAAGCCAGAAGTTACAAAACAGGCCAATTCATCGTGCCAGCCAGAGGCATCAACGTCACCACAGACCCTGCTAGGCTCTACTATGTTCGCAAGGCTCGCCAGCAGAAGCAGAGTTAACATGGAAAAAGCCACAACTCGCCAACCTCAGCTTCCAGCTGTGGTCGGAGCAAACGACCTGCCCTGGGCTCTCAGCGGAGGGCGGGGTCACAGCTGGTGACACTGCCACGTCTGCGTGCACGCACACTGACCAGGGTCGGGAGTGACCCCTCGGGCTGCCGAGGTTAGCCCCCCCGTGGGGGGCGGGGGTCGTGCCTGAGCGTTAGGGGTCCCCCACGTGGCCGTGACCTCATGGGGTCTCCCCAGTGCAGCAAGTTCTGAGGGCACAGACTTCTGCTGCCCCCAAAACTCAGCCACAAAGTCCTCAAAACATACGGGAAGTCTTTACCCCGGAAATTAACTGTCTGCGGAAATAAGTGACTGACTGTGGGACTAAGAATTTGTCAAGCAGGCCTGGAAACAAAGCTGACAAACTGCTCCCCGGAACCACGTGAAAAGTGGACTGCTCGGTGACCGGTCCCCGTCACCCCAACCCTGCATTCTCGCGTCAGTTCCCACGGTTTTGGGTCCGCCCTTCGGGCCACGGGGGCGGAAGATGCCCCGGTGTCCCTCATGGGTGGGGGGCCGGGCACCCAGACCCCACTGCGGTAAAATGGGGATGGTAAGCGCCGGTCAGGGGCAGCGGGTCCCGGCAGCAGAGGAGAGAGTGCTCAAAACGTCTCTAAGTCAAGAGGCCAAACGTGAGAGGGGCCAGAAACGAGAAGCATCAGCTCACCTCACCCCCGGCCTCCCCTGGAGTGCCCGTCTCCAGTGTTTCTGAGTTTGGGGGCAGGATAAGTTAGTTCGATCCTCAAGTTCAAATAACCTTCTAAAAATGGCACTTTCCTCTCCAAGGCGTTGGTTTTCAGAGCCCTGTCACGGAACCACCGCTGGCCCTGGCGTCGCCACCGGGAGGGGCGGCAGGAATGACAGGCGTTACCACCCCTGTTTTACAGAAGAGGCAGCGCGCGGCCGCGCCGCCTCCCCCAGCCACCAGAGGGCGCTGTGCGCGGGAGACGCACACGGGGGGCTGGGTGCGGGCAGGGCCCTGTGAGGCAGCCGCTCAGTCAGGTGGGCAAGAAGGAACTAGGCCTCCCAGTTTCTAACAGGCCTCCTGCATTCTCTGCGGTGTCTCCTCTCAAGAGGCTGTTAGATGTGTGAGATCGTACAAACGGTATGAGAGCGAAAACCCGAGGGAATCAGAAAAACTGAGACGTGGCGATTCTAGCGTGTGGGAAACAGAAGAACTTAGAAACTGGCTTAAAAAGGTCCTCAAGGGAAACATGCGTGGCCCCCGGACAGTTCACGGCAACGGTGGCACTACAGGTCCGCCACAGACAGACAAGTACGCTCACTGCACTCAGGCACGACACACTCCGTCCACCACAGAACCACAAGTCACGGCAAAACCAAGGACGACGACAACCCCGCCTGCGCCTCCACTGGTTCTCACCTCTACCCCTTCCACGGCAGGCTGAACCAAAACAGAAGTCACAGCATGAAAAAGGGCAACGCAAAGGTAAACAGAACAGCAAAGAAAGGGAGACACACACTGCTCTTCACAGCGCGAGTCATAAACCGACTGTTAATAGGTTGTTCTCACCTCAAACTGACAGAATGGAGGCAAGGAGCATCTCCCGCACTCTGAAATGCTCTCCTGAGGACGGGGAGGAAAATCATCTTTTTTCTATTTGTGTTATTTACACAGAGCTTCCCGCACACTCAAAAACACAGGCAGGGTTATTGGGGTAAACAAGACAGTGAAGACACAGTTGTCAAGAAAGACAAAATAGTTAACAGGCGCACAACAGCAAGACAGACACCTTCCACCCTCAGATGTCAAGCGCCTCTTCTGATGGCGTCGTGGGCAGTGTGCTCTTCCCTAAGTTTAACAAACAAAGGGTTTCGGAATTCTTGTCCGGGGGAGAAACTGTAAGACTTTGCTGTAAGCAAATACATTTTAAAAAATTGTTCTGTTTAGGATCAGTAATTCAAGATTTTCTGTGAGGGCTAAGACATTTTAAGCTGAAGCTGGAGAAGAACCAGGGGGCTTAATCCCCATCAATTAGGCATGTCTCAGGCCTGCACACTCAGAAGAACCCACAGGCCATGACACCACCCACTGGATGGACATCTGGGTTATCTTGTGAAGTGAAGCTGTTGTGCATGTGCACGTGTGTGTAACAGGTGGTCACGAGCTCTCCCCTGTAAGTTCAACGCCAAACAGGTAAACCTTCCTAATGTGGTGATAATGCAAAGCTCGGATCATCGGGGTAAAGGTGTCATGGGGAATGGATTATTTTATTCAACTTCTAGCACATCATCAGTTACAGTTTCTCAACTGGGCAATGTTATTTGGGAATCCAACCAAATCAACTGCTCCTCAATCTGTGGAGCAGCCACTGAAAGCCCTCAGGGTTCAAGAGCAGACAGGAAGCTTGGCTCTGGGCTGACGCCAGAAACCACAGCCACTCTGCCTTGGACCCCAAACACTGTGGCCCCTGAGTGCGCAGCCTTGAGTCCCTCAGCAGTGAGATGCTCTCGGGGACACGCTCACTGCTGAGCGAACTCCCAGTGCCCATGGCCCCACTCCTTGAGCAACTGACCCCCACTCCATGATAGCTTCACTGAAAGTCTGTGGGATCTTTCTAACAGAAGTTGTTCATCTACCTGCTAGGGCTTTAACGTTTATTCTAAAATTGCCTAATGTTTCAGAGAATTAACAGCTAACAGTAAACGCAAGCATAAAATTTAGAGCAAAAACGCCTAATAGATGACAGCTGGAGAAGAGAAGTAGAGAGGCACTAGTGCCTGCTCCCAAGCGCTTTGGTTTTTCAAATACACTCCGCTTTTCTCCCATGAGGATTTCCTGATTTTCTTCCCCGATATATATAAATAACAAACCTTCAAAGAGGTCATGGATGGTTTAACACGCCTAAAGAAAGTTTAAAATCCTGGTTCAGTTTTGCTTGTTGGCTGTTTAGAAGCAGCAGGAAACAAGACTCACATAAAAAGAACACCTTGACATAGAATGGTTAACACAAAGCATAATAAAGCCAAAATAAATAAAATGCAAGCTGGGATGAAACACAGCATCCAACGAATTGGCACAGGAGCACGGAACGCCACGTTAATGAGGCCTCTGCAGAGCTCGGGAACCCCTCATCGGGGTACTGCTGCAGTTCCACGGGGCGGAACAGGAGCTTGTGGAAGACACAGCCCACCGAGAGGACAGACATCAACTTAAAAGATATTTTAAAAGAGTATTAACATCTGCGAGTAAGATTAGAGTCAAAACAGCAAGAAGCATTCATTTGTAACAGACAAAGTAAGTCTTTAGCGACCCACGTCGGATCCTTTAAAAGATTTAACTAGAGTGGTTTTCCCTCCAAACTGTAAAAAAAAAACATTTTTAAGTACGGGCCATCTGGCCTTTGGGCAAACAACTGGGGTGGGGGATTCAGACCTAGAGAACACCTGTGCCAGGATTCACGTGATGCTTTATCACGTTCTCCTCGGTGCTTTATGAAGGCCTAAAACCTCTGCTCAGCTTGTGAGGCAATGAGGGCGGAAAGCAGTGGAAACAGCAGCTGAGCACTGCACCCCTGTGCAAACGACAGCTGCCAAGAACTGTTGGGAAAGCACACTTTATCACTTTAAAGAAAAGCTAGTAAAAGGGAAACACTAACACGCCCAGCTTCCCAGGATTCTCATCACAGGATTCACAAAAACATCGTGTTAAAGTGAACAAAAGGGAAATTTTTTAAAAGAAACACAAAAAGGAATGTTCAATGATTAAGAGAAATAAAAGCCAAAATGTAATGCTAACAAAATATGTGTAACAGGTTACATGGACTAGAGTCACACACAACTAAACCTCTGACCGGGATTTAATTAAGAGCATGGCTCCGACGTTTGCATCACTAACGGCAGTGCCCGGCTGCGGGGCTGCCCCCGGAAACAAATGAGTCACTCACATTTCCGTCGCTCCTCTGGCCCCCTTTGTGGGTGAGGACCACCACTTCCATCCACTTTCGCAGATGTTGCTGTTGAAAAAAAATACATCCTCAGACATTTTTTCTTGACAACAGGAGCAACTCAGTTCCAAAACAGGTGAAAACCCATAGGTGAGCAATTCCCAACTTACTCAAGATGAGAAGAGCAGTGTTTCTAATTACTGAAATAGCGTGGCCAAATGAGTGATGAGAGTAACTGACGTTTGCTTATGTTCTAAAAACAGGAAGGCTGAATTCACCCCGATACAGCAGGAAACGTCCTGCAACTGGTCACTCCAACAAGAGGACGTGTATTTGTGTTACTCTGTGCCACGGCGGTCCCCCGAGTCTGCCCAGAGCCAGCAGCCAGGCGAGGCGTCGGGGCAGAGACGTGACTGAGCAGACGGCAGCCCTACCCTGTGGAGCTCTGGTTCACAGCAGGGGAAACGGGGTAAAACTCAGGCACCTGCCACGTGACAGGAGCTGGAACCAGCGATGGGAGGGCCCTGCACAGGTGGCCAGGCCAGAACAGGGAAGCAGAGGGAAGAGCGTTCCAGGTCGTATGCGTATAGACTGGTAGGTACGTATCCGTATCATATATGGAAGCTTAAAGGGAAGGGGCCTTGCAATTTGGAGAATTCACTTACATTACACTCTACTATTAGGGCATCACTTAAAAATTTTAGGACCTATCAATTCCCAGTTAGGTATTTGGGCCATGGTTCATTTCTTTGGTATCTACAGACAAGAAAACAGCATGTAAGGCTTAAAAGCTGCATAAAAAACATGCATGTTTGTAGTAACATACTGCAAAATTGTAAAGTTAAATTATAAATGTTTATTTAAAGAATGCAAAATACAGTTAATAGCTGAAACTCTCCATCTGTTTACTCCTCAGGTTTAAACACTGTTCAAACAGATCTTTTATGTGTATAACTATCTCCTTGCTAACTGTAAAAACTCAAAAGGATTTCTAAAGCCCTTACAAGTTCTTCACCACATCACTGTCGACAAAGGCCAAAGATTGGGAACAATCAAGATGGTCACCAGCAGGGAAAGATGCGGTACAGCCTGGCACGTCCCCGCCATGAAACACTGTGTGGCCATAAGACAAGGATGAAGGGGCGCTTCGAGTACCCATCTGAATGATGGGGCAGTAAATGTAAAAAGAAAGAAGAATGGATGGATCCCACTTCCCTCTGTGGGAAGTAATCGAGGAGACGTATGTCCCATGACAAACAGGAACCACCTCTAGAAGGACACACAGGAGACTGTTCCCGCTGGCTGTCCCCCGGAAGAGGAGATGTGGGGATGTGATGGAGGCTGCTCACAGGACACCCTCCACACCTTCTGAGCTGTAAGTCATGTGAGCGTAATTCACTTTTTAAAAAAGTTTGATCTCTCAGGTTCCTCATACACGTCTGGCTTACCATCATCTGATCACAAAATTTATCATTGAAGGAGTTTGGGAAGAGCCTGGTCACCGAGGTCAGACGATTGACGACGTTGAGCGTCAGGCTCCGATAGTCCCCCAGCATCATCAACAGCGGGCGCATGTGAGTGTGGATCTGGTCTACTTCTATGGTAGCACCTTCTAAAAACTATTAACAGAGAAAGGTCACAGGGGAGAAAGATACCAGAGTACACCTCACGCTACCCAGAACCCACAGTCAAGTCTAGCAGGAAGTTTCTGCTGTGCTCGGGAGAAGGCAGCCCTAACCCTAAACATCCTAGAAGTTCATGATGAAATGAGGAGGACTGGGCATTCCTGCTTCATTTTTCAAGGGTTCAGGATGGCTATGAAAGAGAGACACTATGACACTGCCGGGTGGGGTGAGCCACACAGGCAGGCCCCCGAGATACAGACAAGGCCGGCAGCATGGGCTCGGCGCGGATCTCCGCCCCCCACCCAGCCCCACTCGCCTTTCTCATGCAGGCTTCTCCGGCCTCCTGGAGCTCGCTGTTGGTTGAGTTCAGGGCTTTGAAGAGCGCAGCAATGATCTTCTCTCTGGACTGAGGAAGATAATTGCAGGCCGCAAGTGCATCTTTAGGGAGAGAAAGCAACACGATTTTCATCATTTACCTGAAAAACGTACAGCGACGTCCTGGTCTAAAGGCTTTACCAACCAACACACGAATCATTAAACTTCTTTCCTAATAACCCGGCTTCATGAAAGACAAAAGAATGCGTGGCCTTCTACTCACAGGGTCACTATTATCTATAACTACGATCTAAGAAGGTAACAGCCTGCCAGAAAGCCCACGGTCAATCTTATTGTCCAGATAAATGGAGGGGTGAAAAGGAAAACAATATGAAAACAAGGGTGAGGGGGGTCCCCAACGACACCCCTGCCCCCGAGATGTCTCACAGGCAAGGGTGTGAGACCCATGGGCGCGCGCACGCTGTATTAACACTGAGGGCTGAGCCTCGGGCTCTGTGATGAAGGAAACAGACACACAGATCAGCGTCTCTCCATCATCTGTGCCCCAGGATGCGGGGGGGGGGGGGGGGGGCACGGATCAAAGGCCTTGAAACGCAAATATTCTCAGGACAGAGGACATAACTTGAGCCTGTATGTTACAGGTTAGTTAAGCAGTAATGTTCCAGCTCGTGTGAAATGCGTGAGGGGTGCCCCAAGGAGAGGAGCCCCAACAGGAGGGGTGAGAAGACCCCCTGCGTCCCCCTGCACCCTGGCCTGCCGTGTCTTGAGCGCCATCCTCAAGCTCTGCCTCTCAGCTCCTCTACGTCTAATTCAAGCAGGATTCTGGCAATATTTCACTACGTCCTTAAGTGTGTAAAAGTCAACGAGAGACCAAGTTAGCCACTGCGTATTTACCAAAGAGGAGGAAACGACTGGTTCTAAGTATGAAGGCAAGCAGTGTATTTTCCTAAATTATGTACAATTCCTGTGCTAAACAATGATGACTGACATTCTTAATGAAAGCCTGGAGACAGCAGGAGTCTCAAATGCTCCTAAATCATTAAAAAGTCTAAAAAGATCTAAATACTTTGATTCAGATAAAAATGGCAAGGTGTCAGTGGTGTGACGACACTCTTAAACCAGGAAATTAGAGACAAACCTTAGAGAAATGTTCAGTTCCCTCAAGAGAGCTACAAAGTTTACAACACAGTGAAATCCAGTTTATTAGAGTAAAATAATTACTTAAATCCTAGCAATCTATACAGTCCAATGACATCTCATTATGCAGCCTGATAAACACACCAACAACTTTTTTTATTTCCCCTTAGAGACCACAGAGAGTCAGAAGTAGACAACAAAAAAGGCCGTCATCCCCCCCCCGCCACTTCCGTGCCCGCTAACTTGTTTCAGATTTACATGAACTTACTTAGGGCCGCGATCCGTAGAGGCACAAGCGACGGCAGGCTTTTGTAACAGGGCAGCTTTGTTAAAGCCGAATCTTCAGCCTCGCACAAGTTCAAGAGCTACAAGAGACAGAATGACCTAACGCGGCCTGCTCTCACTGAGGACATGACCATCAGCCACACACGACACGATTAACCAACTAAACCCAAATCCCAAAGCACTTAAGTATTGAAATGTCACTGGACTTCCTTATTCGAAAGCAAAACTCAGTCAACCTCTGTGAAGTAAGTTCTTTGGCACTCTCACGGGCTCTGATACCATCCTGTTTTTTCTTTACGCAGAGGATCACTCTATCTAAATGCAAATTCCATGTTGGGGGGACAATGCCTTGCTCACAGACGTTTCCCAGTGCCTTGGGCCAAGGCCCAAGAAATAAACACGCTGTAATTCAAGTGTTTGAGCAGTAATGCTTTTTCTCTCTTTTCAAGCACACAGAAGCATAAGAAGGAAGTATTTTATTGGAAATACTATATAACGCAGATACTCCAGTAGCTGGTCTTCCAGACATTTCGCCAAACTAGTACACATTTGTATATCTACTGCCTGAAATACTATATATGGTGTTCTATTACTACTTTCCCCTTCTACTGACATCCTGGACAACTTACATAAGGGCTATAAGCAAGGTATTAAAAAAAAAAATCAAAGCTAGAACACACGATCAATGACCTTATGTCCAAGTAAAAACAAGGGACTTAAAGAATCAAGAGGCAAGTTTTTTCATAGCTGGAAGGTCAGACTTGGCGTGGACAAGGAAGAAACTTGCTTCCTTATGACTTCTGGCTCAGTTTAGTCTGACAATGCCTCCAGAAGAAGTCACATCTTATAACCATTTCAAATTAGGCTAATCAACAGCCCATTATTGAGTCTAAGTTAATATCTATGATTTGACTGCATCTATAGTTGAGTTCCTATTCAGCACTGTCTAGTACCATCCCACACTGTGATACTGACTGACAAATACATGGAAGGTACCATCCATCACTGCCTGTTATCTTGGGGTCAAGGGGCAAGTCAAGTCCACCAAACAAAACGAGAGCCCAGCAGGGCAGCGCAGTGATGAGAGGCCAGGTTCCAAAACGACTGCGGTGGCTCCAGCCTAAGCTCTCCAGCTCACCTGCTCTGGGGCTCCGGGTGCCTAACAAACCCTAAGGCTCAGGTCTGGTACCTTCAGAGAGAGAGTGCTTAGGGTCTGTACTTCACGCGGTACTGCCGGAGCCAGGTAAGGGCGCTCACATGAAGGGAGTTCTCAGCAGAGCGTGGCACTCTCAAAGTCTCATAAACTCAATAAACTGGAAGCCTGCTGACATGCGTGATAGAGGACGATGGTACAGTCTTGGCTCTAAAATGCACTTCAAGGTCCTAAAGAGCAAGCTCCCTGTGAAGGCTAACAGAGCTCCAAGGACTCAGCAACCCCCCACCTCACTGGACATCTCAGACACACGCCTCCCCCGTCTCAGATGTTAACACACCTGTGCGGGGGGCTGAGCCAGGCGATGGCTGGCTCCCTGCGGCCACTGCCCCTGCCTCCGCTGGACGCTGCCTTCGTGCACAGACAGGCTACCAGACACACGTGGGTGACCCCACCCACGCCGGGCCCCTACCTCTGTGTAGAACACCTTGTGCTCCACCACGTTGAGGTCCATCGTGAAGAGCCGGGGCTGCAGCGTGGTGCAGAACGTGTTCCCCTCCATCAGGCCGATCTGGGCATTGGCGGGCTGGTGTCGCAGCAGGTGCTTCTTAGGGGGGACCATGTCCTGGAGGACCTGGGGGAGGCATGGAGGAGGCACCGCTGACCGGCTGCCCCTCAAAAAGCAAACACCTCTCATTGCAAGATCCTAAGCCAGTTAGCAACCTAAAAACCATAACTAAGATCAAGTTATCCTAGACATCCCTCAGTTAGCAAAGGGAGGAGCTACTTCAAACGCTGACGCTGGGTCATGGAGAGATGCAGTCAGACACATTCCACTCCTCGGGGTCCAGAGCAGCTTGCTCTTACAACAGCAAAAACCAAAACAAGGATGAGACCAGGTCGTGCTCATCAGGCCCAGAAAACCAGCCTCTGCCCCTGACAGTCACCAATACAGGCGTTAATATAAGGACGTTGCCATCTGCAAACCTGAGGTCAGAACGACCTCAGCACGTGTAACAGCACTTAGCTCACTAGATACAAAACGACAAGTTCCGCATCATGAGCACTCACACCTGGAGGAGGACAAAGCCTGCAGATGCTGCGCCCGGGACGGCGCCTCACCTCCTTGTGCGGCTCCATGATCACGGTCACGCTCTTCCCGGTGACCTGGGCCAGCACCTGCAGAGAGTGCATGGCCTGCTTCCGCACAGTGGAGTTCGGGGACGTGACCTCCCGCACCAGGTCGTGGGTCACGTGGTGGAAGGACTTCTCCTGGGCCGCCACGATCTCCTCCGCCCTCTCTTCGTCCTTGAGGGGCGTCGCACACCTCATCAGAAGCTGCTCCAGGGTGGTCTTGGCCATGGCGACCGCCCCGTTGGAAACCTGCAGGCCAGGACTCCTTAGCACCAAAGATGGGCGCTGCTGCACCCAGCACCCACGTCTGCACGCCTGCCCGCCCGCCCCAAACGCAGCCACTGGGGGCCCACGCCCCTCACACACCAGCTAAGGCGTCAAGACTGCCTCGTGTTGTCCTCAAGGTACTCCAGTAGCTAACCCTGCTGCTTAGAGATTAGTTGTTTGTCATTCAGGAAGAAAATACGTATGTAGACTTGATCCTCATGCTTACCAAACAAATTTAAACAGGCGATGCCCGCCATCTTCTACTTGTTTGTGCTACATCCATACAAAGGTTCATAAAGAACGTGGCTCCTAAAGGAACTTCTGCGGCATGCATACTGTTTAACCCGTGGCAGAACTGAGACGCGGTTTTCTCTTCACGGACCACTGTGTCAAGTCCTCTGGCCAGCGACTGTTTATTAAGACTGACCAGTATTTAGAGTCTCAGTGAAAGTGAACCTAAGGGCCGTGATCTGTCCTTTCATTTAAGGTGCTGTAGCGAGATCAGAGGACGAGATGGTCAGCGAGCAACACCAACTCAATGGATGTGAATCTGAGCAAACTCCATGACACAGTAGAGGATGGGCGGGGGGGGAGGCCTGGCCTGCTGCAGTCCATGGGGGTTACAAAGAGTCGGACACGACTTAGTGACGGAACAGCAACAGCAGTGAAATCTAAGCTTCCCAGAGAGCATGCTTGCAGAACTGTCTCAAACTAACTGTTCCCGAGGCGAGTGACCATCCTGCGCCCATGTGGTCGGGTCTGGGGTCACCCCCCCGGCTCCGCCGACCCCTCCCCGCCTACCTCGCCCGTCAGGTCCATCATGACGAAGAGCAGTGCTTTGAGGAAGGTCTGCTGGTTCTGCAGCACCCAGGTGAGGGGCAGGCGCTCCATGAGGAACTTGATGGACACCACGCCGCCCAGCTTCGCGTACCAGGCCTGCTCGTAGCAGCAGGCGCACAGGCGCTCCACGATATAGGAGAAGAGGGGCAGCTGGCACGCCTGGGAGAGACGCACACCGCCGGGTGAGCCCCCAGCTCCTGGGGCTCGGAGCGCGGCCGCCCGCAGGCACAGACAGCCCCACCCAGGCTGCGCGCCTTACCCGCTCCTTCGAGCCCAGGATGATGCTCGCCACGTCGAAGATCACGGCGAGGGCCACCTCCCCAATCTTGCAGAGCTCCTTCTCCTCATACGCCATGCAGATGGCGATGGCGTCAATGAGGACCAGGGGGTCCATCCCTTTGGACCCGTTCTCCTCGCTGTGGAACATGGCGGTGCTGGGCTGGCTGCCCCCCTGGTAGCACGGGAGCAGGAAGGGGCCTGGGAGGAGAGCGGACGGCAGGCGGGAGAGCTGGGTTTAGCGCCACAGACACGCTCGTCCCTCCAACTGCAAAACTATCTGTTTCCCTTGAGGTTAGGAATTTAATAAAAGCCAACCATGGTACTTGACCAACTTCTGTTAAACCGCAACTATTTACAAAGTAAGTAGTTATAATGTAACTGACTCCCTTACACAGTGTTAACTTTCAGATTTTCTCAATCACAACTCAAGGACAGAGCTGTTTAAAGTAAGAACCATAATCAGGTATCTTCGTTGAAGAGAGTCATTTACCCAGGTCAAGAGGCACAATGTGGGCGTGACTATGGGTTATGCTGTGGACGCTCCTGACGCACAAACAGGAAAAAGCAAGGGCAGCCAGCTACGAACCCCACCTGGCAGGCACCGGCCCGCGGTGCGGTGGGAGTGACCGAGGCGTGCGGGCCTGCAGACACTGGGAAACAAGCTCAGCGCTCAACTGTACGGCGCCGACTGCTCGGACAGGAAGAGTTTAAAAGGTGTGAGAGTTTAAAAGGTGTGTGTGTGTGGGGGGGGGGTGCTTCTGCAGCGTTGGGAGAAAGGTACTCGTCCAGGGTGAGAGGTCTGAGGACACAAAGTGCTACTCGAGAGGTCACGCCCACTGACCGGCGCTGGGCTGGGAGCGGCTGCAGAACAGACTGAGTGTTCGGGAACAGTGGCTGGCGATGCCGTGACAGAATTACTGTCTTTTACAAAACCACCAGTCTGCAACGGACTAGAAACTAACAGAATAGGTCCTTTGGCACCCAGAGCCTGGGAGCGCCTGGAGCAGAAGGGAGGAGCGGCCAGGCAGGGGAAAGGCACGGATGAGGGTCCAGGAGCAGACAGAGGAGCTGGGGGACCGGAGCAAGCGGTGATGGGGGCTGGGCCTGGCAAACACCACTGGGGACAGGGGGCACGACCACACAGTCACCGCTCTACATGCAGAGAGTCCAAAAGTACTCAGCCCCCGAGACGAAAAACAGAGGGCCAAAACATTAAAGCCACCGTATTAATATTTTATACGTAAAACCAGGTGACAATTTTCAAGTGAATACAGCACCCAATGCTGAAACACCAACTCTCTGCGCCAATGGAATGAGTGGACAACCAGCAAACAACAGTCCAAAACCAATCAGCCAAACTCAGCGTCTGTGAAACACGAAGTCCCTGAAGACCTCAGCGCGGCTCATCTGGGGTCACTTACCACACTGCTGGGCGACCGCCACCATTGTGTAGTGGCGGATCAAGCTGGCCACAAAGGGCAGGGCGCTGGGCCGCAGATCTTTAATGACCGCAGACATGAATGCTCCAGTCAGGGCCTGCTCGAAGGTCTTCCGGGCTGGGGTGTCCTGTGCTTTGTAGCGATGTGATATGATGACGTTGGGGATGGTCTTTTCCGTAAAGCTGTGCAACAATTAAATTCACTGTCACCACACTCGAGTCCAGAGCTGACATCCTATCCCAAGGAACTTATGTACAACTGCGCGGGCCTGAGCGACTTCTCTGCTTTAATTTCAGCAACACGTGGAACCTGACGTGACAAGTTTCACAACGCATGGCTTCAGCCGGTGGGTCAGGAGACACCAAACGTGCTCTCTCCTAACGTGAGCACAGGCCAATGACTCAGAGGCAAACCACAGAATGGCAGCACGTTCAACGTGCTGAGAGAGACCACCTCTCAAGCACCCAAGTTCTTTCCATTGTCTCTAAAAGAGAAGCATGGCTGAGCAGACAGCACGTCCTTTTCCTGACTGAAGGAACACACTTCCAACACAGAGATCTGGGAGGCACCCCCCCCATGCTCTGAACAAGCCACACAACCCGTCCCCGGGCAGAGCATACTTAGGGTGGGCCAGGAGCTGGTAGAGCGCGTGCTTGTTGTCCTCCAGGCTCATCATCGCCACCAGGAAGCACTTGATCACTTCCCACGCCTGCCTCCGGTAGTAGGGCTCGGTGTTGGCGCTCTTCAGGCAGTCGAGGGCTGTTTCAATGGCCTGTGGCAAAGAAGCATAGCAACTGGGGTTGCTGCTGCAATCGCGACTCCGAAAAGCCTCTGCTGGAGGCACGAGCAGCACCCAGCAGCAGCTCGAAGCACGTCTACCCTTGAAGACAGCAGTGGGTCTGCAGACAGGCGAGCAGGTTTCACCAAATGAAGCCTCCAGACGAAGCGAAGGATGTGGCTCAAACTGACATGTGAAGCGGGGTTTACTGATTTTGTGCTTAAACGGCTGATGGGAAATTCCAGAAATTAAGTGAGCTCAGAACGACTCCTGTGATAGATTTGCTGGATTAAACTAGAGTCTGTCATCTCAGTTCAAAACTGAGATGACTTTCCTAAGGTTTGACCAATTTCTTCAAAAAGGGTTTACTTCATTTTTTCAGAAAACCTACACAGCTTCATACACATCTTATCCTATTATAGGTGGGCCAGGAAGGCAGGGAAGGAAGAATCACACACAAAACACTCTAAGTCTTTAACGGCTCAGGTGCTAATGTTAAAGGTACTTACACACCTAGAAATCAAAGGCCTAACCTGTACTGAAGTCTCCTCCAGACGCAGTGAGGAGCCAGGGAGGGCTGACGGGACAGGCCCACCCTCCAGACGCAGGCAGGGCGCGAGGCCGGCCTCTGGCTACCTCACCCCCAGCTCTTCCCCTGCGGCCTGACCCACGCAGCACTATGTCGTAAACCACGGAGGGGGAACTGTGTTATCAACAGAACCTACAAGCTGATCACTGTCCCCTCTGCACCAAAGGACGGTATGCCAGAAGCAACTGCTGTCATGTGAGCCCAGGCGCTGGGCCTGGCCCTTCCCTGCCAGGGCCCTCAGGTGCCACCCGCGGGGAAGGGTCCCAGGAGCAGCATGGGATCCCTGAGGACCAGGGAGGCGTGTCCTCACTATCTGGTTTCTTCCCTGCTTTAGCTGCCTGGGGGAGAAACTACTTCTAAAGGGATCTTCTAGCTCGGCTTAGTCTGTGCAGAGGTCAAGTGAAAATCAGCATTTGCATTCTAACACCAACCCTGCACTGACAGGGCTAAAACAAACAGAATCCTAACTTAAGGAAATTACCTAAGATGTGGAACTGGCTGGATTCACAGAACGGTCACTATGGTCATTTTCAAGGTAAAGACAGAATTTTAGTGTATTTTCTTACAAGGAAACTAGTGGCCAGTACTTTGATAAAGGCGGAGATAGGACCTGAGATTAAAAAGGGCACCACGTCTGTGGGGCACGGCTGGGGGAGTGGAGAGACAATGCATGCACTTGAGAAGGTGGGGGACAGGTGGACGGAGAGAAGACACCGGAAACGGCTCCAGAGAGACGCTGCCCACAGTGGGCATTCTTCCTCACAAGCGGACAGTGAAGTCTGGCTCAAAAACAAACACATCACAGACACTGCTGCTCTGCGTCCGCTTCCCACACGGAGAGCGGGGTTCTGACACACAGGACGGGGCGGGCGGGCCCGGCCCAGGGCACGGCCAGGCCCAGGCCTGCAGGGAGCTCAGCGTGCGGCCGGCGTGCGGCTCACTGAAGCGGCTGTCACTCGGGCACACGCCAAAGCGCGCGGTGAAACCTTCCCCGAAATGCCCACTGTGTTAACGGCTAGCGAAGTCGTCCAAAACGACGTGATATCAAGAGCTGCAATGCAGGCAGTGAGGGCGGGTCTGTAACAAAAAGGGAAAGTCGGATGCGACCTCACGGACCGTGATAAACACAACCTTGAGTGTGCGAGGCCCAGAGGGGTCAGTGAGGTGAGGGGTCAGGTCTCGGTGAGGGTCAGGCAGAAGCGGCCGATGAGTGCTCTGCAACATGCTGGGCGCCGTCCGCCGGTGGGTTTTGACAGAGCCGCCCCTGGGGGGAGCCTGGGAGGAAAGTGGGGACCCAGGAGCGAGGGGTGAGACAGGGACGCGATCAGCCTGGCTCTACATCACCCGTGACGTGACGCCCGCTGGGCATCAGAGCGGATGAAGGGCAAGGGTGAGGCTGGCTGGGCGGCACCCCCCGCCCGTCAGGAAGGACGGCCCTGCCCAGCGCGCAGGTCCTCGGGGGCAGTGCCCCCCACCGGCCTCTGGGCATCACAGAAGCCCTCGCCAGCCAAGCTGGGCCCTGGCAAGCCTTGTTGCTCTTTGGGTTAAGAAATTCCCTCCCCAAAGGAACTGGCTCTATTTCCTGTTTCTGAACAGAAATTAAACGTTTTACAATGGAACTTGCAGTCTCTTTTTTAAGACGCTCCCAGAGACGCACGCAGTTACCTTCTCCATCGGGAGCTGAAGGGACGCTTTACAGTCAGAAAACTCCACGGTGACGCTGGGGCCCTGAACTTCAGTCACGACGTACAGCAGCTTCTGGGACTCCTTGAGCATCTTCCTGTTGCTGCCGCCGAACTTCCCGAGGACGCGGTAGGCCACGTGCGAGATGCTGTCCGCGGGGTTACGTAAGGTGCGCCACAAAGCCTGCAAGTCAGCGCGCGTCTGTCGGCCTCCGAGCAGACAGCGCGCCCCCACGGTCCCCCAGCCCCGACGCAAAAGCTCTGGGGGGACGACACGACGAAGGTGCCCCTCCCCTCGGCCCCCAGACACACAGCTCTCGGCTTGGGGGGAACTGGTGTTAGTCTTTTGTGAGTTCTTCTGAGAACTGAATGCCTCGACAGAAAATACACACATAAATGTTCTTCCGTGTTCCTGGAATACAAGAGGTAGCAAGTCGTCAACAGCATAGAGCTCAAAGGCAAGAAAACAAAACAGCACCCTGCTTGGATGGACATACACAACGGGCCGGGGGAGCAGACAGGAAAACACACTTGCCGGTAAAGTCCTCGACCCTGGATTAGACGGAGTGTCCTCAGGATTTTACTGCTATTAGGTTTTATAACTTATAAACAAGATACACAAATTTCCTTCTATGTTTCAAATCTGCTATGAGAAAGGATGGTGAGGAGGGCACACTGGGACCGTAACAGGACTGGCATTACAAGAAAAACGAGTTACTGGGCAGCTCGTGCTCACAGTTAGTATAAAGGAGAGAGGCACTCGACTGTTTCAGATAACTGCGATTTTCCCAACTTTTTTCACTGACATCATCATAAACCCTGAAAGCGGCCACAGCTCACTCTTTAAATCTATTTTCTGAAACATCCTCTGTAACAAGGCCAGGTATTAGCGTCTAGCGATCATCAATATAAAATCTTGGAACTCTTCTTTAAGCAAAATTCCAGTTTCTCTTATGTTCCTGTCGGACCACCCAAAACCACTGCGGGAGAGGGGTGTCTGCTTGCCTCCCGGGAGGGGGCGGCCTGGGAACGGGGGTCCGTCTCCCACCCTCGCAAAGGGACTCGGCGGGCTGACAGGCCTCTGCCAGCGGCCCAGCAGGAGGGAAGAAGCCAGCCGTGGCCCCGAGCGGTCTCTCCCTCAGCCTGTTCTGCTCACAGAAGGGCAGGAGGCCTCCAACCCAGCCCTGCCTCCTCTTCCCACACGGTGCTCACCCACGCTCAGCCTTCCAGAACCCACAGCCCTGCTCTCTGGCCAGGCCTCCACAGGACTGGCCTTGGCGGCTCCCACCCGACCTCCGCCATCTTCTCCCACCTGGATGGAGCCTGAGACCTAAACTGCGGCACTGGCCAGCGCATGCAGGTCACTGTCTCTGTCCACTGTCCAGAGATCCTGCATCTCAGGAGTGACTGCATGCCCATCACAGAAGCTGGCACTCGGACCCTGACTTGGGGCCAAACACCATCCCCTAAACGGTGGGTGAGCAAGCAACAGGCAGCCCTGACCTCTAACACTCACCAACCACAGAACAATCCGTCATCATCAGCAAAACACGTGGGGACAACCCCACACAGAGCACTAATGACCACAAAACATAACATGGGTTCAAACTCGCCCTTCTTTTCTGCTGTTTCCTCCAGGGGCGGCCAGACGGCTCTCTCTTTACAACAAGGGTGCACCTCTGCACTGTGTAACTCGGGAACCCTCAGACAGAGCGCGTTTCTCCCTGGAAACAGCGGTAGCCATGTAACACCTGCCTTCCCAAGCCATCAACCTCAGGAGAACGCGACGCTGCGGGAGCCCTCCAAAAGGGAAGTGATGCTGCAAAACAAGTATCCACTCGACACAATGGTGTTTCTCCACACCACTTTGTACACCAGAAGCCTCCCGCAGCCAGGCAAAGGCTCCATCGGCAGCCCAGCTCGCCTCCGAAACACCTCTGAAACGGACGGCCTGGCATCCCCGGGAAGGAGGCAGGGCCCGGGGCGCCCTCTGCCAGCGGGGACGCGCGCTCACCTGCATGAGCTCGGCGCGCACGGGCTGGATGTGGTCATACAGGAAGTCAGGCTGCAGGTTGTCCACGCACAGCTCCAGCGTCCGCAGGCCTTGGCTGACCAGCGTCTGGGAGCCGTTGAGCGCCGACACCAGCGGGTCCATGAGCATGGGCAGGTAGGGCAGCAGCGAGCTCAGCCGCACGGGCACCGTGAGACACAGCTCCACGAACAGGTCCTTCATGTGCTGCTTGTGCAGGCCGCTCTGCAGCATGTTGAGCCCTACGTGGGGACGTCAGCATGCTGAGCCCTGCACGAGGGGGACGGTACCACCCAGGGGCACCCAGGTAACACACAGAACCACCGGCCCACTCTCTCTGTAAACATCCGCCTCAAGACAGAATTCCACCTTCGAGTTACATTTGCTGCACCCATCCTGTAACCATACCCAAGGCCTCTTCCATCTATCGTGTGACAACACCAGGCTGCATGTAATCAGTTTAGGTTGTGATGAATATTATTTAACGTTGATTGAACTAACGTGTAGGACTAGTTAATGCTACACAAGGTATTTAACGTTGTGTTCTCCAGTAAATAAGCCCAATCTAGAAAGAAACAGACTCCAATGTGACGTGTTCATCTCAAGTCTGAGGCTTACAAGCTTGCATGTCATTTCAGATTTCCAGTAAACCACAGCTGATGTTTATGCTTTAAAATAAACTTAAAAAAAAAATCCACTTCTGGATTTTGTAAATGAGAGGAGCTTCCTTCTTACAAACTCAGGGCCCCATACACTCTTCACGAGGCTTCACGAAGGTAACGGAGTATTTACTGAGCCCCTCTCCTGAAAAACGTCAGATGTGGACCTGCCCACAGAACCTGAGAGACGGCTGGGAAGAGAAAAGCAGGTGACAGCGCCTCCTGGACAAGGTGCGTCCCGGGCACTGAGGCTGAAGCAAGAGGGCCCGTGAGGCAAGGCAATGCACAGCTGTGGCACCAGACTCAGAGCCAAAGGGGCACGGAGACAAGGAGAGGGGCCAGGCCCAGCTCCCAGGACAGAGAGAAGGCGGGCTGGGAAGACTGTAGGCAGGGCCGTGAGACCGACCGGAGCAGAGGGCGCAGGCTGGGCAGGCCTGGAGTCAGGTCAAACACAGACAACACAGCCCGCCTCCGGGCCTCCTTAAGCACTTGCCAGGGGACTCAGGGCCACGTAACCTTCAGCCTGGAGGAGGGCGCGGCACCCCGCTCCAGTGTTCCTGCCTGGAGATTCCCATGGACAGAGGGCCTGGTGGGCTACAGGCCGTGGGGTCACAGAGAGTCGGACAGGACTGAGCGACTAACACTACCTTCAACATGCTCAAGGATTTCCCAGGTACCTTCTGGGTACATTGTGCTATAAATGCCTTCTTTTGAAAGAATTTATAAAGAAAACACAGAAGAAGATTCAATCCCTTGCCAAGAGCTCACCGTTACAAAAAAAAAAAAAGGAAAAAAATTCCTAAGACAGTGTGTCTACTCAGTTCGTACCTGTGAACATTCACTGGACTCAAGATCCCCTTTAGCTATAAGCCTTGAAAGCATTCCTAATGCACAGGAATGAAAGAATCCTGTCTATGCACTTTAGCAAGCAAATAAAAACACAAACATATTTTTATATATTATATATATGGCTTATGTCAGCTTTATAACTTGTTTTTTGCCTTCTTGTTCTCTTTCAATCTAGGGATCCCTGATCTTACTAAACCACTCTCTAAAATGGCTTCCGAAATGCTACAAAAATGTCCTAACTGGGGTTAACGAAGACCTTCCCACTCCCAATCAATTCTGAGCAGGGAGACGTACCCAAAGCTCGAGACACAGGGACAGACACACATGTCCCCTCACCGTGACCAGGTGCAGAGGAGGAACCCCAGCAAACAAGGTCAGCCAAAACTCACGCAAGCACACAAGACTCAACGGCAACCGGATCACTGCTCTGACCTTGCAGGAGGTTGGGGAGGAGGGGCAGGAATTCCTGATACAGGAGATCATGGCTCCCGCCCCCAATGGAGCGGAACAAGGCCCGCAGCAGCAGGAAGTAGTTGTAGGGCTCTTTGGCCGTCTGGGCGAGCTCCATCGAGCTGTTGACAATCTTGTGCAGGTGAGGCTGCAGGATGGAGAAAAAGCAGGTTAACAGGCTTTGAAGGGAGGAGGGTTCACTGCACAAAGGGAGGAAGGGAAGGTCATCTTGATGAACTTATTCCAAAAAGAAAAACAAAACAGAATCTTTCCAACTTTTATTTGATTGAAATTAATTTCTCTTAAAATACAGGTAGCTTTCCACCCAGTTTGGCTGTGAAAGCAGCATTTCCTAGGTTCCTATCTTACCACGAATATGTAGGTAAGTGATGCTGCAGACACTTTGCAGCAGGACCTGGAGGGCCTGCTGGCTCTGTGGTTCTTGTGAACAGTCCCTCCTTCCTAAGACTAAATAATCAAACAGGACGAAAGAAGCTGATCTCCTAGTAACTGTCGAAATACAAACAGCAATCCAAAGGCACAGAAACTTCACTACCGATCACATACCGCACATGTAAAGTTGGGAAAAGCCTCAAAAGACGTTCGAGATCTTAACGTTTTAGAAGACTTGATCAAAAACTCTGTTCATGAGTATTTATTTAAGAAACCATTTTATTAGCTTAAAGTTTAATGAACAGCTTAAAATAGGTTAGCTTTTTATCTGGTACTTCAAATCCTAGTTTGACATGCGACAGGTTAAGTTTGATGTGAGTTTTTCTGCAGGCACATTTAAAGTGAACTATTAACTGCAAACTATCGCTATAGTCATTTGTAACTGTATCTGGCATGAATTCTTTCTTTTACAGATAAATCATCTCTATTAACTAGTCCCAAGACAAAGCATTCCATCAAATTATTCTTTCAACAGCTCTTGAACAATATTCAGACACCTCTTCATAAGCCTTGTCTGTTAGGCTTTATTTTCTTTTCTGTTGGTTGCTGGTTTATACAGTTGTCCCCTTAATACAGGCAAAAATTGAGTTATTTGAAGATATTGAACTATGTGGACAAAGCACACAAATATTTTATATCTTTCTGAAAGTCTGTCTTTTTATACTAACTCAGAAGTAACATCAAGGTTGTTGATAACTGGTAACTACGTAACTGAAAAAGTGGAGGAAAATGTCTCACACAAGCACAATGGCGCTTTATGTCACATTTACTTCAGAAGAAAATGGATCTCCTTAACATTCTCAAACTTTCCCCTACAGGCAAACATCTCTCTTCAGACAGAACTGGTAATACGCAACTTTCTGCAGAAACTAAAATATCCTGCCGTCAGTAGAAGGGAATTCTGATAAGGGCTTTCGTTCCACGCGCTGCCTTCAGCGGCCGCTGTAAGCGCGGGCCTCTGCCATTTGCTGGCATCAAGTAACTGCCAAGATACCATGATGCGCTGAAGAAGAAACACCCCTCCCAGTCGGCCTTAAGACAGGGACACAAATTGGCTGCAGTCCTTGATTCAGAGGAAAAATGAACAAACAGTCCTGAAAGGGGGTGTCTGTGTGCCGAACGCAGACACGATGTGCTGGGAAAGGAGGGGACATGACGGGAGCCGCTCAACAGCCAAACACTTCTCGTCAGATCTGAGAGGTCGGATGTTCCTTCCTCTTCTGGTCTTTTGTGTCGTTTGATTTTTTTTTGTTTTTAAAAAGAACATGATGTGCTCCTACCCTACTTGTGTGGTTCATGTAAGAAATGACTTCAAAAATGAAAAATCAGTGGTGCCAAGACTACTGACAAGCCCTGCTGGTGAGAGTTCTCACGTGTTCATCCTGGGTCAGCAAACAACCAGGAGCAGCTCTGCTTTGAAACACCTGCAGTGTTTTCCACGCTTGGCTCCGACTAGTTGCAAACATTTATTAATTTAATATTATTGTGTTTGGAAATATAAAGAGCCATTGCAGTTTCTGCACAAGATGAAAAGTATTAAAAAACAACAACGACCAAAAAATCCCCCAAACACAACGCGCGGCCTGGGCCTGGCTCTACCTTCAGCATTTGCTCGTTTTCAGCCGCGAAGAGGGAGACAGAGCCGAAGACCAACTTGAACAGCTTGAGATACAGGTTGGAGAGCTCGACGTTGGAGCCCATCTCTGGCAGGCGGTCCAGGAGGTACTCCACCAGGATCGTAGCAAACAAAGCGGAGGTAGTAGGGTTTGCCAGGAAGGAGTTGGCAACAATCTGTCAAAACGAGAAACGCAGGGGACAGAAATCACCCTGTCCGCAAAGCAGCTGCAAGAAAAAGCAATCAACTCTTCAAAGTTACAAGATCAAACCTGTATCAGACACTCCAGAAATGAGTTATTCACCAAAAGGGGAAAAAAAAAAAAACCCACCAAAATTGATTTGACCATTGCGTGGAACAGTTCACTTTAAGAACTCAAATCTGTCATTTCACCCTCACTGTCAAGTACCAAGAGCCTACGTCTAGCACATACTTAATTTCTACTATGAAAAGAACTGGTCTAAAATACCTTGAGCTTTTGAAAACACTTGTTTTTTTTACTACAGCCTAACAGTTCTGTTTATGGACCATAAAGAAAGCTGAGCACCAAAGAATTGATGCTTTTGAACTGTGGTGTTGGAGAAGACCCTTGAGAGTTCCTAGGACTGCAAGATCAAACCAATCCATCCTAAAGGAAATAAGTCCTGAATATTCATTGGAAGGACTGATGCTGAAGTTCCAACAGGCTGGCCACATGATGTGAAGAACTGACTCACTGGAAAAGACCTTGATGCTGGACAAGATTGAAGGCAGGAGGAGAAGGGGACGACAGAGGATGAGCTGGTTGGATGGCATCCCCGACTCAATGGACATGTGTTTGTGCAAGCTCGGGGAGCTGGTGATGCGCGGGGAAGCTTCGTGTGCTGCAGTCCATGGAGTTGCAAAGAGTCGGACACAAGTGAGCGACTGAAATGAACAGTTCTCTATAAATTTTGCTCTATAAGCACTATCCTTAGGCACATTACTTAGAAATAAAAGGGATACCAAGTATTTGACACATGTTGAAAGAACGTTAAAAATGGAGCATCAGTCATACCTGAAGAGCGTAATTTTTTGAGATTCTTTCCACCATGTAAGGGACCGTGGTTTGAAAGATTTCTTTAAATGTCAGTGGATTCATCATTGTGAAGACACCAGCAAAGTGCTCCAGCACTTCCTTCTCTTCCTTCATCCTCACCGTTTGGCAGTTCGCTACTCGGATGTATGTCTGTCCATTTCCTGCTATCTGAACCTTGCACAGAGGAAAAAACCACATGGGAATCAAAACCGAGTCTCTGAACATATTCCATTTCATAACCAGATCAGCCGCACACTCAAGAGTACCTGAATTAGAAAACAAATGTCTCCTGCCCACCCGCCCCCCATCTTCTACTCTCAACTAAAATTTGTAAAAAAAAAAAAAAAAAAAAAACCCCAAAAACATTTGTTAGCAGTAACAAATTCAGTAAAATTAAATCTCACTTCTACTGCATTCCCTTTATACCACCTGCCCCTCAAAATACACTGACATGAGAATGCTCACCGTCGACGCAACCCTGCGCTAGAGAACGAACTCAACCTGGGGACATCGGCGCTGCAGAGCACCCTGGTGAGACCCCCTCTGCCACCAGCACCTAGTTCTCGGAGGAGCGCGGCCTCACCTGATAAATGTCTAAGGCCTGCATCGCGTACTTGACAAGCTTGATGTAAATCTGAGTCTCTTTGGGCTGTAGCTGCTTGTTGGGGATGAACTGAGCTTCTGGGAAAGAGAGCAACAGTGAGCTGCTGGGAGCAACACCCCGTCAGGGACGAACACATCTAAGCGACTCAGGAGCGGGATTACCACCAGGAGCTTTACACGACGTGATGCCCCACGTGATGGTCTTGACGCCGCAGACCAGGGTTTTGACCAGACTCCGGCAGTCCGTGACCTGGAACGTCTGCTTGTCCTCCTTGTCCTTCTCGCCTTGCTTCTCAAAGGGCGGCACGGGGGCTGGGGTCACGGGGGTGGCAGGGGTGGGCGGCGGGGGCGGCGGTGGGGCGGGGGCCGGGACGGGGGCTGGGGAGGGGGCTGGGCCCGGGGCTGCGGGGGTCGCGGGCACCCCAGGCAGGGCCGCCTCCACGGCCCCGAGCTCAGACTGAGGCTTGCACTTCTTAAAAATGGCAGAGAGCTGGTACCGCGCGATGGTGTGGAACTTGAGAACAAACACCTATCAGGAAGGGAAGGTGGAAGGCAGACCCAAGTCACTCTCTTCACCAGGCCAAGCGCCCATCCAGAGGACAGAACAGACTCTCGGAAGCCACCTGCTGGAGTCGGTTGTTTCCCCTCCCACTAGAGGAACTTCCCCCGGAGAGAAGCAGGGGGTGACCGAGCTGATGAGCAGGGCTGGGACGCGCCCTGGGCCCGCTCCATGATCCACACTGCCCACCCCTGACCCGGCACCGACACCTCCCTAGAGACGTTCACGGACAAGGGAGCGCTGGGCTACACAGCGTCACAGGAAACACCGCTTCAGACTGTCCTCCAGGAGAGCGCTGAGCACGCAGTGGTTGCCTCCCTCAGCCCTGACTGTCCTAGGAAGTGGCCCATGAGTGTCCCGGGCAGGGGACGAGCAGGCCAGCAGAGAGGGTCCAGCATCTCGCCGCAGGACCCTCAGCTGGTTGATGAGGGAGTGGGGACTTGAACCCAGGGAGTCTAACACCGGGCCCCAGCTGGGCGACCAGGCGGCCGTGAGCTGCAGGTGAAGCGCTCAGGTGGGCACACGGCGCGGGGCGGGGGCGCGCGGGGCCGGGGAGAGCCGCACCTCCAGCATCCGCATCAGCACGTCCCGCCCGTTGCCGCTCTCCTGCTCGCTCTTGGAGCGGATGCAGTCCACCAGGTTCAGCAGGAGCTTGCAGGACATGGTCTGGATGCTGCTGGGCAGGGACTCGTCGTCGATGTTCTTGGCGAACAGCTGGACGGCGAGGGAGAGGTCGCTGAGGGGCAGGTGCTGGCGGACGTGGTGCACGAGGTCGGCCAGCGTGCTGTAAGCGAGGGGCCTGCGGGCAGAGACCTCCGCTAGCGCGTCCCGGCGTGCCCCGGCCCCGTCTGCGGGCCACCAGCGGTGGGGCAGCTGGTCTGGGCACACTGCACCCGGTCCCGCGTTCCCCGTTACCTCCTCCCAGCTACAGGATGAAAAGGCTCCAGTCTTGTCTTATTGCTTAAATCTTTTCTAAGTTGAAAAAGATGGTTACCTTCTTGCACATAAACGCACCTCCATGTTTATACCGTGACGCCTGGTTAACCTGAGCAGAACCACCTACAGCTGGGCCCTGCCCTGAATGGGCTCTGCTGCTCAAATACAAACAGCCTGTCAATTAGTAACTTATAGGTCATGTGTCACATTTCCTACTTACAAAACAAAAACACTTAACACTAGTCAAACAGTTCTACCTACAGTGCAAATCAAGACAGTGACCCTGATTCAGCCAAGGCACATAAAGCAAACCAAGGCATCTCTGAAACTTCCTGCAATTCTCGATCCAATGGGAGAGGGAAAGCCCACAGCCCACGTTTTCGTAGACGCTCCTGATACAGTGCCGGATCCCTGGCTCCAGCGCTGGCTTTACCATCATACCTGAGAGTCTCCCGAGCGGTGTATCCAGAGCCAATCAGAATGGATTCGTCAAACAGCTTGTCCATGCAAGGAATGAACTCTGAAACACAAACATCCATGGCCTCCATTACTAAACAAGTCAGGCGGCCAGCAAATCCCTTAACGGTACTTTCACAGGAGCGGCTCTGCACCAGCCAGCCACCCAGATTTGAGAAAGCGGGGAGGAGGGCACACATGATGCTTTAGTCTAAGATGCTGGTTTTGCTGGGCCATGCCAGCCACAGGCCTCACACACATCAGTGTCAGAGATAAACCATGCGCCTCGTGTCCCTGGCGGGGACCTGCCCCAGTGTTTCATGGCAGTTCAGTCCAGGGTCCTTAAAAGCTGGCACCGACCACCCAAGGGGGCGGTAGTCCCTAAATGCCCCTTTATCTATCCACTGCCCTGAAGTTGTCCTTCTTAAAGATCTTAAAGTTGGTCATTGTGGAGAAATAAGGATACTTTATGTAAACTAACAATGGGCTTCAAAATAAATATCCGAAATCTTGTTTGGAAGAAAAAACAAACAGCAGCCTCTAAAAGCTGAATTCAACCAGTCTAACATCTAACCTAACTTCAGAGAGTAGTGTCTTGGAAACCTGTTGATCTCTGTAGAGTTAACAAGACTGAAACTAAGCTTCACGGCCCCAAAAAGAGTGCCTGATAAAGATCCACCCTGCCTGCTGGGTCGGAGGTGACCAAACAAACATGAGAAAGATTTCGAATCTGTCAGCACTTCAGCATGGACAAACCTCCCACTGCGTGGCTCCCCACTGCACCTCCAAAGTCACTATTACTCAGATGGCAGGAAAACCGAAAGTTAGTCACTCCAGGTGCTACTCAGTCACTTCAGCAAACAGATTTTAAGACATTCCGTGTAAAACTGTTCATCATTTTCACAGCATGGAGAAAGAAAACACTGTCTTCCTCTCACCTTTCAAAACTCGCTGGCTGTGAGTCAGAAAAAGCAAATGGCTATTTGCAGTTTCAAAAGATAGGCAGTCAGAAGGCAGAGACATACTGAGAGCTCCTCAGACTGCAAACTGGGCTAAGGAGACTGTCACATTAATTATGAAATTGTTGACGGGATAAAGCAAGAACCCTGGGGGCAGGTGAAACAGAGAGGCCGTCAGAGAGAGAGGAGCGAGGCGGAGAGGGGAAGAGGGGAGAAACAGACATAGGAGAGAAAACACAGCCAGAGCAGCAGTAAGCAAGGCAGAGGTCAACGGAGCCAGAACGCTGAGCGGGCCGACGGCCCAGCCCACGCGCAGATGGGCAGGCAGAGGCCGGGCACACGTACGGTTTCTCAGCTCAGTGGTGAGGATGTGCTTGGCAGCGATGAGCAGCTCCTTCCGGAGGTGCGCAGTTTCCGCCGGGCAGTTTGAAAGCAGCTGTAGCATCCCTTTGACCATTTGCTGAGAGTACTTAGTCACCAACTCCTGCACCAGGGAGAGGGAAAGCAACGCAGTTACACTGGTGGGCGGCTGTTGAGAAAAACCCAAGGTTTATAAACTTTAAAACAAAAAAAAAATGTCAGGTTGGACTACATTTGGCTCAGAGGACCCTCAGAAAGCAACAAACAAGCATAAGCCCCAAAGTCTGGTCAGTCTGCGTGTTGCCGCCCTGCTGGGAGAGGCGGCGACACAGTAGTTCAATGGGATCACAGAGGTCCTTTTTGTTTTCTGCGTCTTTCCATCTTTCAACAATGTCCCTGTTACAGGGAAGGAGGGAGAAATAAACATCGAAGTTAAAAAACAAAATTCTTCACTCAGTCATCCCATCGACGTGAGTCACGAATGACACCTTTAATCAGCTCAGAATGAGCTCAAGTCACATCTGCCTTCTGAGGCGTCTCAGGAAGTTATTCACGATAACTCAAGCTGACCAAAATATCAAAGGACATCTAATTCAGATTTTTTATTAATATAAAAATGTCATCTCTTTGACATTCTGGGAAAGGCAAAAAAACTATGGGGACAGAGGAAAAAACCAGTGTTTATCACAGACGGCAGGTGGGAGGACGAAACTGACCATGTACGTATAAGAGGAATTTTTTGGAAGATGGAAATGTTCTATATTTCGACATACTGGTTGGTGGTTAGGTATGTGTTTGTTGATTCAGCAAACTATACACCCACAAAAGGTAAATTTTACTGCTTGTAAATTGTATCTCAGCAAACCTGATTTAAGAAAGAAGTCAATGAGCTTACCTGGTAAATTCTAATGATGTAAGCTAAAAATGACAACGTTTTAATTTGAGCAGCAATGAAATCAGCATACAGCTCCTTGTTGTAAAGTTTATGTTGCCTAAGTGAGAAGTGGTAAAATTGACAACATTAGCTCTCAGTTCTTTAAGTGACATTATATCACCTACAGTAATTACCAAGCCCAAAAGGTTGACCTCTATACAGCACCAACAGTCACTGTGCCCACACTTCTCTGCAGTTCTGGGTAACATAAAGAGGCCTTAAAGACATAAAGCAGGCCGTTCTACCAGGCCCTTGGGCAGCAGCCACAGCCTGAACCCCAACAGTCAATGGGAGACCGACCCGCCTGCTGCCCAAGGCAGGCACCTATCTGAGCAACGAGAGACCCGTGCCACAGAGGTTCTTAGAGCGGACCCACCCTTAGATCCTGCCCTCGAGTGACTCAGAGCCAGACAGGCGGCAAGTCAAGAGACAAGTGATAAGGGTCTGAGGAGGAATGCCGTGCAGTCAGAGAGGATGGTTTGCTGAGAGGCTTCACGGGGTCTGGCTCGGTCAGTGATTAAGGGCAATGGGGTAAAAGGGCCTCCGAGCACTCATGCCAAGAGGGGCAGCAGGAAAACAGGCTTGAAGGTGAGGCGGACTGGAACATCTCAAAGCTGAAATCGAGGACAGGAAGCCCTAATGACAGTTCTAAATTTACATGACACCAAGAACAGAGGGGGTATGTCATCTTTCCAAAACAGGGAATGAAAAAACCATGACTATCATCATCAAAATTTGAGTTCAGAAAACCACAAATACATACAAGTTAAACCAAAATTTTATCTAAGTTTCCTGTTTCACAAATGACGACAACAAGTATAGAGCCATTTGGATTAAAGAGCTATGGCGGTCGGCCACGTCACTGGCCGAGAAATCTCACCTGGCTTGCGCAGATACCTGAATTGCAATGGTATTCATGATCAGGGGCACAAATTCCGCAACGACATTGTGGATATTCAGTTTGTAGAGCTAAAAGCAAACACATCAGATTCTTATGCTTTTTCACTCTGCTTACAGCGAGCTAATTCGGCATAGCAAAGACACTGAGATTCATTCCTCGGCACACATGTAGCATACACATCTATTTGCCACAGAAAAGCAGGTGTGTAAAGCGTAGTAAAGTGAGAAGCCCTAAAACCCAGAAGCTACTGGAAATACGCATACCTGATACATTAAGACAACAATGATGGGCAATTCTGCCAACACTTTCAAAGAAAGCGATCCTCTGGGAATGATGGAATGCTGGAAGAGAGGAATACAGAGGACTGTGGTCACCACCTTGGCACCTAAAACAGCCCCCATCAGTTTCCCGCCGCTGAGCGCCACCCAGTCGAAGTAAAGGGAAGCGGAAACACTGACTCATCTCTGCAATTATCTGTGGTGAAAGCAGCAAAATATTTTGAAAACAAAGCACAAGAATTATCATTCAATGTAAAGGGTTTTATATTTTACAGCGTCATCACTTGTAGTAAAATCCTCAAGAAAATGTGTCAGAGATTCAACTCACTGGAGAAATTTAAAAAAAAAATTTTTTTTTTTTAACCTGTTATGGGCTTCCCTGATAGCTCAGTCGGTAAAGAATCTGCCTGCAATGCAGGAGACCCCAGTTCAATTCCTGGGTCGGGAAGATCTACTGGAGAAGGGATAGGCTACCCACTCCAGTATTCTTGGGCTTCCCCTGTGGCTCAGCTGGTAAAGAACCTGCCTGCAATATGGGAGACCTGGGTTCGATCCGTAGGTTGGGAAGATCTCCTGGAGAAGGGAAAGGCTACCCACTCCAGTATTCTGGCCTGGAGAATCCCATGGGCTATATATATAGTCCATGGGGTCACAAAGAGTAGGACACGACTGAGTGACTTTCACTTTCACTTCACTTTCAAAAGAAAAACAGTAATATGTGTGTACCTAGTTTTATTCAAAGGTATTTATAAACAGGAAAAATACTTAAAATAAATATAAGAAAAAATATGTCTTTTAATATATAAAATCTCAAATAGGTAAGGAAAATATCAGAAACACAAATGGACAATGAATGGATAGGAAAAGGGAAGTGAAAAAAGAAACACAAAGACTGATAAACAGAAGTTTCTAATTCAGGAAGAGTAAAGAAATGAGAGCTTTGTTCCTTATAAACTAAAATGTAGTTTCCTATTTATCTTAGCTCATGTTGAAACAGTCTGCAAAACATTGCAGTAGAACAAATACAGGTGATTGTCTTAATCATAGAACACAGTCATAGTACATACTCAATACATGTTCCCTACGTGGCAAGTGCTACAGATTTAACACATGAGCTGCAGAAAATAACAGTGTTACCCTTCACAAAACTCATGGTTCATGAACTTTCCTACAATGAGAAAATGCAAGTGGCGGGGCTGTAACATTCTAGAACTTCCGACCCCAGAAACCACACGGGCAGGCACTGAACTACAGGCTTATATGTAGTTTAACGGGACCTCACTACTGCCGAAGCTAAGGACAGACCAGGGCCCCCCGCAGGGTCAGCTGCTCCATCTGGTTCCGGATTCCAGCACGATTCTGAGCGTCTCTGCATCAATAGTGAGCGACTTCACATGCACACCTACAGAGCACAATCAGTGAGGCTCTCTTGTGTGCACACACATTTATTTGCTTATTTTAAATGCCTCCACGTGTTTAATTTTTACGAAAAAACCAAAAAGCTTAGTGGTCTAAAAAGTCAAGAGCTCAGGCTTCCTCTACCAGGGGGAGGAGAAGTGGATAAAAGCAAAGCTAGGAGCGGAACAACGGAGACACGCACGGCTCTTGTCTCGCTGTCATCACGCTCGGGGTTCACCTTCACAGCGATCGTCGTGACCATTCCGACCATCTCTGGGGGAGGGACGGTGTTCTCAGGGATCACCTGAGGGTTCTCAAAGTAGCGGTTCTACAGAAAAAGAATAGAAGTCATTTTTCCTAAAGTCAAACACAACATTACTCTTAATAAAACACGCCCGACGTGGGGCGGGGGGGTGCTCAATGTCCTGCCCACGTATGCAACACCAACCCCACAGTATTAGGAGCCCCCTTTTCTCAGGGCCGTGAAGATAACACAGCACATTCTCCATCTCCAACAGAGAACAGACTTGCCCACAGCACTCTCTACTAGTTTGTCCTGGCCGATGGAAAAGGAGAGGCGTGCCACTTGACACTGCTACCTCAGTGAAGCAGGAGGACGCAACCCAGCTCTCTAGTGATAAGAAACCAGGAGCTGGTCCCTACTGAATTAATTCTCAGTCTCCTAAATAAGGTCAGATATGGAACAGAAGCAAAGTACAAGAGACGTTTTAAAAAGCCAGGAAGGACCTCACTCCATCCTTCGTTCTCAGTGGAATCTGGGCTTCATGTTAAAAAAAAGACAGCTTCGTAAGAAAAACAGCTCTTCTTTGATCAAAATGGTAGCTGCCACACTGATAATTTTGTAACTTAGAAGGCGATGTAAGTTTTATACACTACTAGCATCACCGACTCAATGGACATGAATCTGAGCAAACGCCAAGAGATGGTAGAGGACAGAGGGGCCTGGTGGGCTACAGAGTCAGACACGACTTAGCAAACGAAGAGCAGCAGCAGACTAAAATCCTTAGAAAACAAAAGGTCAAGTTTCCCATGTGTTAATTTTTTAAAAATTCAAGCTTAAAAAAACCTTTACAGTAGAAACTCTGAAACAAACACGTTTATGGACAATGATCTTATACCACAGCATTATTTGTGGTAACAATGAATTGAAAAATGGGGGGAACCAGGGAGAAGGTCAGAGTACACGAATACGGCAGAATTATCAGTCACTCAGAACTTCGACTGCCAGAGAGAGCCCTGGAGGACCCTCTCCACTGTGACGGCTAGTCCTTGCAGTGGGGGGGACGGGGAGCGAGGGGACGCTCCTCTTTCACTCCACACACTTGAACAGGGGTGGCCCTGCTCAGAAATAGTTCAAGATATGGAAAAATTTTAATGACATAGAAAAATGTTGCAAGTATACACCACTCCCCAAAAACCCTCAAGACTGTGAGCGCAAACCATCTCTACAAAGCACAAAGTGAAACTGGAAACAGCAACGTCAATGGTTGCTTACAAGTAAAAAGATAATTATGGACAATTTGTCTTCCTTTTTTTTTTAATGCAAAACTTCTGCAAGAATATACTGCTTTTATGTAAAAACGCAGTATTTAAACAATGAAACCAAAAGGACTCTTTTTCAAGTGGCTAATTTATCAACTGCTATCTGGGAGATGGTGAAGGACAGGGGAGCCAGGCATGCTGCAGTCCATGGGGCCTCAAGAGTTGGACATGACTTAGCAAACGAACAGCAACAATTTATCAACCTAGATTCTGACTAAATGCTCCTCATTGTAAAATTAGCACCCCTCCAATTATTCCTTCAATCCTTTGGAATAAGGAAGGCATAAATATAAACAATAAATTCAAATAATATAAAAAACAGCATACCACTACTTTTGGAAGCTCCTTGTAAATCTGTTTCACAAAATCCAAAAAATGATGAATCTAAAAAAAAAGACAATATAAAGATATCTGTAAACAGAAAATGCTTACAGTAAGAAAAATATCAATAGTCTTCATATATAAGATCCCATGAAACAGGCAAGAAAAATGCCAGACTCAAGATACAAATAGGCAATGAACGTGAACACACAGACCAAAAAAAAAAAAGAAAAAGAAACAAAGACTGATAAACAGAAAACAAGTTTTCTAATTCAGGGAGACCAAAGGAATGAAAATGATAATAAATGCCACTTCTTGTCTTTCAAAAAGTAATACCACCACAAGCTGGAGGCAGTGAGCCAGGGACACTCCCGTGCAGAGGCACGCAAGCTGCTGAAGCCCTCCGGACACCAGGGGACCAGCGAGCTCAGAGGCGTTAGAACGTGACACCTGTGACCTGGGGATCCTACTTCTAAACATTCAGTCTACAAAGTAATTTAAACTGTAAACAAATACTAGGTTATGGTCATAAAATAAAAACTCTGAAATGCCCGAAAAATCCAAAACTGTAAAAGATTATCATATACCCATTACAAATTAATTTTACAAAACATTCTTTATGACTGGGAAAACACATACATATAAAGTGAAGGAAAACAATCAGGATGTGATATATTATCCACAGTTGAATTATAATACATACAGACACGTAAGGTGGGAAAAAGAAGAAAGGAAACTCAAGAGTGAAAAATTCACACAGCAGAAGGAATCTGTCAGTACACTTCATAAATGCCATCAGAATAAACACTTACTTCCTGGGTGATGGGTGGCCTGAACTGTTTGTGTAGTTCAATAATTATTCTTAGACAAATAAGAACGTTTTCTTCATTTTCCGTCTTTAAAAAAAAGCATTTAGAAGAGTTGTATTACTGAAAACTTATCTTACTAAAAAGATCAAAGAGTGTTTCCTCAGCATTTTTTGCGTATACACCCTCCATCAACCCACTTAGATGTGATTTGCAGAAAACTGACAAACCCACAGAACACAGCTGACCCAGACAGAATGTGTTCGTGGCCTCTGGTGGACCAGCTGAAGATATCCCACCTGTAGGTTCTGCCAGAGTCAACAGATGAGTAACTAGCAAGTCACACTATGAACCAAGGTCTTAACGACAGACATGTCTCACTGCTTGCAAAGGCTGCCAGGAGAATAACAGCCGAGCACCCCGCGTGCTGAACCCGTGCTAGCGCGACCCACACCCTGGGAGCTGGGGTGGCATCCACACCCTAACAGAGGAAGCTAAGGCTCAGGGCAAGGGGAATGGGGCTGATGTGACAGAGCCAAGACCTGAGCTCAATGCTACGCCCTCCAGAGCTCATCTTCCCGGGGGCCAGAAGCGCGACAGAATGCCAGACACGCCAAGACGGGGCACAGCAAGGAGACAATGCCAGAGGCCAGCTTCACAGGTACCACATGGATTAACCCCGAGAATCTGAGCAACTCTTCATGACAACCACACAAACACAGAGGCGCAAAGCCAATGACGCCCAGCTCAGAGTCTGTGAGCCACCACCATGTCACTCAAGCCCCCAGTGACTCAAAGGAAGATCTTCATTTAATAATCCTTCTGAGTAATCTGGCTGGCAAAGTGGGAGAAAACAGGCAGTCAAGACAACTTCTATTCGTGAAACAGAACTTTACTGAGAGGGAACCGGTTGCTTACACACAGGATTTTACTGTAAGAAAATCATTAAAAGATTTGAAAGTGGCTAAATAAAAAGAATTCTCAAAAGTTACCTCTAAAAAGCGAAACATCACAGATAAAACATTTTTTGTATGAGGACGAAGATGCTCGTTGGTTGGTATCCGATGAATTATTTCAAGAACAAGCTTCCGCAGTTGCTGTTGAGGAGAAACAAAGGTGTAAGTATGAAACCCCTCCAAGAGTTCCAAGATAATTTTTTGCATCGTACAAGTGCCACACACGCCTGCACCCAGCAGTGGGAGCCACCGCGCCACAAGATGGAGCCCATTTTACAATCAGTCCTGTAAATTATTTAAACGCAACCCAAAGCATGTGCTACAAACTGGTGTTTTCAGTATTTCCGTAGCTGTGTACCAAGCCAAGTAAGCCAAATTTTCTTCCACACCTGGTCACCACTGCCAGCAGAAGGACAAAAATGAGCGCAGGCGGTGTGAATTCAAGACAGAAAGAGCAGAACACCAATGAAACTTCATCGGCCATCTCCCTGCATGGTCTCAGCTCAGCTCCCGGGATGAGCTCTCCAGCTACCTCGGACTGAACGACTAACCACATCGCAGGCTGTGCCAGGCTTTCGTGCTTTTGTCTACTGAACTAAGAGCTCAAACGGAACTCAGAGGCACAGCTCAAGCTGGCACCACACCAGGATGTTTCATTTAGCAGTTCACTTCCACTGCTGCTGAGGTAATTTTTAAGATTCTTTAAGAGATACAAGCTGAAACATTTATAGGAAAAAAAAAGATGGGGCTGTTTTTAAATGATCAAGGTCAAAGTGTGTGGGGGAGGTGCAAAGAGGAGGTGGGGGTACAGATCAGAGCAGGTAGTTACAGGAACTGAAAACAGTGTGAAGTTAGAGTTGGGCATCAGGCATGGGGTGGAATTCTCCCCCAACATGTACACATGTGTGAACTCAGCTACAACACCCAACCCACACACGCGCACTGGCCGGCAAGTGTGGAGAGAGATGGCCACGAGGAAATAAAACCAAGACAGCTACCTGAGGAGGCAATGGCCGTGGGCAAAGTGACCCTTATCTGACAAAACCTCTCTCATTTTTAAGGGCAGTCCTAAGTGTTTTGAGTTGTTTTCATCCACAAGGGCTGGGACCCCGACAGCAGGACATTCTTCTCTTGAACAGATTACCTGGGCTGGTTTCTCCTGAAGAAACTGAACTTCTCCATCTTGAAGAAACGTAAGGAATCGAGGGATGATATGTTCCAGGAATGTGGAATATTGAGGAGAGGAAGTCACATTCTGATCACGCAGAAAGAAAAGAAAACCGCTGTTAAGGTCTATGTACGTATAATTCCATTGCAAATTCACATGTTACAATCATCTCAAGAAACATTTTAGGAGAGCTGATAGCAATTTTTAAAACTTTCAGATGCTTTAATGATAACATAGCTTGAAATAAGTTGACTGCTGCTTCTAAAATCCAATTCAAGAAAACTAAATGCTAAAATTTACTGCTCAGCCTAGAAAAGCTGATGCTTTTCTACGTGGAGAACGTATACTTCAGAGCCTGTCGGGGTTGACGTTGCCACCCTCTAAGGGGACTTGGTCTGAATCTCTTCATCTGGAGAATGAGGAGCCTGACCACACTAAAATTGAAAACTCTAGGTTGGTATGAGTTAGACAGACATCACGGATGTTAAAAGGAGACTAGGAAATGAAACTGCATTCTGGAGGCAGTGAAGTCAGATGGTGACCAGGGCAGGGTCCAGACCCGACTCAGCAAGTGTAGACCTGGGACAGGTCTACATGGGCCTCCGGGTCCCACCTGTGAAGAGGCTATCACCTCCTGCCTTATGTAGCCGTGTGAACAGTACACGAGCTGATACACGGAAAGCTTTCCGCACCGCCTACGGTGCATGCTCAGTGTCCCTTCACTGCTATTTACAGCTCCCCTGTGCTTCACAAACACTGTGCCTTTTACTCCTCCTCACTCAGTCCTCACCACGACTCTCTAAGTATTTTGTCCATTTCACAGATTTAAAAAAAAAAGCTCAGGGCCTGCTGACTGTCAGAGTCACAAAGCTTTGGGAAGTGGATCCCGCTTACGAGTATCTAACACCCGAGGGCTCCTCCCTCTTCAAGGCCTCACCTGCACATCCAGCACACACAACTGCACTCCTATCACGCGCTCAACGGGGATAAAACGAGGGACAAAGCAGACAGAGTTCATGTCCTTGGAGTCGGGGGAGGCAGCAGTGTCGTGGAGAAGACAGGCAATCAAGAAACGATCTGATAACACAGAATTATGATGGGGGAAGCGCTGGGGTAAGGGAACCTAACAATGAGGCCTAACTGAGTGGATGGAACCAACGGCAGGACACCCTTTGAAGGGATGTGGATGCGAAAACCTAAGAGGCCAGCAGGGGTTAACACGGACAAAGTGGGAAGGTTCTAAGAAAAGCACATGTGAAGGCACAAACTGATGAGAACGTGCGAGTGTAAAAGGCACTTATTGAACTTCTTAAAGCTTCCATGCGGTAGGAATGGGAGTACAAGAGGGAGGCGCTAAGCTTTTACTATCATGAGTCTGAGAAGCCCGTGGGTTGCAACTAAATGTGTCTCGCGCTGCAGATGCTGATCTGGGCAGAGGACACAGGTCCAGGGTTGCCTGCTGCCTGAGAATCTATGAAGGGGGAAATACAGGCAAAACCCAGAAAACTGTGTGCCGCCACAGGAACAAAGAAAGAGCCGCCATTTCCTGGAATACACACGCGAGCACTGGTCTCCCAGGGCAAAGTTCAACTCCAGGGGCCCTGAGCCCACAGAACTCTGGGCAAGGGGGCACCCCCTGGAGCTGGCAGCCCCTCCCCCAGCTGCCTGCGAGTCCACGGGGGACAAGAACTGAGCTTGTCACTTTTCATCCCCAACATGTGACTTTTATGAAACTTTTATGAAACATTCAAGGATTCAAGGAAAAGAGGGTAAGAGTCAAGTTGGAACACTATCAAGGTTATCTAGAAAGCCAGCTCATCGACCAGTCAGCACACCATTCAGATTCCACAGCTTTCAAAGCATCTTGAGTGTCAAATTTCTCCCACAGGACAGATGCAACAAGTTGCTCAGTTATTATGCCAGGATTCCAACTCAGCCCCCAGCTTTTCGATCCACAGGAATTTTCTCCATGATTTCTTTTTTTTTTCTCTCCGTGATTTCTAACTTGAACGTTTCTCTATTTTCTGTCAGGAGAGACGGCCCCTATGATACTTACTTGGCTTGGAATCTTATCCCTAAGTGGTTAATGAAATGAATTTCTAAGATTCCTCAAACCCTTGCGCAGTCTTCATTTCACTCATTTCATTTAAATATTTAGTTCTGGGATAGGAGTGGTGGTAATTTAGAATTACTTTCTGATGGTCATTCCAAGTGTTTCATTCTTCGAAGGACTCAGTCATCTGAATTTCATTTAAGCTAAATGTCTATCAAATAGATTTCAAAAGGCACTATTTGGAAAAGCCCCAAGTGCTTTTCATTCTGCTAATTTAATCAATGCATCTGAGACCAAAGCGGGAACTGACTTGCTGACTGCCAGGCTCTCACCAACAGGAGAGGAAGGGGTGAGACACTTCACTGGAAGAGCCCCCTGCACCCGAGGCCTGGCCTACCTGCCACTCCTGCAGCGTCACAGGCGGCGCTGTGATCTCAGCCTCTCAGGTAAACCTCTGAGCACTGTGGTTCTGTCAACAAAATGCAGAATGCAGGCCTTTCCTGTTCTACTCCCACCTCTTTTTTCAGTGTTTAATTGCTGCGTTTTTTTTTTAAACAGTTTGCACTAATAGCTTGGGTGGAAGAGAAAGCTCTTGTGCTCAATCTCTAAATATCTCAGGATTTTCTTTTCCACCTCAGTACAAGGCAACACGTTCTTAAAAACAAACAATTCCCCTACCAAACAAAAATACCATCCATTACTATAGATAGTAAGGTATCGGATTCAATCCCACTAACATTCATCTCATGTTTAGTGATTCAAATGACAGGGGCTAGGAAACATTTTGTCCTTAACAATCGCATTAGCTCTTTGAGAAGGTTTTACCATCCCCGCATTAAAAACAAGAAAGTCACTTTCTCTTTGGCCTATGAGACTGACTGGCACCAGACTAATCGTCAAGTTGGACAAAAAATACAGATAACAGTTTTGGGCACTGGACCAGAGGCAGTGCAAGGCCGTGATCTCCAGAAGAGGGGGAACTCATCAGCTGCGCCCCACCTCGACTCTCTGCCTGGGTCCCATTTCCCGACTTGGCTCAGGAGGCCAGAGCCCAGGGTAGGCACCTGGAAAGTGGCTGGAATCTGCAGGGAAAAGCCCCAGAGGAGAAGGAACTACCGAATGGGGGTATGGATGGTCTCCCCAGAGTCCTGGACAGCCCACTGGGCTGTACTTCTGGGAGGGAAGGTAAACCTACCTCAGGCTTGCCAGGGAGTCGGGGCTTGAGGACTGAGAAATGAAGAAACGTCAGAGGTCTAGCAAAGTTAGAGGGTACTGGGGGTCCCGCCTCGACACAGTGCAGAGACCTAAACGCCTGGAGACACCTCAGACACTCAGCTGACGACGGACCACGCCCCCGAGGAAGGCCTCGTTTAGCCCCAACCCAACAAAGTCTAAAATCAATCTCCAGTGAGAGCCACAAGGAGATGGGGTTCGGAGGTTGAATCCTACCAAGTCAGAGGGACTTGGGAAACCCCTTGGGCCTCCCACAGACCCTCTCTAGCACAGCGTAAAACCAAACCTCTCCAAGTTCATTGAGATCGGCCAGCACCTGCACTGCTGACTACAGAACAAATATCAACTCTTCCAAGAGAGGTAACAGAACCGAGGGTCCCTACATTTCATGCACAATGTCTGGTTTACAATCAAACCTACCAGACACGCAAGGAAGCAAGGTAATGTGACCTACAGTCAACAGAAATCAAACTTGATAGACCCCAAATTTTATATTTAGCAGAGACTTACTATAATAAATATGTTCAAAGTATAAAGGGAAAATATGGTCTCAATAAATGAAAATGAGGAATCTCTGCACAGAAGTGACATCTAAAGAAGCAGCAAATGGAAATTATAGAAAGTACAGTGACTAAAACTTTAAAATTAAAAAATACAAATAAACTGAAATTTAAAAATAGCATCACAGCAGATTGGAAATGACGGAGAAACAGCCACTGAAATCTGAGGACAGATCAGAGAACAAAGAGGGAAAAGACAAGAAAAATGAATAGAATCTGAGCAACCAATATAAAGTTGTAGAATATAAGACCCAGAAGAGAGAAACCGAGTCTCGGAGAAGTTATAAACAGGAGAGCCAAAACTGAAAGCCAGCACTCATTCCACGTAGTAACATAACATCCATTACCTAACATAACAAATCTACAACAGAAGTCTGAGTGTATTCTGAAAGCATACGCCTAGAAGAGGTATACGGTATTTGAAAAGTGAAAAAAAGGCCAAATACCTAAACAAAGCAACATTTCTCAACACTGTTTGGGGCTCAACGATCACTAGTGTAAAGACGGTGGACAACACTGTACAGATTTTCAAATTTCAATTTTGAAATACAACACATTACATTAACAAAGAATATAACTTTCAGGTGACTAGTGAAAAGACCAACAAGGAAACTGTAGGAAAGTACATGTTGAGTATTTATCTCAAAGTGAAAAGGAGTAAAATATAAAGCTCATACCTCGAAATTTTCACTAACTTCCTGCATCATTTTTAACTTTGTTTCATCAGCTGTAAATAACAAAACAAATGATCAGGTAATTGAAATTATGTTAAGGGTGTTCCTAAAAATTACTGGATTTAATAATTTAAGAGAAGCAATCAGATCTTATCAGTTTGACTGTCATGGTCCAAAAGCAGGCACATAACTAGTTCTCTACAACCAGTCACACGCATTCGTACTCCCACACACACGTGTGCATGCACAGACAAGGATGGATACACACACACACACACACACACACACACACATGCCTCTTTGGAGCTCCAGCCGGTAATGCTCATCAGTTTGCTTCTCCACAAGGCAGAGAAGGGGAAGTTAGGAAAAAAGTTAATGTTACTACTTATCTCAGTGTGGGCACCATCTAAACTGAGATGAAGGTGTCACATCAACACATCTCAATGACAAAAAGCATCAACTCACGTGTGTTTACATCTGTGAGAGCTGCCACGAACTGAAGGTATTTTTTCATCAGCGTGGTTTGGTCAACCACCGTGGCCCCTTGTGTTGCAACAAACGCCATTTTTCTTTTGAGTTTGTTTGTTTCTCAAGAGAAGAGTATCAGGTCCATAAGTTCGCCCAGCCTATGAAAAGCAGCACATGATTAGCTTAACTTATTGAGGGCATAAATTCACGGTCTCTAGGAAAATCTTACCTAAATGCCTGCGTTAATCTAAATACTTTGCCATTAATTCAGAAAACCACATGACTCCTTCTGCTTTTTTTGGAAAGTAAAATTTACTAAGTCCATTCTATTCATTTCTAAACATGACTTTTATACACAGATGCTTTTCTTTCCTAGAGTATGTCCATCTTCTCCTAGGCGAGGGGTCAGCAAACTCTCTGTAAAGAGCCAGATAGTAAATATTTTGGATTCTGTGATCTGTCACAACTCCTGAGCTCTGCTATAGCCACAAAGCAGCCATAGACAACTTGCAAATAAAAGAGCATGGCTGTAACTCATAAACCTTGACTTATGGACACTGAAATTTGAATTTCACTTGAATTGTACCATGAGACATTATTCCTCTTTTGATTCCCCCCAACTATCAAAAAAAAAATTGTAAAAACCGTTTTCAGTTTTTGTGCTGTATAAAAGTAGCCACCAGGCTGGATGTGGTCTGCTGACTGTGGTTGGACCCTCTCTGCATTGGGTGACCCCAACTTCACTGTGCACCAAAATCACCAGGTACCAAAGGTGGACTCCCAAGCACCAGGCAGAGAGGAGCCCTGGGAAGCTGTAAATTTTGTCCCCACCTGGGCACACTTGAGGCACTCAGGAAACGCTCCTGGGATGAACGCACAGGTGCTTCCAAAGAGCATCTCAGTGAGTTGGAAACAGGTGTGGATGGCCACACTTTGAGCACTGCAACTCCGGGTGGAAAAACAGACCTGGTTCCTGTACTAAGAGCCCTACTAAGAGAACCTGGTCCAACTGCTTTTATCCATCCTCCCTGCGTGAATACCCGGCTCGTTTCACTCTGCACGAAGGCGCAGTTTCAGGACTCGATTTTCTTTCTTCCTTCAACAAATACAGCACGAACTCCTCTGCAGGCCCTTCCACGGCCCTGCCTCCCAGCTTACGCTACCCTGCAGCTCCCACTTCTGCGATCCCCAAGCAATGGGGACCACCCCCTCCCGCCCCGAGACAAGAGAGAGCCCCTTCCGGCCCAGCGCGTAGCCCGCCGGCTCCGGGCAGAAGGCACTAAACGGAACCAACCGGAGGATTGGTTCTCCTCCTGCCGGCCGCACTGGAGGAGACCCGACTTCGGGCTTCCTCCTCACCTCCCCAACCCGAATCCTACCCCCGGGGGGAGCCGAGGTTCGGGGTCAAGGCCTCCCCTTGCCTAAGAAACTTTGGGGAGCTGGGGCGGGGGGGGGGCGTGCGTGCCCGAACTTCTTAAAAGGCTCGAATCCCCCCTTCTTTCCACCGAAGGCATCAAACTCTCCCATTTTCCGGGACTCCGAGGGGCCAGGTTCGCTCTCTGCCCGGGCCCGGGGTTGGGGGGCGCCCCTGAGGGTAAGACCTCCCAATCCCGCCTTGCGGGCTGGAGAGCAGCTCCAAGAGCCGGAGGCCGAGGGTGCGAGCCCGGCTTGAGTCTCGCCGCCGCGTCCCGACCCACGTTCGGGGCTAGGGGTCGGGGTGTTTCGGGGTGGCGGGAGCCCCCCCGAGCCGCCGCCGCGCCCGCTCGCGACAAACGGCCCCGCCCCGCCGGGCCAGAAGGGGCGCTGTCGACAGCACTACCTTCGCTCCGTGCGCCCGGCCGGGGCGAGCCAGGCGCCTGCGTGCAGGCCGAGAGCAGCCCGGCCAGCCCGGGGGTGCAGGGGGGACACGGGGCCCCCGCAAGCCCGCTTCTTATCGCCTTATCGCCCCGGCCTCAAACGGCCCGCGGTCCCGCTCCTTGGGTCACCGTCCCCCGGTCGCCCAGCGCCCGCCTCCCAGCGCCGGGCTACGGCGGGCGCCGAGGGCCAATTCCCGCGCCGCTCGCCCTCCGCCGTGCCGCGCTCTGCCCGCTCCGCTCCCGGGCCGGCCGCGCAGCCCGGCCTGAGCCCCGGTGTGGGGGTGGGGGGGGAGCGGAGGGACCCCAGGGGCGCTCGGAGCCTCTCTACGTCGCTTCGCGGGCCGCCGCGCCCGCAGAGGCCTCCTCACGCCCGGGCCCCGCCGGAACCGCCGCCGCCGCCGCCGCCGCGCGCGCCTCCCGGGGCGGTTCCGCCGCCCTCTGGCGCAGCCTCGCCTTGGTCCCCGCACTTACTCCGACCTTGGCGGCCGGCCGCCCGCAGCCCGGGCCCGCAGAGGCCCCCCCGGCCGAGCACCCGTCTCGGTCTCGCCGCGCTGCGCGCAGTCCCGCCCCCGCTTAAAGCCGCCGCGCCGGCCGCCCGAGGACTAGGCCCGGGCGCACCGCCCTCCGGTGGGTGCGGCCTGGGCGGGCGGGTGGCGGGAGCGGGGAGGGGCGTCACGCCCGGGTGGGCATGGCCCGGCGCTTTTAAGCCTGCGTCCGCTGGGGCGGGGCTGCCGGCCGGGGAGGGAGGGGCAGGCAGGTGACCGGCGTCTCTGGGCTCTTTCTGCCCTGAATATCTTCTCCGGAGCCAGGAAGCTGGGGAGAGGGACGCTTGCGGGGGAAGTTGGGGCACCCTTAGCAGGTGGCGGACGGGCCCGGGAAGAGGCCACCCCTGAACGGAACGTGGCAGGCTGGGCGGGGTTTTCTCCTTCGCCGGCGTCCTGGGGGTCCTTCTGAGCCCGGGGAGGGGGAGGAGGTAAGGAGGATCTTTGGGAAGGACGAAGGCTACAGACGGACGGAGACCCTGAAAGCAAAGGGCGACCAAGGTGTTCTGCCTGGAGGTGGCCCGCCTGGTTAGCTGCTGCAGCTCCATCACCCTTAGGCTAGACCGCAGACAAGGCGGAGGCTTTGGACCAGAGCAATGATGACAGGGAGCGAAGGCCCTGATGCCCTGGCGCCCTGGCGTGGATGGACCTAAAGGTCCTGGAAGAGAAACATACCGTCGGATCTCACCTATGACTCCCATCTTTGAGAGTGGTTGAATGATGAGCTGTTCTTGGAAACGTGTGGTTAGCGTATTAGACGGACAGAGCGCCAAGTGATGACCTGACCGACCTCCACCTGCTCCAAGACTTGGCTCCACCTCCTTTTTTTGACAGTACTTCCCCGCACCTCCCCCCCCCCCCCAAAATCACTAACTCACCAAAATCTTTGTGTTCCCTTCTCAGACAGATATATTTCACACCTGGTAATAAATAGAGCTTGCAATTCGTGCAAGATATCCTGTTCAGAGACACGCTTCTTGCTTTGTTTAATGTCGCCTCTCAAGAACAAACCTCAGCTGAAGCACCTGGGATTGTAAATAGATGCATTGGTATTTATTGCCAATTATTTCTGCCCCAGGAGAAATAAAGTGAGTTAGAATACTCCTTCCCCCATGAAACAAGTTGCCCACTTGCAAGCAAAATCCTCTCTGCTCCTACCACCACCACCCCCAAAAGGTAGGGGAAAGTCGAAAAATCTAAGGGCGTTCTAGCCAGTGTGCTAGCCAAGGTCATTTAATATTGTTTGCAGGAGGGAGAGGGGGTGGTAATCAAGAAAGAAGCAGCTGTAGACAAATTCTTTAATAAGTTTCAGTTTAATTGCCTGTGATAAAGACCTAGAGTTAGGTCAGGGATAACACTGGTGAAATTCCTACACTTTCCCATGGCCTTAGCTTCTCCTTTAAAAGTACTCATCATACTGCTATGATTTTTGCTTGTTTTCTTGTCTGTCTCCTGAATTAGCAGTTTGGGACAGTGTCAACTTCATCTCTATCATATATTAATAAATGATATCATACCCCTCCTCTGCTTAAAACCCTCCAAAGGATAACCATTTCAGCTCATCCTCAGCCCCTGGCCCTGTGCACCTTCCAGCCTTATTCTTCGTGTTCCAGCCACAATGGCCTTGCTGTGCATCCTGCCTACCTAGGACCTTGGCAGCTGATTCTCCTGCCTGGAATATTCTTCCCTCAAAGGCATAAAGCAGGCTGTTTGTCATCCTTGATGAGTTCAAATGTCATCTCCTCATAGAGGCCTTTCTTAAGACCCAATAGGAAAACCATCACCCCCGCCCCCAATCTCTCATTATACTGGAATTTTCCTTAGAACCTGAAATTTCTTATTTACTCTCTTATCATCTGTTTTTCCCTCCTAGACGGAAGGCTCCCTTCCTGTCTCTCTTTACCAATGTATTCCTGTTGCCCATTGGATGTTGTCTTAGTCTCCTTAAGCTGCCACTACAAACTACCACAGACTGAGTGGCTTACCCAACAGAACTTTATTTCTCATAGTTCTGGCAACTGGGAAGTTCAAGATCAAGGTGCCACCAGGTAGGTTTCATTCTGAGGCCTCTTCTCTTGGCTTGTGGTGGCATCATCTCACTGTGTGCTCTCTCAAGAGATCAATCTCTGGTGTTTGTTCCTCTTCTTATAAGGATACTTACTAATCATATTGGATTAGGCCCCCACCCTTTTGACTGCTTTAGCCTTAATTGCTTCTTTAAAGGTGCTGTCTCCAAATACAATCACTTTGGGGGCTATGCCTTGACATATGAATTTCCCAAGGGATACAGTTCAGTGCATAATCAAATGTATAAATTTGTACCCTGTATGAACCCATAGGGCAGGATCAGCTGGGACACTACAGAGAATACAGAGAATATTTGGGAGCTCCAGAATATTCAGTCGGTGGGCATGAGCAGTCTGCAGAAGTGGTCCCCACATGGAGTGGGTCAGGGCCCCAGCCTGACTTTTTGAGAGTCACCTTCCCTGATTACCTGTTGGGCTGGCCCTAAGGGTCCCACGCCTATGAAGAACCTTGCCCCCTGATGAATCAATAAATCCTCCCTAGGTCTCGTGTGAGTTTCAACAGGGTGACTGGGTGTCCTGAGGTCAAAAAATTCCAGCAGAAAATCTGGCAGAGTGGAGGTCTAGGCCTGGAACTATGAATTCAACAAAGAGATCACCCTGAACTCCCTTTTGCCCCCTCCAAACTACCATAGGATTTAACCCCAAAAGCCTCTCCAGAGCCAATCTGGGGTGACTGTTATCAGATCAGGGGCCCCCACTTCCCACAGTTACATTTCCAATGAAGGACAATGAGGATTTGTGGTAGGAAGATGAACACTATGGCTGCTGCCCTTCTGTTACCAAATTATACTATTTTGCTAGGGCCAGCAGCCCAACACACCTGCTTTAGAAAAATTCTCAGCAATAAGAATGTACCTCAAGACAGGTGCAGGGGGTGTCCCTGGTGGTCCAATGCTTAAGAATCTGCCTTGCAATGCAGGGGACGTGGGTTCCATCCCTGGTCCAGGAAGATCCCACATGCCTGGGGCAACTAAGCCCATGCGCCACAACTTCTGAGCCTGCCTGCTGCAACTCCGAAGCCTGTGCACCTAGGGCCCATGCTCTGCGGGCCAGAGAAGCCACCGCAATGAGAAGTCTGTGCGCCGCAACTAGGGAGTAGCTCCCACTCGCAGCAACTAGAGAAGAGGCCGTGCAGCGGTGAAGACCCAGCACAGCCGGAAATAAAGAAATAAATATCAAAACAGCACTTAAAAAAAGACAGGTGCTGTGAGGGCCCAGGAGGAGGAAGGTTTCTACAGGAGGTGACACGTGTGAGAAGTTAGACAAAGAAGACTCAGATCAACATCAGCTTCAGGGTGGCCTTCCCAGGTGGTTTCTGACTATGGCTGCTGTGAAGTCACCCAATGTAATGTTACACATTTTTAAAAGTAATAGATGTTATTATTCTTTTTATACAGTTAGTAAATTTTACTTTTTTTAAAGAACATATTTGTCAGTGCAATTTTTTAAATAAAAAAAAAAACCATTTATTTGGCTACACCATAGCACGTGGGATCTTTAGTTGCAGCATGCAAACCCTTAGTTGAGGCATGTGGGATCTATTTCCCTGACCAGGGGTTGAACCCGGGCCTCCGGAGCATGGAGTTTTAGCCACCGGACCACCAAGGAAGTTCTGCAGTTAGTACATTTTAAAAGCCACTAACAGCCAGACTTTTGAATAATGTGAAATAGTTAAAATATTCAAAACAATTTATAACCTTAACATACTCTTTTCTTCTCAAGTACAATGTTCTTCTCAATTCCTGATGGACAAGCAAAATTCTCCCAATTCCTTAAGCAATTCTCATGATGACAGCCAGCACTGATTGAGCACTTAACTATGTCCAGGTACAGACTTCCTCTGTGGCTCAGTGGTAAAGAATCTACCTGCCAACGCAGGAGAGGAAGGTGAGATCTCTGGGACAGGACGATCCTCTGGAGAAGGGAATGGCAACCCAGGCCAGTATTTTGCCTGGGAAATCCCATGGACAGAGGCCAGGTGGGCTACAGTCCATGGGGCTGCAAAGGTCACATGTGACTTGGCGACTAAATAACAAATGTCCAAACACTGTTCTAGATGTTCACTCATTTTACCCTTACTGCAGTCTCATGGGGTATTATTTTTCTCATTTTAAAGAAAACTGAATTGAGGCACCAGGACAGTTATGTGACTTTCTCAAGGTCACAGAGCTCTCAGAGAGCATGCAAAGTCCACTGGTATTTGTCCCCACGATGGTGACTGATGCCATCAGTGAGTGACATCTGTTTAGCACTTTTAACTTTCTTAAGGGGACTCACTCAAATCTGTCCCCCCAATCCCCTGGGGACCCCGCAGCTACTCCGGGGAAGTGCCTTCGCTCCCCTGAGGCCCGCGTCCTGCAGCCCTGGTCCCACCCAACTCTCCCTCTCTGGGTGGGCTCCTTTGCCAAGGGTGAAGGAGAGGCCCAACTGGGACCAGAATTCAGGCTGCCGGTGTCCAGCCTTTAAGGTCAGCCAGGCTGGCCGTCTTCTAGCAGAAAAGGCACGCTCTGTTCCTGTTACGGCAGATGGAAGCGCCTGCTTGGGCCAAGGGGTGTCCAAGGAGCGGCCTGGTCTCTTCTCATTGCGGTTGTCTTGAGTGTGGCAAGGCCTCTGACATCGCTGTGGGCCCAGGGACACAAGCCTCACTTTTCAGCAGGTGCAGAGAAGGAACGGCCAGTGCCTGCGCCCCTGCGCTCGAGTCCTCCTCTCTGGAGGGACACAGGCGTTCCCGGGTACACCGCCCAGCGCCGGGCACACGGTGGCTCCTCGGCGTTTCTTGAAGGAAGGGCAGCGTCTCCAAACCGTGTGCGTCATGAGCGAGGACACCTGGAGAAAGAGCCCAAAGGACCTTTCTGGAGGCTTCGCAGCGGCGCGCGCGCCTCTGGGGACGCTGAGTCAGAGTCGCCGGGCGCGGGCACGGACGCGGGGCTGGGAGGGGGCGCCGACTGGAGGAGCCGGCACCGGGGAGGGGAGGGATCGAGGGGAGAGGAGGGGCGCGGCGGCGGGAGGGAGGAGGGGGCGCAGATTGGAGGAGCTGGGGCCCGGGGGGAGCGGGGAGGATCGCGGAGAGAGGCGGGGTGCAGCGCGGGCTGGGGAGGGGGCGCGACGCGGCTGACGTGGGCCGGGGTCGGCGCGGAGGGCTGTGGGCGGCGACGAAGCGCAGAGAGTCCGCGATCCGAGGCGAGGACGAGCCGGCGCCGCGCCCGCACCTCCCCGCACCGCCCTCGCCGCGCGCCCCACGGGAGGCCGCCGCCGCAGTCGAGTCCAGCCGCGTCCCCTCGGCGCTCCAGCGGCTCCCGGCGCCGCCATGGCCCCGGCGCTCTGGCCGCGCCTTGGCCGCATCCTCTGGCTAGCCTGCCTCCTGCCCTTGGCCCCGGCTAGGGTGGCCGCAGGTAAGGCGCCGCGCGGATCGGCCGGCCGCCCTCCCCGGTCGGCTGCGCGCTGGGGCCTCAAGGCGGCCTGGAGCCGGCGGCCTCGCTGGCAGCCGGCGCTGCGGAGGTGGCGCCGTGCGCCTTGCGCTCACCTCCCTCCTCTCCCGAGGCTGCGCGCTGCGGAGGGGAGCACGGCCCGACGGGCCTGTCCCTTCACCCCGTCCCCTGAAGTCGCTGGCACTTGAGGGGTCCCCGCGCCCCTCGCTTCTGCTGCTCCCTCCAGATCGGCCCTGCCCTAGGAATGGCGCGGTGGCCGGGGCCTCCATTCCGGAGCCTGGGAACCTCGAAGCCGCTGGAGGTGGGGGAGGGTGCTGAGGGGGGACCGAGGATGCTGGGGTCGGTCGTCACGCCACAGCCCCCAAGGAGCGCCGCCAGGTTGCCTCCAAATGTTGCCTTCTCTGGAGAGGCTTGCCACCCAGCTCGTGTCGGCTTCGGAGTGGTGGTTGGGGGTGGGGGTGGGGGGATGCGATTTTCAGAAGCCGGGAAGCCAGCCTGCCATTTCCTCTCGGAGAATGGTTTCCAAAATGGACCCCGAGCTGGTTCCGCTGGGTACCACTCCGTGTCCCCCGGGGCTGTGCTTCTAGCATCCCCACCTCCTCACCGCCCGAAGGCCAGCACCCCACTTTTCTGCCCCATTTTGGCGACAAAATAAAGGGGACCCAGGTTGGAGAGTTTGGAGGAGACAGTTGGCAGCTATTGGGTGCGTTCAATATTATTGAACGCAGCTATTCAATATCATCCAATATGTCCATCATGCACCCTCCCCCCTTCAAAATATGGTAGAGAGAAGAAGAGATTGAATCCTAACTTGTGAAATGAAAGCCACCAGGGAAGGTAAAAACTCTGCATTTTAGGAGTGAATGTTAAGAGAATTTTGTGCTCGGTCAGGATAATCTTCTTCTCCCTGGATATTCACATAGAAATGAGATCTGTTGTCCGTTAGGTTTACAGGTGTCCAGAAATGATCAGTGTGGCCTAAATTTCTGGGAAAAAAAAAAAGTAGGAGGGGATTAATTCTTTGGAAATCGTATGTGGTTTCCAGCCTGGCCTATTGCACCCATGATACAGTCGAAACAGTTGAGATGCAGTTGGGGAAAGCCCACAGGAGAGAAAGATTCAGAAGCCGTTTTGCAGCCTCCCCGGGTCTGGGTCAGACTCAGGCATGCTTCCTGTACCAAGGGTTGAAGTCAGAAGTCCGTGTCCTGGACCATTCATTAATTCCAGGTTGTATTGTTCACACTTCAGAGGTACTTTGGGAAGTGTTTTGGGCTGACAACATGTGCAAGGTGCAAAGGCCGATTTAGCCCTTTTCTAGAAGCTTCTGGGGCCCCTGCAGGCTGTGTGGTCAGGGAGAATATACGTGCTTCAGGTGGAATCCAAGGGAGCCTGCCGGTGGGCGCTCTCCTACGGGTCAAGTTTCGTGGCTCTTGCCACTTCACGTCTTGCTGTGGCCTTCTCAGCTCTGGGCCACTGGGGTGCCCGTGGGGCCTCTCCACCCTGGCCTGGCTGCTCTGTACTCCAAGGCCAGAGCTCCCAAACCGGAAATGTGGATTTCGACAGGTAGGTTACCCAACCTGGGCTTGGCACCTTCAGCCAGAGGTGGCAAAGCCTTCGTGGTCCAGTTCAGATTCGGGACAATTCTGAGACCCCAAAGATGAGGGCCAGCATCATTCAGGGACTGTGAAGTACCTGCTTAAAAGAACAAAAACAGAAACACACGCCTGAGAAAACTGCCCTTAGAGTCTAGGCGTCTGGATAGGTGGTGGAGGGGATGGCTCCCAGGAGCCGGGCTGCTGTCTGCTGTAGCTGCATTTGCTGGAGCCACATCCCCTGCCCTCCCCCACTCCGTCCCTCCTCCCAGCTGAGCCGGCTGCCCCCCTGATTCCATTCCCCTGGCAACCGATCTGCGTCGGCTCGTGGCCATCATCGTCGTGCTGACATGCGCCTGTGTTGCTGCAGCCGAGTGTCCCTGCCACCTGCCAGCCTCACTCTGGCCCACGCGCCTCTCCTTGGGGGGGTGGGGTGGGCAGGAGCGAGAGGGGGAAGGGTGGAGAAGGCCTCTCATCTTAGCATCTCCGTCTGCGGCAGCTTGGCCAAAGGCTGCCCCCTAGCCAGAGGGACTTAGCCTGGGGCAGTGTGGATTTACTCTGTGACCCCAGGCAGTAGCGTTATCCCCTGGGGTCGCAGGTTCCCCAGTGTAAAATCTACACCGTATTTTGTTTTTTTTAATTTAAAGACTCTTTGAAAGTTTATTTTTTTAGCTTTTATTTTATCTTGGCATATAGCAGATTAATAATGTGATAATTTCAGGTGGACAGCAAAGGGACTCAGCCATACACTGTGTTTTCTTGGAGAGAATTCTATGTCTGGAATTCTCTCTTTGGGATTAAGACACCGCCGGCCCCTTTTGCAGTGCTAGCCCAGATGACTTTATAATTCAAAATATGACCTCAAGGAAAGGGATTCGGAACAGATATATAACATGAGTGACCAAAAGGCTGGAGACAGAGTCCCCACTGGGGGCAGCGACGTGGTGTCGCAGGGTGAATGGGATCCAGCTGGGGACCCACTAGCTCACCTCCCAGTTTGGCTGAATCAACAGGTCTCTTGTGAGCTCCCTAAGGGCAGGGGGCATGTCCTGTGCTTCTGGTCCCCCCAGAGCTGTGGGGTGCGGCCCAAGGAAGGGGCTCAGGCCGCAGCACCTGGATGAAGAGTTTCCTGGGACAGTGCCAGGTCCCTCTGCCACACCCTTCTGTCCAGGTGCCGCCCCACAGCGCAGTGTCCAGCCCCTTCTTGGTGCCGAGTGCTTGACTAGGCCCGGAGGAGATGGGGATGACCCTTGTCCTGCCCTCAAGGAGCTTGCAGTGCAGTTAGGGGCAACAAGGAAATGTGTATTTCAACCCAGGGTAAGCTGTGTGCCAAGTTGTTGGGAGAGCGCTGAAGAGGTGGGTGGGGGGGGTGGGGGGAGTCAGGGAGGGCTTCCTGGAAGAAGTTATATCCACAGACATCTAGGTAAAGGAGAGCAGTGGGGACAGCATCTGCACAGGCCTTGAGGCTATGGAGGACAGAGCAAGTGTTAAATCTACAGCATGGATGTGTCAAGACATGAACCTGGATTCCCTCTACGCTAAGGCTGGCCCGTGATCAGATGAACTGTGCGGAAGCTGCTTGCTGGGGTGGCTGAGACCAGGGCAAGACTGGAGGCCAAGGGTCAGTGGGCAGGATGGAGCAGTAATCTACCGGATGGGGGCTTCCCAGGGTGGCGCTAGTGGTCAAGAATCCGCCTGCTGGTGCAGGAGACGCAAGAGATGCATTGATCCCTAGGTTGGGACCATCCCCTGGAGGAGGAAATGGCAATCCACACCAGTATTCTTGCCTAGATAATCCCATGGACAGAGGAGCCTGGGAGTCCATGGGGTCGCAAAGAGTCAGACACGACTGAGCATACACACACACATATGCAAGTGGTGTTCGCAGTGATGGAGAGGAGCAGTGAGAGTGGCAGGGGCCCAGGGACTGGGTCTTGAAACAGTTGGACCCTCTAACCAGACAGAGAATGACAGGTAATGAGAATGGTAGGTTTGGGAGGGGAGAAAGCTAGGGGGTCTAGAACAGGGGACCCCAACCTCTGGGATTAATGCCTGATGATCTGAAGTGGAGCTGATGTAATAATGATAAAAGTGAAGTACACAATAAACGTGATGCACTTGAATCATCCTGGAACCATCCCCGCCCTGCTCCCTCCCCAGCTCAGTGGGAAAATTGCCTTCCATGGAACTGGCCCCAGGTGCCAAAAAGGATAGGAACTGCTGCTGCATTCCTGACCTACAGAACTTTGGATGGTGAAGGATATTCTGTGCTGTCCGGGAGAGCTATGGCTCTTGAGTGCTTGAAATGTGGCTCTGGTGCAATGGAGGGACTGAGTTTTTTATTAATTACATTTAAGTGATTAAACGTAGTGGCATGTGGTTAGTAGCTACTACATTACTGCTTAGTAGAATTGAAGTCACTATTCCGGGGTTCTGTCAGCATTTATGGGGTACCAGAAGCCAAGGGAGGGGGTGCATATGGCCGGGAAAGGGAGAGGTGGAGGGACTGAAATGATGGGGGGGTGTCATGGCCCTTCCTCCCTTCCTTCTGTCACTTCACCTGCCCAGGTTTGCCCTGCCACAGGCTGGGCAGTCTCTAACCTTGCAAGCCCTTCAGATATCGCACCTGAAGAGGAAAACCCAAATCGCAGGAAAAAAGTTACCAAGACATGCAGTAGTGCTGTTGGCGAGAGGGAAGGGTTCTGGGAATTCAGATACACCTGCTTGAGGGATTATCTTGCAACCATTGAAGTTCACTTTAGGATGCCCGCGGACATCCTTCTGATGTGTTGCCACGTGGAAATAAAATCATGCAGAGTTGTGTGCAGAGGGTGATTCTGACGAAATTGAAACTTCAGTGCATGAAAAAGAGCCGGAGGACCTTAATCTGTTAATAGTTGTTGTTTTTTTTTTTGGGGGGGGGTAGGGTAATAGGACACGTCTAATACTTTTTACGCGTATGTATTACTTTGTGTGTGTGGCCGCGCTGTGTTGTGTGGCATGCGAGATTTTAGTTCCCCAGCCAGAGATCAAACCTACGCCCCCTGCATTGGGAGCATGGAATCTTACCCACTGAAGATTCCAGGGAGGTCCCTGGATTAACTTTTATGATGGAAACAAACCTGATTTTTAAAATCTTACCCGTGAGTATGATAAAAATCTGCAGCTATCTAGAGCAGGTGAAGAATAATAACTTAGGAAGATGCTTGATATGCAAAACCAGCAACAACAGTGGAATAATCTCAGAGTAAGCATAATTTGAAAAAAATAGTAGGAAATGTCCAAATATAGTAAGAGGGATCATTGCTGACTATTTAAAAACTTTTCTTTTTTTTTAATTTTATACCTTTCTGTATTTTCAGATTATAATTAGTCTTATCTTCAGTGTAAGACTGAATGGTCTTGGCTGGGTGGGGAGTATTATTTAAAAGGCCTCTTATGTGGACTCCATTCCATGCCCACCAGGCCCTGTTCTCTCTCTCTTTTGAAAAAATATTTATTTAAAAAAATATTTATATTATTTGGCCATGCCAGGTCTTCGCTGAGGCACACAGGATCTGTCTTCTTTGTTGCGGCATACAGGATCTTTTTTTCAGTTGTAGCATGAGGAATCTTTTTTTTCCAGTTATGACATGAGGGATCTAGTTCCCTGACCAGGAATTGAACCCAGGCCCCCTGCATTGGGAGTGCAGAGTCTTAGCCACTGGACCAGCAGGGAAGTCCCCAGGCCCTGTTCTCTGCTTGCAACCTGCAAGTCTTAATTCCCAGATTCCCTGTAAGAGCTGTGTCCCCAATATGTCAGTTCAAGTTCCCCAAGGAGCGGACCCAGATGGAATCAGCTCCAGCGCTGGCCCCGGCCGAGACCCTGGAGGTCCCTGAGAGCGTGTGGTCCAGTGGAGCTTTCTGTGATAACAAAGATCTGTATCCACAGTGTCCACTCTCATGACCCTTGGCCACATATGGCTGTTGAGCCCTTGGAACGTGGCCAGTGCGACCGAGAAAGTGATGTTTGTTTCCTTTTGATTGAAGCTTCAGGAGCCACGCGTGGCTAGTGGAACCGTATCGGGCGGCTCAGATCTAGAGGCTCTCAGTTTATGGATTTGCAGACAGAGAACGAAGAGAAGGGGCTTTCTCTTGGATCACGGAGACCCTTCCTCCCAAGGCTCGTCTGCCGTGTCAAGGCGTGCGGCCTCTAAGGGGGTCCAGATTCAGCTCTGTGTTTCAACTTGGAATTTTGTTTCACATGTAAAGCTCGGCCCCAAAGAGTGGGTGATGGGGGTTGCTTTCTGGGCAGCAGCTGCAGTGGTTCCTCCTGTGACATGAACTGATGGTCATTTTTATAGCTGAGAAGCATGGCTGGGTCAGCAGACTCATGCTCTGTAAGACCCTGCGTGGCTGGCATGAGAAAAGAAAATACATTGAGACACTGGAAAGAGTGTGGGTTTGGAGTCAGCCAGGCCTGGGTTTGAATCTCCACGTGGCAATGTATGATCCTTGGGCTTGTCCCTTGACCTGCCTCAGTTTCTCCACCCGTAAGATGAATAGACACCCACCCAGCATGGGGCAGTGGGGCTCTTGGCCATGCCCTCTACCTGAAACACAGTCTCTGTTTCTGGGTTCCTAGGCCTGTATGAACTTCAACTCACCACCGATGGCCCTGCCACCACGGGCGCAGAGGTGACCATCACGGCCAGTCTGGTGGCCGACGACAACGGCAGCCTGGCCCTGCCCGCCAGCACCAGCCTCTACCGCTTCCACTGGATCCACACCCCACTGCTGCTCACGGGGAAGGCGGACGAGGCTTTCAGCTCCACCATCCGTGTCGTGGGGAGCGTGCCCGGGGACTTCCCAGTCTCCGTCTGGGTCACTGCCGCCGACTGTGGGATGTGCCAGCCTGTGGCCAGGAGCCTCCTCGTCCTCCCCATCACCGGTGAGGACCTTTCCTCGTCGCTGATTTGCCTTCAGGCTCTTGGGGCAGAGAAAACGGGCATCACAACCATCACACACAGGAAGATTAGACCCATGTTCTCAGTTGCGGTCAGTTGAGTTAACAAAGGTTCAGAAAATGGTAATACCCACTGCTGGCAGGTCTGTGCTAAAATGGAAACAAAGTGCATATTTGCTACTGGGCTGTAAATTAATACAACGCTTTTGGAGAGGAGCTGATCCATATGTGTCAATGGCTGTAAATCATTTTAGTCTTCAGCTCGTTCTTTCTCTTTCTCTCTTTCCCTATCCCCCCCACCCTTCTCTCTTTCCCCTTCTTCCTCCCTTCTTTCCTCCCTCACACCCTCCCTCCCTTCTCTTTCTTTCTAAGAACTCCCTGCTTTCTTAGAGTTTACAGTCTATTTTTTCTTCTTACTTATTTGGCTGCACTGGGTCTTATCTGCATGCAGGATCTTCAGTTTCAGCATGGGAACTCTTAATTGTAGCATGTGGGATCTAGTTCCCAGACCCCCTGCATTGGGAGTATGGAGTCTTAGCCACTGGACCACCAGGGAAGCCCCTACAATCTATTAAAGAACTTATCTTCAGGTAATAAACCTCCATTCGGGTAATGGTTTATGCACGAAGGTGTTCATCACAGTTTCTATGGTAACAGGAAAGTGGAGACAAGCTAAGTATGCAACCATAAGAATACTGATATGATTTATAATAATAATGATCTTTACAAAGAGTGTGTTTTAGCCTGGGAGAGTACTCATTCTTGTAAATTTTTAAACATCAAAATGAAATTCTATGACCAATTGGATCAACTGTGTTTAATGTATGTGTGCCTTATATACATACACACGTGTACTTGGCAATGGGCTTCCCTGGTGGCTCAGCGGTAAAGAATCCACCTGCAGTGCGTCAGATGTGGTTCCATCCCTGGGTCGGGAAGATCCCCTGGGGAAGGAATGGCAACCCACTCTGGTGTTCTTGCCTGGAGAATCCCATGGACAGAGGAGCCTGGTGGGCTGCAGTCCATGGGGTTGCAAAAGAGTGGGATATGACTTAGTGACTAAATAACAACAACAAATGTGGTCAGTAGAAATGCTCATTTTTTTTCTAGGCTCATCTAATACTTTGAAATATTTCCCGAGAGCCGATTTAAAAGCCTGCCCATTTCCTCTAGTCCTGGGCATCTCTTGTGCCAGAAAGCTCAGAGTCCTGGTGGAAGGGGTAGAGGAGTGGAACTGTATGTGTAACACCGGGAGTGAGTCTTCACCAGCGCCCACTGGCCCGGGGCAGGGCCTCGGAAGGGGGCATATGGCTCTGTGTTCGGAGACCTGCAGGGTCTGCTCTTGCTACCACAACGGTGACAGTCAAGAGGGCGGGTTGGGGAGAGGCGACCCTGCCAGCCGGCCCGTGGCTCCGCCCTCCGCCACCCTGGGGGCGGGGGACTCACCCGCCCGTGGTTTCTCCCTGCAGAGTTCCTCGTGGGGAGCCTTGTGGTCTCCCAGAACTCCTCCCTGCCCTGGCCCAGCTCCTACCTCACCAAGACAGGCCTCAGAGTCGCCTTCCTCCTCCACGACCCGAGCAACTTCTTCAAGAACGCCTCGTTCCTCTACAGCTGGGACTTTGGAGACGGGTATGTTCTGACCCCCTTTGATGCCCCAGATTCCTGGCCTGTGTGGAGTGCTGTGTACTCCGCCGTCTTCACCTGCTCACTCTCACTCCGAACATGCCTTGCACACCTGCTCTGTGTCAACCTCGGGGTCCCTGGGGACCAGTGTGAGCCAGTCTAACCCCTAACAAAACCTGTTCCAAATTTACAGATTTAAAATAGTAAGCAGTGAACATTATAAACCAGGGCTAGATTGCAATGTAGATGATGATCCCCTGCAGTTGAATAGTTTGGCAGTGGGGAAGGCATTTCTAAGAATACAAGTAAAAGGTAGAAACTGTATAGGAAAAAAATGCTAAGTTTGGCATCATCAGATTTAAAATTTGAAATGAAAGAAGCAAGTTGAGCCAAAAGATAATGGTTAAACTGGAAGAAAATATTTGGAAGATATAGAATAGGTAAAAGTTCAATGAACTTCATATGTAAAGAGCATCAGCAAATCAACAGAAATATTTTCTTTATTGTTACTCAAGTTCCTTTCAAAGTGATTCAGGTAATTGTAGAGGAAAAAGTCACAACCTATGATGGAGGCATGATTCTTCCTGTTTTACAGATGAGAAAAGTAAGGCTGAGAGTTATGTAGTTATGGAGCTGAGATTCAAAGCCAGATTTATCTTAACTCCAAAGTTCGTATTTCTCCCCTTCCCAGATCATCTCTATCTAACACACGGTCTTCCCTTGGTCTGGCTGGGGCTGCAGGACACTTCCTGGCAGGTGACAGGCACCTGTTGCTAAGAGTTCTTCTACCTGTAACTTACAAGTCTGAAGATGGTCAGCAGCCATCCCACCCATGTAGGTCAGCTGACCTCATGCCCTGGCTGGCCCTGGGGACTGCTGCTGAGGTGACATTTTTGCTCGCAAAATGACACTGGTCTGAATGTGTCACTGTACACCCAACCGCTGACCCTAAAAAGTCAGGTGGATCACTTCTGTCATCTCTCCCCTCCCCGACATCTTACAGCACCCAGATGGTGACCAGAGATGGTACCGTCTATTATAACTATTCCATCATCGGCTCCTTCACCGTGAAGGTCAAGGTGGTGGCAGGGTGGGAGCAGGTCACATCGGACGCCGGGAGGGGCATTCTGCAGAAGACGGGTGACTTCTCCGCCTCGCTGAAGCTGCAGGGTGAGTCTCGGGGGGTTGGTGTGGGTTGAGTGTTTGGCTCGTCGAGGAGCCCTGGGTACCACTCCTTCCAGGGCTGGATCACATACAGAGTGGCTGGCACAGCCCCTCTTCAGGTCCCTTGGCAGCCCTGAGAGGGGCCTGTCATTCCCCTCTTCTAAGAGGGCGCTGAAGGCCACGGATGAGGTCAGGGGGCACTGAGTGGCAGAACTCAGACACTGTGCCGTGATAGGATGCATCCCCATCACTCTCTGTTTCCAGCTACATCGGCCTCTAGGCAAGGACCGTCCTGTCGGGGATGGGACGGCCCCAGTCGGCTGCACCGGGACTTTGACAAAGCCGCTCCTGGCTTTGTCAAGATGGGGCCCTGGGGCAGCTGCAGCCTGTTTCTCAGTCATGCTAACGGGGTGCTGCTCCCGTGCCCCCCACACAGCACAGATGATGGGGAGGGAGGTAGTTATCCTAAGCCAGCCCCAGGTCCTGCTCACCAGAGTCCTGCTGGCTTCCCCCAGCGGTCTCAGTCTAAGCGGCTCCAGCGTCTGCTGCTGATGTGACCTGTGACCTGCTCTTCGGGAGGGCCAAGAGGACAGGGTGGTGGTCACACAGCCTGGGAACCCCAGGAGCCCTGAGGCAGCTGTCGTCAGCCACCAGGTGTAACGAGGTCATCTTCTTTGCCTTTCAGAAACCCTTCGAGGCATCCAAGTTTTGGGGCCCACCCTAATTCAGACCTTCCAAAAGATGGTAGTGACGTTGAACTTCCTGGGGAGGTGAGTGAAGCCCTGAACACACTGTGCTTGATCTGTGGTCCTGTCCACACTCCCTCTCAGAGGCTCCTGACCCTGTTTCATCCCTTCAGTTCAGTTCAGTTCAGTTGCTTAGTCGTTGCTGACTCTTTGTGACCCCATGGACCCCAGCAAGACAGGCTTCCCTGTCCATCACCAACTCCTGGAGCCTACTCAAACTCATGTCTGTCGAGTTGGTGATCCCATCCAGCCGTCTCATCCTCTGTCGTCCTCTTTTCCTCCCACCTTCAACCTCTCCCAGCATCAGGGTCTTTTCCAATGAGTCAGCTCTTCGCAGCAGGTGGCCAAAGTATTGAGTTTCAGCTTCAGCATCAGTCCTTCCAATGAATATTCAGGACTGACTTCCTTTAGAATGGACTGGTTGGATCTCCTTGCAGTCCAGGGGACTTTCAAGCGTCTTCTCCACACCACAGTTCAAAAGCATCAATTTTTTGGCACTCAGCTTTCTTTATAGTCCAACTCTCACATCCATACATGACCACTGGATTTCATCCCTGAGGGGCCCCAAGTTAGGGAGCACACGGAGTGATGAGCCCACCCTTAACTGGGCCATGGGAGAGTCACAGCATGACTCCATTCTCAACGTCCAGGGGAGGGAGCACTGGCCCTGTGGGGCTGTCTGCAACGTGGGAATGCCCTCACCCCTTCAAATCTACAGAAAGCCAACTTATCCTTTCAGAGCCTACTCAAACGCCACCTCCTCCAGGAAGCCTTCCCTGACTTCCTCATTGAAAGCATGCTTCTCCGTCCCCTTGACACACCGAGGGCGTCACTGGAGCATGCATTCTGCCTCGTCCAGCAGTCTGCACGTGTCCCTCTGTCTGTCACTGCCCTGGCCTCCCCTTGGAGTCTCGGTCCATCTCTTATGTACTACCATGTTCCCTGGAGGCCTGGGCACCTGGGTGTTCTTCCCTGGAAAGAACACTGATTTCTTGACTGCCTGACCTTTCTTGGACTTGGTCTGTGCTCACACCCCTTGGCAAGCCATTGCTGAAAGAACACCCCCCGTTTCCCTGCAGCCCCCCTCTGAATGTGTGCTGGCGTCTTAAGCCTGAGTGCCTCCCGCTGGAGGAAGGGGAATGCCTCCCGGTTGCAGTGGACAGCACGGCTTACAACCTGACCCACATCTTCCGGGATCCCGGGGACTACTGCTTCAGCATCCAGGCTGAGAACGTCATCAGCAAGACGCACCAGTACCACAAGATCCAGGTGTGGCCCTCCAGTAAGTGACACTTTGCCTTTGCTCCCAGCAAAAACCCGTCACTCCTGCCACCACCACCGGTCACCCATGGCCATCAACAGCCAATCCCACTATTACTAGAGTCGTCGGTAACCCTGCTGGCCCCAATCAACACCATGGCTGACCACCTGTAGCACCACCACCAAACTCTAGTGCCATCAGCCACTGCTCCAATCCCCCGATACCAGCCCCCATCAGTCCCACCAACACCACCCTAACACCACTACCACTAGCCGTAACAACAGCAAACTCAGCTGTTGCCAGGCGACTTGTCCAAAACCATGGCCACCATCACCACACACTATGGACTGTTCTTCCAGCATCTTCACGAGCTAGAGTCAGCGCTGCCATAGCAATCACCCTGGCCACCATCAGCACTGCTGTTGATGCCCCTGCTCCCAGCCCCAGCACCCACCATTTGGACCGGCGCCATCTGTGCCATGTTGCCCCGGGATCATCCCAACTTCAGCTCTCGTGTTGCCACCACCGCTGGCAGTGGGCAGTGTCCCTCCCACACGTGACCTCTGCCACCCTTGTCCCTGGCACGAGCCCTCCATCCTTTGCTGCCGTCACACCCACCCCATCGCCTGCGTCTCCGTGTTTTTGCTTCTACCAAAAACAAGCATCTCCGATGGCAACCGTGCTGGCCTCACTGGGCTGTCGGGAGTCTCCCAGGGAGTGCGGGCAGCTCAGAATGTGTGCGGCGCAGCCTGTCTCATTTATCCGGGCACCCAGCCGAACCCCTGGTGTACTCTTTCCCAAACAGTCACACGGTCCAGCCGCTGACTTGCAGCCATGGGGTTAGCTGATGACAGCATCAGGTCCTCCCATTCACTTCCAGGGGCTCCTCCTCTATGACCCCAGAAGAGAGTTTTCTTACATAGAGGAGAAAGGATCCCAGGCCCTAGGGATGGTCTTTCAGATGCTCAGCCAGGTCCCACCCTGTGCAGAACTAAAGGGGACACTCCCTGCCAACTGCACTTGCCCCAAGGTTGGCCCAGCAACGCACCAGATGTGGTCACCGCCCCCTTGTCTCCCCAGTCCCTCCTACTTGAGCCGACTCCGTGCTCTGCCCTGGGCCCTGGCTGACCCTGTGTGCCAGGCAGACGCTTTGACCTGCGGGCATTCCCGGGGGCCTTGTGCCCTGACTCCCCCAGCATCTCCTGGGCATTGAGCACCTGTAATCCCCTGAATCCTGCGGAGAAGGGGGATTACCTGGCACTGCAGGTAATCCACGCCGCCTTTCCTCGGAGACAGATCCTTTTGGTGTACGGTGGTGTCTCTACCCAAAGGAGAGCGGGGGAAGGGTGAGAAGGAACCCACCCTTGCTGATCACCTGCCTTGCGCCCGCCTCACCTGGTTGCATCTCCATGGCCGCCTCGTGGGTCAGCATGACCATCAGGTCACCTGGGCAGAGCCAGGATTTAAACCCAGGACCCACTGGACTCTTCTTGCTCTGCCCTGTGGCTTCCTCGCAACAGGATCTAAGCGAGCGAGCCCAGAGCTGCCGGAGGTCACAGGGGTGCTTAGGTGTCCTCACGCCCTGGCCTTCTTCCCCAGAGCAAGTCACCCAAGAGAGTAAGGAGGAAGCTGCCGGGTCTTTCATGGTCTAGGCTTGGAAGTTGTACGTCATCCCTCTGTCCTCTGCCGCTATTTAGGAGCAAGTCACTATGAGTCCAGCCCACACTCTGGTGGGAAATTTAGTTGCACCCTTTGAAAGTTACTGTCAAGTATCGCAGTAAAACCCCGACAGACCCTTCCTTGGGTTTTGTGAAATCCTGGATTTGCCTGTCGGAGTTGCCTCACTGGGATGCACGTGCACAAAGAGGGAAAAGGCTCTGGCGGGCTCTGTCCTCTCCCCGATGCTGTACCCTGAGAGCTGGTATTCAGCACTGACTGCCCAGGCTCGTGACTTCACCCTCTCTTCCTCCCAGGCATCCAGCCGGCTGTCTTTGCTTTCCCGTGTGCCACGCTCATCACCATGATGCTGGCCTTCATCATGTACATGACCCTGAGGAATGCTACTCACCAGAAGGACATGGTGGAGGTGGGTGCTCGGTGGGGTGGGGTGAGGGTGGGGCTGGACTCCTGGCCTTCACAGGAGAGGATTTGCAGAGAGGGCGAGAAGGGCCAGACCAGGGGGGCTAGGAGGTGGTCTGGATGTCAAAGCAAGACCCTGGGGCTGGGGCTGACGTACCCATGAAGCATCCATGACTGGGGCCCCATTGATAAACTTGGTTGCCTCTCAGGTCACTTACCTCCTACTCCGCTTGCCCGTAGCCCGCCAGCCATGCCCACGAACTGGTAAAGGAGCGGGCAGTCAAAAGCAGGGGCAACCCAGAGAGTGGAAAAGCCAAGGGCACAGGGAAGCACCATGTAGTGTCCGAAAGGTGTTTCTGTGCGTGCTGCACCCAGGCAGCTGAGCTTGTAAGAGGCTGCCCAGATGGGCTGCTGAGCTCATAAGGCCACCTCACGGGGCTCCCGGTGGGTGGGAGGGTGATTGACCCGTGGGGTTCTGTTCACCATAGGTGGCTGATTTTGACTTTTCCCCCATGTCTGACAAGAACCCGGAGCCGCCCACTGGGGTCAGGTGCTGCTGCCAGATGTGCTGTGGGCCCTTCTTACTGGAGACTCCGTCTGAGTACCTGGAGGTCGTCCGCGAGAACCACGGACTGCTGCCTCCCCTCTACAAGTCTGTCAAAACTTACACAGTCTGAGCGCCACCCACCACCAAACCCAGTTTCAGTGTTAACTGACTGCTGCCCGGGAATTTGGGGCAGTGTCGGGGGCAGACTGGTGCACGCCATGAGTGCAGGGCCATCCACCCTGACTGGTCATCCATCTGTACAGTCTAGCTGCCTCCACAAGCCCGACTCAGTCCCACCTCCCAGCCATTCCATCCATCTATACGGTCGGAAGCCTCTCTCGGTCAGCCCCGCCCCACCCCTTGCCTTTGAGGAGGCCCCCAAGCGGGGCTCCAGCACTGGATGTGGTCCCTGTTCTCTCCTAGGAGTGCCCGCTGCCCCCCACCGATTCCTCCCCTATTTGGCATATTTGCCGTCCATCTGGGGTTCACACTTCCCTCCCCCAGGTGGCCCTGCCCAGGTCAGAGAGCTAGGAGAAAGCTCACAGATGGTTAATTCAAGGCTACATCACGTAAGGTCTTACATACAGGGATAAGCGTGCACGACGTCACCCAGATGTTTCAGACGACTTCCTCTCTCTCAGTGAGTTGGTTGCTGAGATGTCCCATTGATCAGAGCTAAAAGGAAACCTGACCTTCCCCATGTGGCCCCGACAGCTCCGGGGCCTGGCTCCTCCCTTTGTGTCCTGTCCCAGGGGCTCCTGGGTCCCCTTCTAAGGACACCCTGTTCCCCATCTGCTTGCTGGGGTTCGGGTGGGGGGGCAGGGCTAATGCTTTGTGAGTGTGAAGTGCTTCGTAGACAGCACTTTGTTTTATTGAGTCTGTTTCAACTTGTATCGAGAAAGAGGCTTTGCGGCAAAAGAAAGAGTCAGGCCAGGGGGGGATCTTGGGTACCCTGTGTGAGGGACAGAGTTCTCGCCCCTTTAACTGCTCCCAGGGTGGCCTTGAGAGGGAAGAGGACTGGATGGAGCCCAGGGTGGAGGACCAGTCCACCCCTCTCCCTTTGGCCCAGCAGCCTGGGGGAGGCAGGTCATGTGCAGAGAGCGTGAGTACAGAGGGAGCCCACGATCGGGTCCCCATCCAACCATGCAGGAGTGGGGAGCAACCTGGGCCTGTCTGGGAAGGGAGCAGGGCCACGGAGGCCGAGCTCTGTCACCGTAATTGTTTGCTCTCAGACTTTGTGCTGAAGACAGCATCCCCACTGTTGTACAGCTCATACTCATAAATACTGCCGTTACTGCTGAATAAAGCTTGTATGCTCCGACAATAGCCAAGCCCGGGGCGGGTGGCCAAGTCTCTTCCTTTTCCGTGCTTGGACGTTTGCACCTTGCAGGTATCAGGAGAGGTTCTTGGATGTAGCGGGACGCCCCCACCATGTTCTCCAGCAGGTGCACTGGATGGAGCCACTGTCCGGGGCTCCTGTCTGGGCTTGGACCGATGGTCCTCAAACTGCCGCTTAGGCTGCCTCACAGACGATCGGTCCTGAGGGTCCCCCGGAGGTGGGTCCAGGAGCCCCCAGGTGACTCTTAAGTCTGAGACTCTGGGGGTGACTCTTGGTCAGGGTGGAACGTGGGACATAGGCCACACCTGGGAACTTGGAAATGCTGCTCCCCGGGCCCCGTGCCACACCCAAAACAGCTCCTGGGAGGGGGCAGCCCCAGTGCACCCTCAAGTGTGAGAGCTTCCTGTTTCCAGCAGGACCTCTTGAACTTTGTTCAAACACTAGAATTTAGGGGTAGGTTTGAGAAAAGAGATTAAGTTTGCATGCTTAGTTGTTCAGTTGTGTCCGACTCTTTGCAACCCTTTGAACTGTAGCCCACCAGGCTCCTCTGTGCGTGGGATTCTCCAGACAAGAACACTGGAATGAGTTGCTATACATACCAGGGGCTCTTCCCCACCCAGTGATTGAACCCACGTCTCTTTTGTCTCCTGCATTGGCAGGCGGGTTCTTTATCACAAGCGCCACATGGCTTCCCTGATGCTCAGCAGGTAAAGAATCCCTGTGCAATGCAGGAAACAGGAGATGTGGGTTAGATCCCTGGGTTGGGAAGATCCCCTGGAGGAGGAAAGGCAACCCACTCTAGTACTCCTGCCTGAAAAATTCCATGGACAAAGGAGCCTGGTGGGCTACAGTCCTTAGGGTTTCAAAGAGTCGGATACGACTGAGCAAATAAGCACCTGGTTATAGCCAGTTAACAATGTTATGATAGGTTTAGATGAATAGCATAGGGACTTAGCCATATATATATATACATGGATCCACTCTCCCCCAAATTCCCCTCCCATCCAGGCTGCCACATAACATTGAGCAGGGTTCCGTGTGCTATACAGTGGGTCCTTGTTGGTTATCCATTTAAAATATAGCAATGTGTACGTGACCTTCCCAAACTCCCTAACTGTCCCACCCCCCTGGCAACCATAAGTTCGTTCTCTAAGTCTGTGAGTCTGTTCCTGTTTTGTAAGTTCATTTGTATTGTTTCTTTTTAGATTCTACATATAAGGGATGTCTCATGATATTTCTTCTTCTCTGAGAACTGTCAGAATTCTATATTAGTTCACCCTACACCTGCTCCCCAGCCCCAGATGGCAAAAGGGCTGGGCAGCTATTCCCAGCAGCCTACAGTTCTAGGAGGGACCTCACCATGGCTAATGAGAGGCTTCGGGTTCTAATGACCACAGAATGTCAGGAGCAGAAGCAACTGAATGTATTTTTGCCAGTACCTCTTAAGAGCCATGTTTTCCTTGAAGAAGCCCATCACCCCAGACATGCCCAGGTGTCTCAGAAGGTTTCTGAGAGTTTAAGCCTGATAGAATTAAAGTGGGTTTCCAAGGCAAGGTAGATGAATTCATCTATTCTGGGTTGAATAGCTGTTGTTATTGTTGTTCAATCGCTAAGTCATATCTGACTCTGCAACCTCATGGACTGCAGCACACCAGGCTTCCCTGTCCATCACCAACTCCTGGAACTCGCTCAAACTCAGGCCCATTGAGTTGTGATGCCATCCAACCATCTCATCCTCTGTCGTCCCCTTCTCCTCCTGTCTTCAATCTATCCCAGCATCAGGGTGTTTTCCAGTGAGTTGGCTCTTGGCATCAGGTGGCCAAAGTATTGGATAATGACTTTCCTTGAATTCATATCCACCCATCATCTGTGAATGGGCACTTCTGTGGAAAGAGTCTCTACAGATGTGATCAGGTTAAGATGAGGTCTTGTTCATGGAGGATACAGTAGGGGCCATAGCTGGGCTGGAACCTGGCTAAGGGGCTGAGGAGGACCTGGGACCACCAGGACCTGGGTCAGGGGCTCTTAACCTGAGGATGCCTGACTCCCAAGGGACCCATGGAGAGAATTCACCAGCCTGGATGGGAGAAATGACATCTCTGCTGTTAGAAACCTTTAATCAAATCGAGGTCATAAATATAGGCCCGAAACTGTCGTCAGCAGTTTCTGTGGCTTTGCCATCAGTAACAGTCACAAATGCGTTCACATCACATTCCAATTGTGAATCTCTCAAAACGACATTTATGCTGATTATGCCTTCAGAAGTACAGTTGTTATTAGACTTGCCGCTGGATCTTATTTCACTGAGCACATATGTTACAATTGCTATTTTGATAACTTGTTGCCTTTGGAATCCTATTATTTACTATTATGCTTTCAAAAACATTCTGATTTATTCTGATGACTGGATCTGACTGCAGAGGAGCTCAGGGTGCCAAGAAGGCTACCAGAGCCCTGTAGCTGTACCCTGGGGCGGTCCTCGGGAGACACAGGGGTGACAGGGGACTTTGCTTTTTTTGTCCCAGAGAGAAGGATCCTTCCGGGGGCGTCTGACCCAGGAGACGAGGTGTCAGGTCCCCATGGGCCACCTGCTTGCAGTGCCCAAGGTGACCAGCAGGTGGCAGCCCTTCTCAGCCATGCTTCTGCAGTTGCCTCCTTCCAGGGCAGCCTGTGGGCACCAGAGGAATACAAGGGCCACGGATGGCGTGGGTCCTGGCAGCTGTGGCACCCACATAGCTGTGAATACACAGGCACACGCCACATGCATATGCACATGCTCACACTGACAGCCGAAGGAGCCTACCTGGGAATCAGCTTCCAGAACATCCTACCCCTTCCAGGATGGAAGGCATCCCCAGGACACTTGCCCTTGAGAAGTCCTTTCAGAAGAGGAACTGCTTTGTTCTTTCTCATCTCTCCCTTCCCTAATAGCTTTTCTGAGGTGTCCGCAGGTCAGCATAAGGCAACAGCTCCAGCCACAAAAATAATCTAACTGCAGCGGAGGTGGGCTTCCCAGGTGGCCCTTGTGGTAAAGAACCCACCTGCCAAGGCAGGAGATATAATGAAATGCCGGTTTGATCCCTGGGTCGGGAAGATCCCCTGGAGAAGGAAATGGCAACCCACTCTAGTATTCTTGCCTGGAGAATCCAATGGACAGAGGGGCCTGGCGGGCTGCAGTCCATAGGGTCGCAAAGAGTCAGACATGACTAAAGCGACTGAGCACACGGGAAGCGGGGTGAGGTGTAGACCTGAGTCCTGGCCTGGCTCCCAGACCTTGGGCAAGCGACTTAACCTGTGCAAGCTCTAGGGTCTGTGTGTTGCGCAATTTGTATAAAGACTGAACTCTTACAGCTCAATGTCTATAAGACAAACCGTGCAAATGGAAAATGAGCCAAGGACTTGAATAGACATTTCTCTAAAGAAGATGTACAAATGGCCAGTAAACACAGGATATATCATTAGTCATCGGGGACACACAAAACCACAATGAGAAACCACTTCATGCCCACTGGGATGGCTGTAACCGAAAACAAAACAGTCAAACCGAAACAGTAAGTATTGGCAAGGATGTGGACACACAGGAATCCCCGTACGTTGCCGGTGAGAATGTAAACTGCAAGACAGTTTTGGCAGTTCCTCAAAAAGTTCAACATAGAATTACCATGTATGCATGTGTGCTCAATTGTGTCTGACTCTTTGCGACCCCATGGACTGGAGCCCACCAGGCTTCTCTGTCCATGGGATTCTCCAGGCAAGAATACTGGAGTCGGTTGCCATGCCCTCCTCCAGCG